CTCCCGATGTTGCTATAGTATAATATTATAAACTGGATTGGTGTGATGTTTTGACATACTTCATGCATACTTCAAGACGATGAGCGATCAAGGAAAGTGAATGAGTACATACCGGCAGAGATTTTATACCGTTATAACACGAATTTAATTGCCAAATTTAATAGCCTGATGACGTTGATTTGTTTCTGAATTTGACTTGATCTTTTCAAATACCGGACATGAATAACTCGATCGCTCACCGTATATAAAGCTTCTTACTAGTCCGCCTGTAATGTTTGTGGGCTATTCTCAAAAATGTTAGCTGACATAAAATTCATTTAAAATTTCATGCCAGTAATACAATTTTTTTGGAAACTCAATGAAAACGTCGAGTTATATAAGGCAAACAAATAATGTTCCGTTGGAATCTAGGTCTTTTTACAGCCAGCATTTTTATTAAGTTTTTAAAAGATGTTTGAAGTTCTTATCTTTGGCGACCAATGTTTCCACCTTTATTGATTCCATTTTCGTCTCCTAACACATCTTCATGTCCTTATCTCCTCTTCACAGAGGTAACTTTCCTATAAATCGAAGAGAAACATTCAAAGATCACCTATTGAGCCAAATCCCAAGGCTAAATTATCATTACATTCTATGTCACACGTGATTTTTTAGTAACGCCCCTTGTTTTACGTTGCGTAACAAAAGCTAGACTCTAACGAATATTTTCCTCATAGCCAGAGTTTAGACTTCTACTCTTTGCAATATAGCAATTACTTTGATACGATAGACACGATTAAGTGACGTTGTCCAGGAACGTAAAAGAATTCCGGTGCAATGCACTTAATGGGATCTAACTAAGAAAGCTGGTGCCACGTGTTCGGTTCTACGTTGCGAACTGAGCTCAGATTATATTTAGCTATCCAGTTTTTGACATTACTACAACATTTAATGTGGGTTATTTTGCTTAACAAATGTATTCTTAAGAATAAGCTGCTAAACCTTATTTTGTTTGACGAGTGAACCGCCCAAAACCTGAAATAAACAACATCATCTCTTTGTGGACCAAATTCTTTGCCTCATCGTACTCCCATTCAGTAAACCCTTACAGCGGTCTGGACTAATTATAAAGGTCACATTTATCTTAAACGATGCTCACCTTCAATATTAGCTTATAATTTCAAGCTTCAGTCCATATATCCACATTTTTGTTGAAGAGACCATCCAAGTTTTTTCAGCGGCAGTACCACACTTCTCACGTCGACGACTAGTACGGTTTAGTGTGATTTCTTGAATTTGCATGCACATGTTTCAGCAGCAACAGCCAATCATTAGGATGTATGTCACATAGCTTATTCCTGCGCTTTTAGAAGCAGCGAATCACAAATCCAAGAGAAAAAATGGTATTGAGCGTGTTAGATTTCTTTTTAAATACAATAGTGTAGTTGAATTTTTATTGGAAATACATGGCCGTCTAAATGTTAATATCTTAAGTAAAATAAAACATAAAATAAAAAAAAATATTGAAAAAATAATGTAAAATAAGAAAAAGATCTAATGAATTTCGACCAGTCAAATGTGATTTCTGTTGTTGTGGATTAAGGAAAGGAAATAAAAAAGAGAGAGAAAGATATAAACAAACGATAATAATATAATAGGGAGGAAAAAGACTTGCATACCTACCCTCGCTGAGCCCAAACTAATGACCATGGCGGCAGTAGTGATATCTATCCAATTAAGCCATGAGAATAAGAGACCTTATTTTCAGTAGGTAAGTTGACGTTGGCTCCAGAAGCATTCATCATTCATCGTGCCATCTTCTGTGAATCAACAGTAAGAAATGATCTAACTTAATCTAACTTCCATAAAACAAAGCTGACTTTCCATGAAACATCCATAAAACATGCTGGGCAAAAGAAAACAAGAAAAAAGCCATTTAAACTCTGCTTTCCAATTGCTCAATATGTTCTAGAAGGTGCTCCAATGAACATGAAGGACACATCTTCTTATCAGTAAAAGGTATTAGCCAGCACTTACTTAAAGAAAAGTGCCTCTAGACATTCATAAAATTTGTAAAAAATGTGAAAGGGAGTCTTAACCCTTTAACTCCCATGAGTGACCAAGACAGAATTTCTCCTTACAATGTCAATACAATATCAACCAAATAAGCGATAAGAATAAAGAAAAATATCAATTTGGGGATAATTAGTTGATCAAATACTAAATTCTCTGAACTAACACTGTAAGAATTATATGGTTGACAGTAAGGAGAATTGACAAATTTGATCTGGGAGTTAAAGGGTTAAGGATGATGTTAGACTACAAATTATAATTTGATTAAGAGTGAGTTTAAATACATGTATTTCCTATTTGAATAAAATTTTTACAAATTTTCCTCACTTGTTGGAAACTTGTTCAGTTTATAACATTTTCAAATACAAATCTGCCGTATCATGTCTAATTTCAGACAATATATGCTCACAATCACCTCTAAACTTTAAAATTTTGCTCTGTCAGAAAATTACGGTGAAAATAAGTAGTTCACATTGTTCCTAAAGATAAATCAATTGTTCACTGTGTCATTCCTAAACTTTCTTTTGTATTGCAAATGTCTTTTTCATTCTTCAATGAACTCTATTGGATTACATTCCATTCAAGGATATCTTAGGTTAATCCTTCAGATTCAGATAGGAATATACTTGGATTATTTGGGCTGAATTTGATACTGTCTGGTACAAACCACCTTTTTTTGGTTGAATTCAATATCTTGACTAACCATAGAGACAATAAAAGGCTAAGTACACTAATCTAAAATACAGAATGTTGTTAGAGTTATAAAAGGCTTGCAGAGAATAAAACTCTCATCAAAAGGTTTTGCAGCCCAGAAGTCTTCAGTGTCTGGTAGGCAATGCATATGGGATCTAACATAAATTGTGAAAAAATTTAATTATGAACCCCTGGTTAAAAGAAAACAAGTGCTAAATATTTCTCACCCATGAATAATCTTAACAGAAAATAACCATTCAGGTGCACCAAGAGTTAATAAAAAAGGCACCCAGCTCCAACAGAAGAAGAACTTAGCTTTTTGGTAAACAGAATGATTGCCTAGCTTTACTAACTTTTTTACTCAAGAAATTTTCCTAAAAATTACCTATCAATTGTTTCATTCCTGTTGAATGACTTCCTCCTCATCCTGGAGGTCTTGGTTTTCTTCTTCATTATCCTTTTCTCCCTCATAAAATAAGACAGGACCTCCATCATAAATATAACACAAAAATGTCCATGTCTCTTGTGACAGCTGCCCATTGTCGGAGTCTACAAAGAAACATTTTGAGAATGCAATGAGAATGTTGTCTTCTTTAACTATAAGTATAAAGCCATTTCATGGACAGCTTGCAAGTCTGTAGGGCATTCGACAAAGAAATCAAAATATCTGAAGTTTGAACCTGCATCCAGGACAAGAACGTTATATTTCCAACCTTGCAAAGATGTTCCAAATACTTCTTCATCAAAGTAAATTCTTTTTCCCATGATAGCTGCTTGTTGGTACAAATCCCACACTTGTACTCAGACATTAATACTCGACCAGATGTTCTTCCATATGCTAAGGATGGTATTTGACTAGTGCAAAACAAAATATTAAACAAATGTGGAGAACATATTTTGATAGTATTTTCTTTATCAAATAAAATTCCAGCCAAATAATGATCAATTCCAGTTCCCCTTCCTTCAAGGGATCCATTGTTGATGGAGATAAGAATTCAAAAAATTTTGAAAAAAAATATCAAACAATGAAGGAAAAATAAACCTGGTAAAATCAAAGTAAAACATATTTTCTATTGACTTGCAAAAAGACACCAGCCAAAGAATGTCAAAAATAGGAAAGAGCCAAATGACTATACAACTGATCTTCCAAAAAAAAATGGTTGTAGTGTTAGTGGAAAACTCCAAGGCACAATTATTCATTGGAAAAGTATAAATTAAGGTTTAATTCAATACTCTCAACAGCCTCCTGAACCAAACTATAACTTTAAAGAATAAAATAGTGATTTTAAATCATGATAATATCTAAGAGCTCACTATTAAAAACCAGAAAAAATTACATTGTGTATAATATCAAGTTTGATTACAAACTATTGCAATGATAGTGTCCTTGTTTCTCTCCATGAGTGTCAAAACTTTAAAACACCAATGTCTAAAATAAGATGCAGGTGTCTGAAATTGTACACAACTGTAACACTAACAACACTAATGTCCAAAATCAGACACTGGAGTCTAAAATCTGATACTAGTCTCCAAAATCAAACACCAGTGTCCAAAATCAGACCCTTGGGTCTAAAATACAACACAACTGTCCATAAAGAGATACTAGTGTCTCAAATCAGACACAACTGTCTAAAATGGGACACTAGTGAAAATCAAACACAGGTTTCCAAAATTGATTACTTCTAATCAAAATTGGACTATCGTGTGCAAAATTATGCATAAAAACATAAGCCTAAGAATATCAAAAACAGGAAAAAGTTGGATAACTACTGGTAATGTGGCACAATTTTCATCAAATTTGACAAGTCTTTTGGACTATCTTTAGTTTGCCACACAGCCTAACATTTACTTGTATATGAAAGGTCTAGCTTTGACCAACAGATAAAAATGCAAATTGAGTTGTTGAATTGCATGCATTGTAAATCATCCACTGTATTCTGTGAACAGTCAATAGTTTTTGTTTAGTGACATTCTACAGAAAACAAACAAAAAGTAGCCAGGGAAGTCCATACTTTCTATTATGAAAAGGATGCAATCAATTGTTATATATTTTACCTCAGCCTAAAAGTAATAGTCCCTTCACTAATTCTCCTGCCTGAAAATCTCACATTTTTTGGTTGGCTACTCCTGATAATTAAGTGCTCAATCAAGACAACATCCCCTGGTTGACTAAACTCTAAATTTGCTACATTCTGATAAATCCTACATGTCTGACAGAGCAACGATAACTCACAAACTCATACTGTCAATCACTGCTAATAGTTAATGGATTCAGAACAAAAGTCCCTTGCTGAACCACTAGTTTCACCATTCATGAGCACCACAGTGTCAGCAATGCGGACCAGGAGAGCAGCAACTGCATCCTTTTCAACCGAAGCCTTATTTGCCCACACATCACCTGAAAGATATTTCTCTGCACTTCCCTCTGCTTCTTTAGGAAGCAGAGATGGGCTAAGCTCTACTGGCATATGTACAGTAAAAATAATGGCCAAGTGCTTATATGGTGCATTTTGATCATCACAATAAGAGTGAAACAAAAGTGGTGAGGGTGGTGGGAGAAGCTCAAGGTGATGGATGAGCACCACCCTGTGGAGAGCATCAATTTTTTTCTTCAAGAAATCGTCCATCTTTTTCTTGGTTTGTTCTGGATGATTTCCTTTCTCTTTTTCACCATCAATTCTGGCCAGATTTCTTTTATGACTTGGATCCAGCATTTCTGCTAGTTTAATGGCCAGGCAATCCACGTATTCATGTGCTGCTGGAGGTGCAGCAAGTAAGAACACCAGTGGTTGTGAGGGATCCTTATTCCGTAGATGAGCCTTTCCGCGATTTCTTAAAATCTTCCAGAACCGTTCGGTCTGATTAGTGAATGACAACTGTAACTTTTCTAGCCCATTTCCAAAGACTTTCTCCAGATCAAAGTCAGGCTTCATGTCGTTGTTAGGAGGGGCAAAGTAGATAGCTACAACAATACATGCCATTGCGGTGACAAGGAAAATTCCCGTAAGGGTAAGATACCTTGACTGCGACTTGGTGCTGGGATTCGAGCTGTGGATAAATTTCAGTTGTCGATCTCTCTGAGGACCTGATTGCAGTTCATCTGTTTTCGGAGATCCGTCAGCAACTGTCTGATTTTCTATGCCTTCTTTTAGGTCAAGGTTAGTTAATTCCTGCTTAGCGGGCGCTATATTTACAGATTCACGAACATGTTTGTTTTTCCCTCTTTGATTGTCTCCGCCACTTTTTCCCTCAGTGAGTGCATTACGTTTCTCTGCCCCTTTACCTTCCTCCTTGTCCTTCTTAAATACCTCATGTTCGTTTGAACCTTTGTCTTCGTCACCTTCAGCTCCATTTTCCTTCGCAAACGTTTCATCGGCTCCCCCTTCTCCATCAAGCTGAGATTCCGCTCCCCCTTCGCAGAATTTATCATCAACGTCTTCGGAAGACATCGTGTAAACAACCTGATCTCGTGTAGAGTAGTGCTCAAACACAAAACTGTTTCTGCGTGACTAATGTTCGTGACCAGTGCACGCGGTATCAGGAAGTGTCCTTGGTAACCACTCATATAAATTACTTGTTCTAACAAGGTAGGTCATTGGCAAATTGGTTTAGAGTAGCCACTGAAAATTACTGTACTAAATTGCGCACGAAAGCGCACGGAGATCGTGCAGCAACATGGGGAAGAAAGGACTTATACAGCTGATGATAATTTTGTGGGCACCTACCATAAGCGCAGTTCTCATTGAAGGTATTGTTGGAGGTGCTGTTCTTGTAAGTGGCTACTTGGGGCCTAAAATTTATTGTCATTTCACTGAATGCTGTAAGAACAAGTGGATTAAACCCAACATAACGGGTTTACAGTCAGCCCTTCGGAGGCGTGTTTTTGGTCAACACTTGATCACCGAGACCGTTTTAAAGGCTCTTGTTGGACATTTGAACAACAAGTCGCCTGATAAAGCGTTAGCCCTTTCCTTCAACGGCTGGACAGGATCAGGAAAGAACTTTGTGAGCAAAATCATTGCCGAACATATCTTCAAAAAGGGATTGGAGAGTGATTATGTTCATCAGATCATAGCAACCCATGAATTCCCTCATCAGTCCGAAGTAGACTTTTACAAACGACAGCTGCGTAATCGAGTGATAGGTTCGGTATCAAAGTGCCCCAGATCGCTATTTATCTTCGACGAAATGGACAAGATGCCAGTAGGCCTCATAGATGTGCTTAAACCCTTCTTAGATCACTACCCTCCTGATGTAGGCAAGATCGATTACCGTCAAAGTATCTTCATATTCCTTAGCAATTCGGGGGGTCATCTTATCAACAGTGCTGTTCTAAAACACTGGGAAAGACGGAAAGAAACGAGAAGACATCAAGATTAAAGAGATGGACAAAGTTATCAATCTCGGTGAATTTAATAACAAGGGTGGATTTTGGCATTCTTCTCTAATTGAAAAAAATCTCATAGATTACTTTATTCCATTTATGCCGATGGAGAGATCTCACGTTAAAATGTGTGCCAAAGCCGATTTAGAGAAGAAAGGACACCCAGTCACAGAATCCATCTTAAACAGAGTAGCAGATGAATTGTTATACTTTCCAGAAGACCAGAAGGTATTTTCTCAGTCTGGTTGTAAGAAAATTTCAAGCAAAGTTGACTATGTGATGGGGTGAGGAATTTTGAAAACATAGTAGGCAACAAGTCAGGCTGAGATAATGTGTAGACAATTAATAGAAACTGGTTTTTGAAGAAATAGCACAAGCTTGTCACATAGACTTGCAGTAATGATTTTCAGTAAGTGTGAGTCAGCCTTTAAAACTTAGTTTTAGAAATGGGAGGGGTGGGGTGGGGTAAGTTCAGCAGAGAGTGGAGATGGAGGAATTGGAAGTATGTTTTAGATACAAAGAAGACAGTTATCTGAGAGAACAGGTATCTGAGAGAGATCAAGAGAATGAAGAACAAGTGTAATAATTTGCCCTTGTTCTAATAAATGCCCCCTCTTTAATAGGCACCTCCATCTAATTTGTTTTTGTAAATAAATGTGCCAATTCAATAAGCACTCTCGTTCCAATAGGTGCCTCTATACCAATTAGCGCTCCTCTTCAGTTTCAGTGATGCACTGCAGAGTACATGTACACTTAGATCTATCATGTATGGGTCCTCTTTCTTTAACCCTTGAACTCCCAGATCAATTTTCTAATTCTCCTTACTGTCAACCATACAATTCTTATATTGTTAGTTCAGAGAATTTAGTATTGGATCAACCAATTATCCCCAAATTGATATTTTTCTTTATTTTCATTACTTATCTGGTTGATGTTGTATTGATATTGTAAGGAGAAATGCTGTCTTGGTCACTCACAGGAGTTAAAGGGTTAATTGCTCTTGTAGAGCCTCAAAACAAAAACAGTGGTGTTCCTCTTAGTTTCTCAACTATTATGTTTACCTGAGTGCACAGTTCCTTCAAACAAATGATTTTGTCTTATAATTTTGCTTGGCTGGTTGTTCTAGCCAGAAAGGATTCAGGGACAACACCTCCACTTTCCATTTGAATTGATTCTTTTCAAATAACCATCAAAGCTTTGTTTGACACATTTTGCTATTTCTGAAGAAGGAAATGAGCACACTGTTTTGAAAAAGCACCCTTCCTTAGGGAACCAAATGTAGCCAAGTGCCCTGAGTGCTGAATCAAATCTTTACGGTAATTTAGTTTCTAAGGAAAGTTTCATACTGCTTTAGAGAGTAACAAAAATACTTGGTTGATGAGAGACTAGAAATTAATGAAGAGACATTTAGAACTTAAACAACTGAAGAAATCAGGCATTTCAATCTCACTTGTTCTTTCAGATCAATAAGGATAAAGGATGATACTTAAAATGAGCTTCTCTTGAGTTACTGTAGCAGCCAATTGATTTAACTCTTTTTAATTTTGGGATTATATTGTGCCAAACATCTCCAAATCCCAAATCAGGCTCATCAAAATAAAATTTCTACTGAAAGCAATGATTTAGTAAAGTAGACATTCTTCCCTTAGCTTTTCACCTGTATTCTAAAATTGTGCACTTTAATTTGCTATCTTCTGTAAATCATCAGAAAGAAATGTACTAAAAATCTAAGAACAAGAATTGTATTAGTACGTTTTCTTTCTTTCTCAAGGAACCTGGCACTGTCTTAGCATGTTTCTCTTAAGAGAGACCTCCTTGGGTCTACTAATCTTTCAGTGAGACATGACAGTCAAATAGAAAATTCTTGACTCTGTTGTACGAGAGATGGTTGTGTCTTGAGTCCCTACAGATTAGCTATGCTAGGTACCATTACTTAGGGAGATCAGTAGACTTTCATGGGTAACTTTATTTGAGTATGAAAGATGTTGATATAGTGTAAGTAGAATTCTTACTACAGGTAGTCTGAAGAACCCTCTTCTGATAGTACTGTATTTACTCGTGTATAAGTCGACCTTTTATGACCAAAAAATCAACCTAAAAATTCACCCTCGACTTATACACGAGTTATACATAGACCTGACTCAAGCAATTCAAGAGATTAGCATAACAATTGCCTGAAGTCCATTAGGAAATCTGAGTAATAAAACCAGTTCTAATTGTGTTCAAGTTTCGTAACTTTTCAGCACATTCTTCGTTGACAAAAATGTTTGAAATAAAAAATTTTAAGTGACTTAACACAAAGCTGTCAGAACTGATTTCTATTGTGTCTTTGGACTGTAGAGCAGACATTTCTTCTTACTGCTTTGCTGCTGTTTACGGTGCTGTACGTTCATTTCCATCAAACGAGTTCACATAATTTGTGAAAATTGTGAAAGGGAGTCTTAAAGGTGATCTTAAACTACAGATGATAATTTAATTAAGAGTGAGTTTAAATACATATATTTCGTATCTGAATAAAATTTTTCCAAATTTCTCTCACTTGTCAGAAACTTGTTCAGTTTATGACATTTTCAAATAAGAATCTGTCACATATCAAATTTTGGACTATATTTTCACAATCACCCCTAACATAAGAAAACTTTAAAATTTTGCTCTGTCAGAAAATTACAGTGAAAGTAAGTAGTTCACATTGTTCCTCATGTACTAGCTAAAGATAAATCAAATGTTCACTGTGTGGTTACTTAACTTTCTTTTGTATTGTAAATGTATTTTTTCTTTGATGAACTCTGTTGGATTACATTCCATTCTAGGATGTCAATAGATTAATTTTCAGATATTAATATTTTTGTATTCTTTAGGCTGAATTTTATACTGGCACAAATAAATTTCTTTTGTTGAATTCAACATCCTGGCTAACTGTAGAGACAAAATAACAAGTACACTCATCTTAAAAACTGGATATAGTTAGGGTTATTAAAGGCTTGCAGAGAATTAAACTCTCCTCAAAGGGTTTTGCAGTCTAGAAGTCTTAAGTGTCTAGCAGTAAATGCATAAAGGACCTGACATAAATTACAAAACATTACATTACAGTACACTTTAATCGAGCAATTTTGAAATTTCCTTTTCCCTAGTTGATTGTTATTACTACACATGTTTGTCAGTTCACGTTAATAATTAACCATTTTGAATAAATGATTGTATGAAGATGCAATTGATTGTGCGTCTCTATGCAAATTGATTATTGTATGTCTCTAATACGCAATTGATTGTCATACCATGTAATTGATTTTCTATAAGTTGTTAATGATCAACTATTGCACGAGATTGAAAATATATTTGTTATGTTTGATTGTCCAGAGGTGCAATTGTTCATCTGTTACTGCTATTGAATGTTAATACACATGCAAATACCGTTATTGAAAGTTTGTTCTTGTCAATGAAGTTCATGGAAGTGCTAATGAATGTATATTTGCCTTATAGTTTCAACTACACATCGTCCCCCGAAACGAAACGAAACGAAACGAAAATCTGTAATTTGCGAAATGGAAATATGCTCACATGATTTGCAAAATAGAAATCTGTAATTTTCGATTTCTATTTTGCAAATCATAAGCATATTTCCATCTCACAAATTACAGATTTTAATTTTATTTCGTTTCGTTTCGTTTCGCAAATTACAGTAAGCCGCTTGTAGCCTGATGATTTACAGAGTGGATGGGTACCGACCGGTAAGCATGTTTGAGATCTATTTTAGCCATAAAATAATTAGGTTTTTAGGAGTTTGATAGCGTCATCTAGGGACTGAAATTTAAAATACCACGTGCCGCTAAAATCATTGACAGCATGCCCATGCGGTCGAGAGCAGTCGTGGATAAGCCTTACCTCAGAAGAGTTCGGTTTAGGAATCGTTGCTACTAATCCCCAGCCATGCTCGACAATCGGGTTCCACAGCCTGCGCATTTAGCCACCCACTTCTCCAATTGTGAATAGTTTGATGAAATGGAGCTAAAACTTTCTTAGAAGCTAGAAATAAACTTGTTGTTTGCATGCTTGCTTAATTGCTAATGGCACGTGCACAGATACCTTAGAGGTAATATACTAAAGTAATTTCGCAATTAGAACCGGTTAGCATGGTGAACAGCTATTGGCTCTACCCAAGTCCTATGACTTGTATGTTAAACAAATTGCTCAATCTAAAGGAAAAGGAAAAATAATAATATGTACGCGGCCTGTTCCAAGTCCAAGCCTCTCAGTTATTGATGTCTAGATTTATAATAATATGGATTAATTTTCATGTTAAGTGCTCAATCAAGTCAAAATTCCCTGGTTGACTAAACTCTAAATTTGCTACATTCTGGTAAATCCTACATGTCTGAAAGAGTAACGATGATTCACTAACTTATCCTTCCAATCACTGCTAACAGTTATACAATTTAGAACATAAGTCCCTTAATGAACCACTAGTTTCCCCATTCATGGGCACCACGGTATCAGCGATGCGGACCAAGGGAGCAGCAACTGCATCCTTATCATCCTTTGCCCAAACGTCACCTGAAAGATATTTCTCCACACTTCCCTCTGTTTCCTTAAGAGACATAGATGGGCTGGGCTCTTCTGGCATATGTACAGTAAAAATAAAGGTCAATTCCTTATATGGTGCATTTTGATCATCACAATAAGAGTGAAACAGAAGTTGTGAGGGTGTTGGGAGAAGCTCAAGGTGATGGATGAGCACTACCTTGTGAAGAGCCTCAATTTTTGTCTTCAGCAAATTGTCCATCGTCATTTTGGTCTTTTCTGGAAGATTTGCTTTCTCTTTTTCACCATCAATTCTGGCCAAAGTTTTTTCATTTTTTGGATCCAGCACTTCTGCTAGTTTAATGGCCAGGCAATCCACCCATTCGTGTGCTGCTGGAGGTGCAGCCAGTAAGAACACCAGTGGTTGTGAAGGATCCTTATTCCGTAGGTGAGTCAATCCGCGACTTCTTAAATTCTTCCAGAACCGTTCGGTCTTATTAGTGAATGACAACTGTAACTCTTCAAGCCCATTTCCAAAGACTCTCTCCAGGTCAAAGTCAGTCTTCATATCGTTCTTAGGAGGAGTAAGGTAAATAGCTACAGCAATACATGCAACTGCGGCGGCTAAAATTCCCGCAAGGGGAAAATAACTTGATTGCGACTTGGTACCAGGATTCGCGATGTGGATAAGTTTCGGTTGTCGCTTCCTCTCAGGATCTGATCGCTGCTCATCCGACTCTTTTTCCGGAGATTTGTCAGCAAGTGTCCGATCGCCTTTGTTATCTTTAAGGTCAAGGTTTGTTAATTCTCGCTTATCTGGTGCTGTCTTTACAGATTCACGAGCAGGTGTGTTTTTCCCTCTATGATTGTCTCTGCCAATTATTTCCCCAGTGAGTGTATTACGTTCCTGCGTTTCTTTACCTTCCTCCATGTCCTTCTCAGATACCTGACGTTTGTTTGCACCTTTGCCTTCGACACCTTCAGCTACACTTTCCGCTGTAGAGCTTTCAAAAATTTCCCCTTTTCCCTCAGGTTTATCTCCAACCTCTTCGGAAGACATCGTCTTAGCAAAAATAAGTGATGATCTCAAACTCTCAGGTTCTGAGAGTTGTTTGTGCGTTAACAAAGCGCGCGGTTCATAGAAAAAGGTCTCCTGCTAGCGACTTGTAAAAATTAGTTACTCTGACAAGGAAAGTTATTAATAAATTGATTAAGACTAACCAATGAAAATTGCTTTACTAAGTATCACGGAAGTTTTCTAGAAAACCTACAGGCAAACAAAACGCGCTTTTCCCGGAAAAAGGGCCCCTGGTAGCGACTTTTATAAAAATTTACCTAACAAGCAAACAAAACGAGACTTTTCCCGGAAAATTATCTCCAACCTCTTCGGGAAATCCTTAGTATTTAGTGACTTTTGATAAATTATTTAGAGTTGTTTGTGTGTTAACGAAAGGTCATTAATCAACTGATTGAGACTAACCAATGAAAATTGCTGTACTAAATAACACGGAAGTTTTTTAGAAAACCTGCAGGCAAACAAAGCGCGCTTTTTTCCGGAAAAAGGGCCCCTGGTAGCGACTTTTATAAATTATTTAATCTAACAAGAAAGGTTTTCAACTGATTGAAAACCAATGAAAATTGGCAAACAAAGCGCGCAGTTCCCGGAAAAAGGGTCCCTGGTAGCGACTTTTATAATTTACTTTTACAAGAAAGGTCATTAATCAATTGATTGAGACTAACCAATGAAAATAACTGTACTAAATAACACGAAAGTTTTCTAGAAAATCTGCCAGCAAACAAAGCGCGCGTTTCCCGGAAAAAAGGCCCCCGCTAGCAACTTGTTTACATTAAATTACTCTAGCAAGGAAGGTCATTGGTCAATTGATTGGGAAAATTGCTGTTCTAAATAATACAGAAGTTTTTTTTCAGAAAACCTTCAAGCGGACTAAAGCGCTCGTCAATACTGCAAAAATATGGAGAACAAGGGAGGTTTGTGCTGCTGATGACAATTTTGTGTGCACCAATGATAAGTGCAGTACTTTTTGAAGGTATTGTTGGAGGTGTTTTTCTTGTAAGTGGCTATTATTTTGCGCCAAAAATTTATTGTCATTTAACTGAATGCTGTGCTGAATACTGTAAGAACAAGTGGATTAAACTCAACATGACGGGTTTACAGTCAGCCCTTCGGAGGCGTGTTCTTGGTCAACACTTGATCGCTGAGACCGTTTTAAAGGCTCTTGTTGGACATTTGAACAATGAGTCGCCTGATAAAGCGTTAGCCCTTTCCTTCAATGGCTGGACAGGATCAAGATCATAGCCGAACATATCTTCAAGAAGGGATTGGAGAGTGATTATATTCATCAGATCATAGCTACTCATGAATTCCCTCATCAGAACAAAGTAGATGATTACAAGGAAAAGCTGCGCGAACTAGTGATAGATTCTGTAAAAAAGTGCCCCAGATCGCTGTTTATCTTTGACGAAATGGATAAAATGCCCACAGGCCTCATAGATGTGCTTAAACCCTTCTTGGATCATTACCCCCCTGATGAAGGCAAGATCGATTACCGTCAAAGTATCTTCATATTCCTTAGCAATACGGGGGGGTCATCTTATCAACAGTGTTGTTCTAAAACACTTGAAAGACGGAAAGAAAAGAGAAGACATCAAGATTAAAGAGATGGAGAAAGTCATCAATCTCGGTGGATTTCGGCATTCCTCTCTAATTGAAAAAAAATCTCATAGATTACCTTATTCCGTTTTTGCCGATGGAGAGACCTCACGTTAAAAAGTGTGCTAAAGCCGATTTAGAGAAGAAAGGACACCCAGTCACAGATTCCATCCTAAACAGAGTAGGTATTTTCTCTGTCTGGTTGTAAGAAAATTTCAAGCAAAATTGACTATGTGATGGGGTGAGGAATTTTGAAAACTTTGCACTTGAGACAGTAGGCAGCAAGTCAGGCTGACATAATGTGTAGACAATTAATAGAAACTGGTTTTGAAGAAACAGTAAAAGCTTGTCACGTATACTTACGGCAATGACTTTCCAGTTAGTGTGAGTCAGCCTTTCAAACTTAATTTAGAAATAATTGGGGTGGGTAAGTTCAGCAGAGGGTGGAGATGGAGGAATTGGAAGTATGTTTTTGATACAAAGAAGATAATCATCTGATAGAGAGAATAGGTATCTGAAAGAGAACAAGAGAATGATGATCTAGTGTAATAATTTTATTGACCACCCTCGTTTTGATAACTGCCCCCTCTCCAAAATGTTCCCCATCTAATTTGTTTTGGTTAAAAAGTGCCCCTATTTAAAAAGGACTCTCATTCCAATAAGTGCCCCTCTTCTGTTTCGGTGATAGCACTGTAGAGTACAACTACATTGAGATCAACCGTGGTTCATCTTTCTTTAACTGCTCACGTAGAGCGTCATCACCAAAACACTTGTCTTCATCTCAGTATCTCAACTATTATGTTCACCCGAGTGCACAGTTCCTTCAAATAAATGATTTTGTCTTAAAATTTGTGATGATTGCTTGGCTGGTCGTTTTAGCCAAGAAAGATTCAGGGACAACACCTCCATTTTCCCTTCGTATTGATTCTTTTCAAGTAGCCATCAAAGCTTTGTTTCAAACATTTTACTATTTCTGAGAAAGGAAATAAGCACCTTGTTTTGAATAAGCACCCTCCCTTGAGAAACCAAAAGTAAATAAGTGCCCTGAGCACTAAATCAAATCTGTTCGGTAGTTAAGTTTCTAAGGAAAGTTTTATACTGACAAGGGTGAGAGCTGATACTCAAATTGTCAGCTTTTCTTAAGTTACTGTAGCAGCCAATTGATTTACCTATGTTTAATATAGAGATCATATTGTGCCAAATATCTCTAAATCCCAAATCAGGTTCTCTTGTACCATGTTGTTTCTGATCAAAATGAAAGTTCTACTGGAAGCAATGATTTTGTAGATGAGACACTCTTGCCTTAGCTTTTCACCTGTGTTTTAAAATTGCGCACTTTAATATGCCATCCTCTGTGAATCAACAGTAAGAAATGCAAAGATGTACTGCAAATGTAAGAATGGGAACTGTATTAGTGCATTATCATTCTTTTATTAAGAACCTAGCTATGAAAAATGTTGATATAGTGTTAGTAGTATTCTTACTTAAGGCAGTCTGAAGAACCCTCTTCTAGTAATAATCCATATTTAAAGTGTCGAAAATAAATCAGTGTTTTATTTGCTTCTTGAACATGCATTGTCTTAAGAATTTCTTGTGTCACTGATGACTAGCTGAAATTTATAGGATAAATTTTATATTTTGTCAAAATTGACATCATTATTATTTTAGGAATGTAGGGTGTGCTATTTTGTTTTTTATGCAAGGGTTACCTCACATGGCAAGGACACGGTAGCAAAACAACATGGCTGAAAAGTAAACACATTGCTCACACTGCAGCTGAAAACCTACTCAGATAATGATAACCAAGATCAGGTCTATTTCATTTTCTTCGTAGCTGGATATTCCAAAACAATCTTGGTCTCTGTCCAACATCACGAAAACCTCATCTTGATAGGGAGGGGGAATATATATGGACACAACACAATAGAAACGGAGCTGACTTTCCATGAAGAAGAGAAGTTTATTGTCATTTTTATATCGACATGGTGACAGAAGGACTTGTTTCCTAGTGAATACCTCATGCATGTATAAGATACTTTACTTAACACCTTGGAGAGAAAGTTTATTCTAATTTTGGGTTATCAAAAAGGTGTTCAAGTTCCTTTATGTCACCTCAGATAATACTTCAATCTAGATTATTTACAAAATAACCATTATCTGATTTTATTTCGCAAGGGAGGAGAGGGAAGGGGAAAATTAAGTTTGGTACCAAATTTGTCAGCTAACCCTGCTTAAAATGTTTCAACTTAGGAAGCTTTATTTGAGAATATTTTTTTGGAAGGGACTACCTATTGAGAGCCTAAGTAGTGAGTGCATAGTACTGTATACCAATTTATTTCTGACTTTGGGTTGATGGCTAAGAAACAGAACCTAATTCAACATCCCTTAATCTAATTTTCCATAAAACATGCTGGCAAACGAAAACAGAAAAAAAGCCTTTTAAACCACTTTTTCCAATTGCTCAATATTTTCCAGAAGGTGCTTCAATGAACATGAAGGAAACATCTTCATATCAGTAAAAGATCTTAATCAGCACTTATTTAAAGACAAATTCTTTGATCTGGACATTCACAAAATTTGTGAAAAATGTGAAAGGGAGTCTTAAAGGTGGCGTGAAACTACAGATGATAATATAATTAAGAATGAGTTTAAATACATGTATTTCGTATTTGAATAACATTTTTCAAATTTTTCTTCACATGTTAAAAACTTGTTCAGTTTTTGAATCTGCCACATCATATCTATTTTTAGACAATATATGCTTACAATCACCCCTTTTCGTCAGAAAATTACTAACACTGAAAGTAAGTAGTTCAGATTGTTCTTTACCAGCTTAAGATAAATCAAATGTTTACTGTGTGGTTACTGAATTCTCTTTTGTATTGTAAATGTATTTTTTTTCTCTGATGAACTCAGTTGGATTACATTCCATTCAAGGATGTCTTAGATTAATTTTTTCAGATAAGGATATTTTTTAATTCTATGGGATGAATTTTTTTACTGGCAGAAACAAGTTTCTTTAGTTGAACTCAATATTCTGGCGAACCATAGAGACAAAATAAAAGGCTAAGTACACTAATTTTAAATACAGGATATAGTTGTTAAAGGCTTGCAGAGAATAAAACTATCATCAAAGGGTTTGGCAGTCCAGAGGTGTTCAGTGTCTGGCAGTCAATGCATACAGGACCTGGAATAAATTATGAAACCCAGAAAACACGAATGCTGAATATCACTTACCTATGAATAATCTTAACAGAAAATTACCACTTGAAGCACCAAGAGTTAATGAAAAAGAAACCTGAGTCCAACGGAGGAAGAACTTAGCTTTGGTGGTAAATAAAATGGTTGCCTAAAACCAAGCTAGCTTTACTTAATTTTGTGCTCAAGAAATGTTTTTAAAATTACCTATCAACTGTTTCACTCCTGTTGAATGTCTTCCTCCTCATCCTGGAGGTCTTTTTTTTCTTCTTCATTGTCCTTTTCTCCCTCATAAAATAACACAGGACCTCCTTCATAAATATCATGCAAAAATGTCCATGTCTCTTGTGACAGCTGCCCATTTTCAGAGTCTACAAAGAAACATTTTGAGGATGCAATGAGAATGTTCTTTTCTTAAATACTAAAAGTATGAACCAAGTTCATGCACAGGTTTAGCTTGCAAATCTGTGGGGCACCCAACCAAGAAATCAAAATGTCTGAGGTTTGAATCTGCACCCATGACTAGAATATATTTTCCAACCTTGCAAAAAAAGGGTTCAAAATACTTCTTTATCAAAGAAAAATTTTTTTAAGCATGATAGTACCTTGTTGATACAAATCCTGCAAGAACTTACTTGGTTTGAGTACTTTTGTGTTTCCCTTTAAAACAAATATATTGCTGTTGTCTATAGGGCCTGGAGGATCTGAGACAAGAAAAATCATTAGTACTAGCTATCTTATAGTAGCAATACTTTTAGTCTCCTCATGCTAGTTATTAAAACGGGTGCACTATGGCAATCTTTGAACCTAGCTGGTGTGACCACCCTCATCACACCTTTATCATAAGTGTCTGATGTTGAGACTTGGTGCCAATTTGACGCCTGACAAACAGTCAACTAAGGATAACAAAATCTATAACCTCTTGAACACCCTGAAAAGAAACTGTATTTGACAAAGATTGAGTTATGAGGTGATGAGGGTGACAATGTTAAATAAGTCACATGTACCATCTTCCTGTCCTTTTACAAACATTTCCCATAGTTTGAACCAACGCATACTGATGAAATACACATCCACATTTTCATTGGCTGGATACTCATGATTCAACTGAGGGGGAAAAAAACTTTTTAGAAGAAGTTATTAGTAATAAACTATGTAACTATAAAAGAGAGGCATATCACCATTAATGCATCTTCAAAAATGAACCTTTTCACTACCAGAACAGACCAAAGAGGAATTTCCCATTACAGTATCAATCAGAAAGGTAAATAGAAGCACATAAGCATTAACTGGGGATTAATGATTCACTGAATGCAAAAATTAAGAAAAGAGTGTAGCAGAAAATGCAAAGAGGTTACTGATTAGTTCATATCTTGGAAGTAAAAGGGCCACAACTACATTTCACTAGACTAAGTCTATTTTTTACTATCCACTTCAATCTACTCCTTCATTGGCCATCCTTCTCCTTGTGCTATAGCTTCCAAGGAAATGTTCTACTTGTGGAATGGTTACTGTTATTCTTCTTGTTATAATGTTTTACTGATTGACAATCAGTATAATTATAAAAGAAAATACAAATGTGCATCCTAGAATCTCAATACAAAGACGTTATTGACGCAGGGTTGAGATAAAAGAAATATCTAACAAACCCTCTTGAACATTTCCATTTCTCTTTGTCTTCTTCTTTCAAGGTCATCTAAGGCTTTCTGGCAAAATAACATGAAAAGGGTTAGTTATATTTCAGTACATAACCTTTTATAAAGCAACATAAGAGTTAAAATTTTTTGTGTTGATTTTAAAGTAAATGTCTTGCTTAAACATTTTACATTGAGTAAACCAGGTCTCAAGATATCAACTCTCTGTACCATCCTAAGCTTACAAACTGTACCTTGCAGTGTCTGCAGATGTTTAGCTTTGTAGCTGGGGGACCTCCACCAAACCTACACCGAGGCAAAGAAAATTCCCAATTAAAAGGAGACTACCATGAAAGTGTTTTAGTGAACTATTTGGTACAAAAATGTTTCTTTAGTTAGTAACCTCACCGGTTAACAAGATGCTTCCACACAGATTCTGGAAGTGGAACTGTAATGTCATGAATTTTCTCAAAGTTCAGTGGATGAACAGCTAGGAAAAACAGAAAATATGGTTGACAAGAACCACACACAATGTATGGAGAGGAACACTTTCAACCCACATGGCCAAGTACTATACTAACCACATCTTATCCTGGATATGGACAAAGAGAACTTTGCTACTCCCCCCTTGACTGGATTTCTGTCCATGTTACAACAATTTGGTACACTTCCAAGACAGTGTGTTGGTACTCATTCATACTCCTGGGTGAAAAGAGGCACTGTGACAATGGAATGGACTGCCCAAGAACACAACATTATGATCCAGGACAGGACTGAACCCTGACTTCTTGACTCCGGTGTGCATAGCACTAGGCTACCATGCTCTACAAGACTATCCTTACTTCTACACTTTGCCATTGACTTTTTAACTACCATGAGTGACCAAGACAGAATTTCTCATTACAATGTCACCCAGATAAGTAACGAGAATAAAGGAAAAAATATAAATTAGGGTATAATTAGTTGATCCAATACTAAATTCTCTGAGCTAACATTATAAGAATTGTATGCTTGACAGTAAGGAGAATTACAAATTTGATCAGGGAGTTAAAGGGTTAATATGGTAAACCTGACTTTGTGTGAAGCAATTCTTACCTCCATGGCGACACAAATAATCAGAGTTTGTGATTGGACCTGCAAAAGTAGGGTCCATAAAAATTTGTATATACATGTACAGTTAGAACATTGTAAGGTGATGAAGTTTGTCCTTAAAGACAGCCCTAAAAGTATCTTTGACAATTAAAAAAACCAGTTAAAATTTCCTTTCAAGCAATGCCTGTTCACTGAAGAAGTTTCATCTGATTATCTGTCAATTCTGTTAGGTTAAGAGGGCTCGTGTGTGTAAAGGGTAATCTTCATACAAAGAATAAAGTGCAGTTTTAGTAAGTACAGGGTCAGAAACAATTTTCACATTTGACATACATGTATCAATGATCTCATGCTCAATTACCTGGCTCCATACAAGACTGAAACTTTGTCAACCATTTCTTTGAAACAAAATACCTGGATTCATGGGTCTACGGAGTAAATAAAATAATAATAATAAAAAAATATGACAAATGAAAAGCTACTCTTTAGTAAAAGCTTCCAAACATTTCACTTAGTTATCTCCTTGTTGCAAAAGATTGGCTATGTAAAAAAAAAGGAATGGTGATTAAAAAGAAGAAAGGATGGCTATAAGGTCCACAGCCCTGACAGACTGGGTGGCTTAGTGTCAGGGAATAAAAATCATTTCTTAAAAAGAATACATGTATCATGTAATAAATTATGTCTTCTTGACACAATCAAAAGAAAAAAGAGCATGTTCCTTCACCAAAGATCAGAAAAATATTTGGATTAGCAAAACAGAAATAATGCTTATGAGTAAGTGTGCAGCTGCAATACCTGAGCATCTTTCAGTAAATTGAAGAAAGTCTGTCGTTCTCTGGTGGCTTCGTCACTTGATTTCCTGTTAACAAAATTTAAAATCAAACCGACATATAAATTTCTACTTTCACAAGTTGTGTTCCACACCAAGGGTGACTACATTTTAAGAAACCAGACACGTAATCATGAGTTTCCAAATAATTGCAATCATTGTGAAAAGGGGATATGCAGGAGTTAGTTAAGAGTGAGGCAAATCAGAAGTAAACTTTATTCCTGAGGGGCCAACACCCTTCTCTACCCTCAACTAACCTGTAAAACAGCACATAGGCTTCCACATCAGCAACATATGAATCAGAAACTGAAATGAAAAAGTAAAGAAGTGTACTGTATTCAACTCTGTATTTCAACAAGACACAAAGCTAACAGCAAATTTATACAGCATTCTGTTTATATTATCAAATACAATGCTGGTGGGATTTACTTTCACCAACTCAGAATCATTAAACATGTGGTTTGAATCATTAGATCATACTGTATAACAAAGTTTATTTCTCTAATGCATGACTGACACATACCTTCACTGACCCAGGAGTCATTGAACTCATACCATTTACCATTGATATAGTTTTTGGCAAAGGTAACATAATGTCCAGCTAGAAGATGAAGAAACATCATCCTTGTTAAAAAAAATAACTGTACATACAATCAATCTAACAGGAGGAAAGTGAAAATTTAAGTAAGGCCAGACTTACATGTACTTAAAGTAAATTTAGTTTCCTCACTATACTTAGCCCTTTAACTCCCAAAATCTCATTGGTAATTCTCATTACTGTCTGCCATACAGTTCTTGTGATGTTAGTTTGGAGAATTTGGTATTTGATCAACTAATAATCCCCTAATTGATATTTTTCTTTATTCTGATGACTTGTCTGCATGATATTGTATTTATATTTTAAGGAGAAATTCTGTCTTGGTCACTCATGGGAGTTAAAGGGTTAAGCCCCTAACCTCACCTACTGCCTCCTACCTACTACCTTAGGATGCAAAAATGACTCACAAATGTGGCAATTAAAGTAAATTTCATAACATCAGTTTACCTCCAACATTGCCATGATGTGTGATAATGGCAACAAGATCATAAGTGGTACATCTCTGGTTTGGATCCTGTTTATGAAAATCTGAAAGGGGAAAAAAGTTTTTGCTTTGTGATTTGATAAGAACTTTGTATGAACTGGAAAATGTCTATCACAACTGCTATTCAACTACAGCTTCTTCATGAGGTTTTTAACAATCATTCTGTTCTAACTAAATCATGGATGTGTGTCTTAGTGTCTGCTGATGTTTCTGCAAATTAAAAACATTGAAGATTCCACTAAAACACATGAAACTTAAGTCAAGACTTCACATAAGTTGACATCATATTCTGTACCTTTAACCAAAAATGGTTTCATGTCCAATCCAGTCAACGGGAATGAAATAAAGTGATTTATTTTTGAAGAGAAGTACATTTCATGTTTAAAACGCTTCAGATGAATGCACAAAATCTACAAATTTAAGAAGATAAAACAAAGCAGTGAGCAAATTAATTCAAAACATCTACAGTATAGTAAATCATTTGATACAATTCAAAATTATGTTATTCTTTGGCATTAATAAGAAATGCTAGACTTACTTCAGGAAGGCGCATTACTTTACAAAGTTTGACACCATTTCTCAGCCTGAAATGTAAAATTAGCAGTGAGAGACTGAAGTTTGAGGTTTGGAGCAACCAAATTTACACTTATTGATAACTACAGACAGATTTTTCTGACCATGAACATTACTTATTTTCATTTCTTATGAAAGATTCCAGTTTATAAACCAGTTAAAAGAAATTAATTAGCTTCAGAACATATACTGAGTAATAATGATTGCTTTGAACATTGGTGTAAAAGTTGTCAGGCAGGTAGTTAAATAGTCTGTATGAGAGCAGTCCTAAGGATACTTGGCAAAAGTAATGACTGACATTCAAACATTGGAGCTAAAGTCACTATTGGAGTCACTTGACTCTGATGATGACTTCTACTTAGGCTGTTAAAACTCCAGTCATTGTTACCCACATAAGTCCTTTCTACACTTCTCTCACTCAGACAATCAGATTACCTTAAATCTATTGCTACTACTTTACATAAAGCTGTGCAAACTGTAGGGATGAATTGACATGTTAACTTTCTAAAATTATGCCATGTTAAACAAAACAATGTTATGCGGGAAGAGTTTTATACTGTACAGTTGTAATAAGATTAAGGAAAATCATTCTTTGAAGCAAACATACTTTTTGCACTTTTCACAGCTGTACATGTTATCTCCTGTAAAAAAAAAACGATGGTGAGCAATGAGATGGGATAAATTACCATATTAACTGAATTTTTTCTCTGAAAGGGAGCTCCCTTAAACTTTGGAAAAGGAGATTATTTATTGTAAGGGTACAAAATACATTAAAAAGAAGACCAAGCAGACTCTTGAAATGCAAAATTTTGAGTAAGACATTTGAGCAAAATTTCAGAACACCAAGTTTGCAATGGTGCTACCTAGAGCTACTGTGAAGAATTTCAAATCAATGCAGAAGATGTTATTATATATGCTACTATGAAAACCCTCTTGTACATCAAACACATCTGGTTAATAACTGAGATAGGATGCAGTAAGATTTTGGAAATTTGTGAACAAAACTGACAACAAACTGACATAATAAAGATGAGAACTTTATTATTGGGTCCAAATCACCAGCATACAATGCACACTAAATGTAACCATAATTAATTATCTAGCAATTAATGAGAATATGAGGCATGTGTCCATGTGTAGACAAACCTTTTAATTCGTCTGCTGAAAAAAATGCTGACAAGCAGTCTGAAAGTGTGACTTGTGGACCTAAAAACCAGCTACAGATAACAAACAGCACAAATTTGTCAGATAATAACTTACTAGGAGTGAGTCGCTACTGGCACAGTTAGTAGTAAACATTTAACAGAGGCGAAAAAATTTATAACCCAGTAAACTTTGAATTTTCAATGTTCCTTGGTCCTGGTAATTAAACATCAGGGTTACATGACAAAGAAAAATGGCTATTAATCTACTGGGGAAATATTTAGGGAAATTGGCTGTCAGTACATCAGTCAGTCAGTCAGTCAGTCAGCCAGTCAGACAATTTATTTGTCAGACAATCCTTGATACATGGTGTAGCATACAATTAGGAGGTGATGGCCAATTCTACAATTCTCTCTACTGCACCTTCTCAGCCATTCAAGTAAAGTTGACATCCAGCTTTTATCCTGATCTCTGTCTATAACAGATGAGCATGATGCTAAAGGTGTGCATTGTGAAGCATGAAGAACTGTCAGCTCATCTTTGCCTGTGAAAAAATAATTGTTTCTAAGACTTAGAACAACCTTGTACATGTACATCAGCATGTTACAACATGAATACTTATTAATTAATTGTTGTGTGATTTAAAAACAAAAAGAAGGGAACTTAAAATATTTCTTCTTGTGGATATGATGGGGAAAATGTTTTGTTACCTGGAATTGGTAGTGAAACATCTTGAAATGTTTCTGCCCTTGATGAAACCTATAAATATAAGATTACTCAGTGAGCTTTGTCTCAATCATTTCTCCTCCTTCTCATCTGCCAAAAAGCCACTGCAAGACCTCCCCCCTCCTCCTTGCCCAGTGAAGTTCTGCCCATGCAAACTTACAGAATAGAAAATGGCAAGTTGCCTTCCTAAGTGATCAAAAAAATGATTCCCAACCTTGTCTAATAAAAACATTTTGCAGCAATATAGACATAAACACAGAATTTGTACAACACATAAAAAAGTATGCTCCTCGATAAAACATGGACATCATAATACCAGTAATGTTCTAATATCAATACACATTTTTAATCACAGTAAATTACTGTAAAATATTACAGAACTGCACTTTAGTACCCTGTGACAGGTAAGGCACTGCACTGAACTCTGTATTGTGCCATCAAATAAGTCAGTCACTATACTGCTGTAGTTCAAAGGTACTTTCTTCTTTTTCTTCCCTATGATAAAAAAAAAGAGTTTGATAAGTCTATAGAATTTTACTTCAAACATTCCATTAGTACCAAGATTTAAAAATTAAAAGAAGACATATCTCAAGCCTTAACAGATTAACAATGCATCTTATAGAACTATTCCTCTAAGCATAGAAGGGGTACGTTTCTCAGAAACTGAGATGCTGCATCAGTGGGTGACAAGATAGTTTGCTTTTATCAACTGAGTTGATTATAAAAATTGGCTACTGTAGAGAGTATCTTAAGCTTTAGAAACTCACACTTACATTAAACCTCCACAAAAGTGGAATAAAAAGCCATTTCTAGGGGTGGGTAATTACACAGTGCAAAGTCACTCCAAGTACAGGAGCAAACATCTCATTATTGTGAGCTGTATTACATTTAATGAACACATATGCTATGAACTTGCCAAACCAGACCTGACCAGACCAGACCAAGGGTACACTGCACAATTGAATATCTTACTTCTTTCAGCTATTTGCTCCCTTTTGGCTCTTTCCTGATGAGATGGCTGCTTCATATGCTCCTTTGTGCCTGAATCTACAGGCTTTTCTTCTTTGATTAATGCAACATCCTCACTGTCCATGTTTTCATCAAGTTGATCAGGATGCTCTGTTTCACCATTACTCATTGTCTCACCCTCGACAGACACAGTCACATCATTATCATCCACAGGATCTGTGTTAGTCTTCCTGCACTTGGATTTGGAGGCCCCATTAGACTCCATATCCTGGTCAGCCTGCTCTTCTGCTGTGTCAACATGAAGTGGTTTGTCATTCGTGACATCATCACCACTGTCTGAATACATGTCTACATCACCATCATCTATAAGAAATAACACTATCCCCTTAGTTTGAGCTCAGAAAAGAAAATTAATACTTCCACCCCCAAATTCTCATTAGCAATTCTCCTTAATATCTTCCATACAATTCTCATCATGTTAGTTCTGAGAATTTGGTATTGGATCAACCAATAATTCCCTAATTGATTTTTTCCTAAATCCTCAATAAGTGTCTGTTGACTTTTTATTGATATTGTTAGGAGAAATTCTGTCTGGGTCACTAAAGGGAGTTAAATGATTAAGAGAAGATAGTGCTGCCAATGAAGACAGATTAAGAGATTATACAAGTTTGTTGTAATTAAATATTTGTCCAAATTTTCTGTGTTTGTTGCTTACAGTCTATTTTTATCTTTTATAACACTCTTAAACTCTCTCAGTCTATCATTTTTTGTTTTTCTGTCTCCACAGACAGATACTGTACAGTCATATTTACAAATCTCTTCCACAAATGAACATGACCCTTTGATTGCAGTGACTGACTAGCATCTAATCCTCCTTAAAATATCACCCCTACCTCACACATTAAGGTCACAAGAAAAATGGAAATCATCACCAACCAAAGAAGCTCTTGATTGTTATACAAAGTCTCTTTGGTTAGCACCTCAGGAAATGTATAGTGAACAGTTAATAGAATGAGCATACTGATGTTATGTGTAACAGGTTAAGCATCATGTACCATCTTGCAGGTTTTCAGTGTGAGACAGGCTTGTTCCCCCTAGCAATCTTTTGTTCTGATGGTTTGGTTCTTCATCATCACTTTCTGAGGAATCTGGGTCAGTTGTCAGTGACAGCAAAGGCTGCCTCATCTCCTCATGTAACTGATCCATGATGCAGCGTAGGAATTCCTGAGCATCCTTAGATAAACAATGCAACAAACAAAAGATCTTGGTCTCACCCATAAAAAAAATTCAACAACTCTGGGTACTTGTGGTTGATACAACTATGGTTCCAGTTATAGAAAAAAGTTCAAGGCTGTCTTTGATCCTCAAAATTTTGAGGATCAAAACTGAGACAGTTTGAACATTACAGATTTGTTGGAGAATTTTCAAGGCTGTACATAAAAGGAACTTTAAAAGTAATTAATTTTTTAAAAAGACAGATCTCACCTGTTGCCCATAACCTCTGAACTGTGAGTTGATTTGCCGAACACTACGAAGCAGCTGGGATGGCACAACATATCTTGGTCTAAATAGAGTAAAATGTTTGTTGCAGAGAGCAGTCATAAAACAAACACAAAGACCTATACATTAATCTTCAATTTCAGCAATTATCACCAACTTCATCTACTTGATGAGTGAGCTAAAAATTAAACAAAATATCAGCATTTCACTTCCTAAAATATTCTGAATTTATATGAACTAAATAATAATACCTTTTCCTAGACCATAATTCATCAACTAGAAGTGAATAATGTTTGCAGACAGAAGAGTTCTTTGTTTCTTTCGCAAAGCTCCCACATTCCAAGAAGTATTGAGTTAGGGGTGGACTGCAAAAAAAAAAAAGAAAATCCACGTCTTCAAATAGTAAATACAAAATGAAAAAAAGGTGCATTAGTTTTAATAAATGTGACCAGAACCTAGTATACATGAGAACACATTCCTAAGGGAGAAGCCTCTAAACAATTATTAAGCCTTCATAACAGAATGGAGAGCATGTTTTTAAATATTTTTTCCACAAATAAAACAACAAAGTCACACCTCTTAAGAGCACACAACCTCAGGAACAATTTGAAGTCCGTAAGAGAGAGTCTTTGATAAAAAGTGTAAGGAAAAGCCTCCTTTGAGGTCAAATTGACCCAAATTGTTTGATATCTCATTTTGAAAGATTGTGTGAGTTAAGTTATAATAGAAAATCAAGTTTCGCATAAAATTCTCATTCATGATTGTGTCTAATCATCAGCAAAGAGGCCCTAAATTATAAAAATTATCCTGATGAAAACAAATAAAACTTAACCCTTTAAACCCTAAGAGTGACCAGCATCTAATTTCTCCATACGGTAATACTGCTAAACCATTCATTAAGATCATAGGAAAAGAAAAAATGATCGCCAACTCAAGCAGCTTTGATTTTCAAATGAATTCTCCTTGTCAATGGCAAAAGAAATGCATGGAGAAGAGTATGGAGAATCTGGATACTGATGTTAGGGTGTAAAGGGTTAATTAAACTGCATCATACACAACTTCACAGGAGCACAACCATACCAGTTTGATAGAGCTTGAAGAGCCGCATTCATGTAACAAGTGTTTCCAAGGTTTGACAAGCCACATAACCCTGATAAAGCAGAATAATTAACAATTTGTTTAATCAAAGAATTTATCTAAGGCATAAGTACGAATGTACATAGCCTATGCAGACAAAGGTGCACATGTTTCTTTAAATCAACAGGTAGCAGAGTAACATCCTCCATAAGAAATTGAAGGAAAACATTTTCTAGGCCAATTTTTCAATCTCCTCTGACATTATACCAGAACATCACATTCACTGTACATGAAGATGTGTTATTTATTTTATCCTACAGCTATAACTGTGACAAAAAAATTCCAAAAGAATAGTTTATTTCTTTCCCCTGGCTTATTCACAATAAAACTAGTTTGAATGAATTAAGTTGAATGTAACTTCACTGTTAAAAGCTCATATACTTTTTTTTACAAAAGGATACTGTAACAACTTTTAGTACAAGCTGTTAATGACTCAAATGAGTCAGTGTCTTTAGACAGGTGTTTTTTGATTTGCACTCAAATAAAATATTAATAGTCTTCTCACCTCTTGGCTTTAAACCTTTCTCCAATTCTAGAGCATCTTCCATATCCAAAACCTCATGAGTCTAAGGCAAATCAAAGAAAAAAGCATTTCGGAATCCATAACAAATGGAATATGTTTTTAAAGAGTAAACTGCTGCCCTTATCTAGTAATCATGACTTGATCAATCCTTTATTCCCCCACTTGGCCAATTTTTTCAGTTTTACTTTGAATGTTCACCGCAATAAATTTCTCTCTACTACATGGTCATTGTCAGTGACAACTTTGATTTGATTTGACAGTCAATCAAAAAGTGTACTATATGATAAAAACAAAAAACCAACCTGCAGTTTCAAGAGTTAGGGCCTTAGCCCCTCATCAGAGAGATTGACAAAGGGCTAATGCTCGAAACACCAGCTTTTTAACTCTTTACCATAGCCAATTTATGTTATCAACTCAGTTAATAATGACAAATTACCCTGTTATACTCTCCCACCAATGCAACACCAGCAAGGCTATTGCCCCTTTATTCATATTTACAATACCTTTGGTCTTGAAGGACTAGTTCCATCAGTACTACCTGCAGAGCTATCAGATGGCTGCACTTCAGCCTGGCAGCTAAAACACCACATTTTAAAATCTTGAAGTTGTAAACACAAGTGGTGATTGGTTTCCTGTAGACCGCAAAAGACTGTCATTAAATATTTAGTAGTATCCTGGAAATGAAAAGTGTGGCTTTGGGGCATGTGATAGGCTGCTGGTGATCTTGTGTTGGAATCCATCAGAGAATCTAAAAGTTGGTTTCACCTTTTAAGCCCCTAGAGTGACCAATGCTTAATTTCTCCCTCCTGTGTCAGCAAATTATCAGACAAATACCTAGAGGTTCAAGGAACTGGTCACTAAAGAGAATTTGTGTTGATCTTGAGCAAATTCTTGCTGTTGTAGTTGTTAGTGATGAGGATATTCATGTTAAAGGTAGGTCCTAGGTAGTTATGTGAAATCTGCAACACCGTAAGGCATTGTGGGAGGCTGTAGCCTTGCTGCTCTCAGTCATTCATATATCAACAAAAGCCTCTATTTGGCACAAAAATATGCACAGATATTAAATATCTGTGCATATTTTTGTGGACAAACTTTGTCCGCATACATTATCTGTTCAAAGATGCAAACTGTGAGCTTCAAGGATTTCCCACAAAATAGAGGCTATTGTGTTTATTATCCTTCAAATATTTTGCAACACACATTTGAAAATGTTTACAAAGCGCTCACTGTTTGCTTTGTGAGATGTTTTCTTGCTTCTTCTGTAACAACCATGAAATGTTCTCTCTTTTTTAATAAAATTTTGAATGAGACTTATAGCAGATGTAAGGTTTGAAAATCGGGGATCACAAATATTTGATGGATCATAAAGACCACGATCCTAAAGTGATCAAAATGAGTATTCACTGAAGTCACACATTTCAGTGAACTATTTCACCAAAATGCAGCACAACCCACAGCCATATTTGATCCATAACAGGAAGTAAAATGCCCATGGGAGGTTAGGTTGTTAAAGCATTTACATAGCCAATAAGGAAAAGACTTTCATGTCAAAAGTATGATAAACAACCTCCATCCAGAATACAAAAGATGTGAAGTATTTCTCTTATTTTTTAAGCTAGGAACTTTCAAAGCTCACTCTACCTGATTGTGAAGCTCAATGTGATTGTTACCAAATTGCCCACACCCTACAAATGAACAACACTTCTGAAAGGAAAGAATAGTATGACACTAGTTAATAAATAACTAGGTACACATATTGTGATGCTAAATACATAGATGGAGAAATAACAAATTTTTAGCGCTCCAGTTCTTCTCATTAATTCAAACTTTGAAAGCCCTTGTTCCTAAAATTATAATTACCAGAACTTCTACAAACACTACCTAGTCTCTTGATGTTAATCAGTCTTCTTAGTGAAATAATTTATAAAAAGGGCCAGTACAACTGAGACCCTAATAAAATGTATAAATAATATTGTTTGAAAGATTATTAACAAACCTGCAAGCAGACCCACAAATCGGATCCTGACTTTTTACAATTATCACAACTCCCCTGAGCAAACAGAAATACAGTAATGTTAAAACAAAAAGAGTTCATGACAGGCAGAGGTGTCAATAGACACAAGGGAATTATGTTATTCAAGTGATGTGGTCCAAAACTTAACTCACTAACTGGCACATGTAACTGGATGAATTGACCCTTTCACTCCCAGAGGTGACCAGTGGAATTTTTCCACACAATACCACTACATTTCTCAGCAGAAAGGTGATATGAAGAAACAAGAATGTTACAAGGGGGAATATTTTTATTTAAAACCAAACCAGCTGGAGTGCACATTTTAAGGAAAGTTCAGTGAACAATTGGTTCTTAGATCTTGGACATGAAAGGGTTAACTGACAGCTAATTGGCCAACCAACTGATAATATGACTAACTCACTCACTACACATCAAATGACTGACTAACCAATTATTTACCAATCATACCAGATCAATCATTGCTTACAAATAAAAAAAAATTGAAAAGCTTGTGTTACCCAGCCACATGAAGTTTTAAGTCCACATCTAATGGCTGACTTACTGATGATCTAAACTGCTTCTGATACACAGCAAATGGTACAGCTGCTTTAAAAAGTGTCTTTAAGATGTTCTAAACACCACAACTAGACACAATTTTGACAAAAATATGTTTACATACATGTAGAGTCTATATAGAGAGATTCCATTCTAGTTTCTTGTGAACAGCTGCTTATAAAGATATGTTCAAGAGATCCAAACACAAAGTATAAATACACTGCCCATTGTGCATAACAATTCAGCATTAGGATATGTCCACTTTTGGAAAAAATTGTTGCTAAGTCATGTCATATATTTGTTAAAAACTTTAACAGACCAATTCACAAAATAAACTTAATAAAGTGTATTTGAAATTTGTTACTAAGTTTTCCACTCTAAGCTAACCATGTCATCATTGTCATGATTATAACTGAAATTTATGAAACCAAAAATAAATTATCTCACAAAACACAGAACAAATATTTGTTCAAAACATTTCCTCAAAATTTCAATATCCTCTAAATCCTTTCCTTTAGTTGTCTTAACTTTTTTATGAAACTTCCTGTATGCAAATTCTAAGTGACTCTTGCAGTGTGTAATAGATTTCAAAATGAAATAATTACTTCACATTCAACTTAGCAGATATAATATCTACCTTATGTTAAGGGAGAATTTCCTAATAGACAAATTTTCTCTCCTCAAAATGAGTATAAAAGTATGTCAAATTTGAGCACAAACTTCTTTTGCCCACATGTGTAAGTAATGTAAACAACTATTACACACAAGCAGTGAAAAAAAGTCTCTGTAACTGAATGTTATGAAAATAGCTTTGCCTTTCTCTTAAAAAAATGCATCCACTTCCATTAAATCAATTAATCCATTGTATTTTTAAGCTACTTTGTGCTCATAGACTGCAAACATCTCCATGATTTGTTTTTCCAAAAAAATTATTGATGCAAAATACTCTTCATACATTGTTAACAAAGCTTTTCCTATTCTCTACCAGATGGGCCTTAACAAATAGCAAAGAAACATTCTATTTCAAATTTGCATTCTCTACAAACATTGTTAACAAAGCTTTTACCATTCTCTACCAGATGGGCCTTAAAAAACAGCAAAGAAAAATTCTAATTCATACTTGCATTGTACTATTAACCCTTTCACTCCCAAGATCTAACTGGTAATTCTCCTTACTATCTGCAATACAATTCTTATGATGTTAGTTCAGAGAATTTGGTATTGGATCAACCAATAATCCCATAATTGATATTCTTCTCAATTCTAATCACCTACCTGCTTGATATTGTATTGATATTGTAAGGAGAAATTCTGTTTTGGTCACTTGTGGGAGTGAAAGGGTTAAGTAAGTTACTCGTTGATTCTTTGATTTTCATTTTGTTGCTGATTCAAAATGATGAAGAGTTCCCCATAACGCTTAAACTGTGTATGACATTAGCCTTGAATAATGTATCTGCACAGCAGACAATTCCTTGTAAACAGCTTAAGAGTAAGTAGCCATCCAAACAGCTGCATTCATCCCAACAAAAAATAAGACCTATCCACCAAAATCCATGACATATTTCTTTAGACGGAGTAGAAAAACTCACCGTTTTTTTCAAATATTTACTTTAATAACAAATGACACGAGAAGTTCTTCATTTTATAATGGACTTCATATTTGCAAAATAACAGGAACACACATTTTATCAAAAATAGATTACTCGTAAACGGATTAACTTAAATCCACGCATAAGATATTTCTTTTGCAGTTTCTTAATAACTAAGTAAGAATCCGTTTCTAAAAAAAACTTTTGTTATTTACCCAGACGAAGCATAAATTACCACATCGATCCGTACTCAAGTGATAAACATCCATTCATAATAAGTATGAGAGCTTCCTTACCTCTTTCATTTTCCTTTTAATCGCTTCCACATTTACTTCATCGGTAGAGTTCAAATGAAGACAAGACGGCATCTTCTTGAAAGCTACAGCCACAAAATGTCTTCCAAAGAGGAAAGTTTGCAGAGCATGAATCGGCGCGTGAAGAATACGGGTCAAGAGAACAGGAAGTATGAACAACACTTTGCCTGTGTCGCGTTGAGAACTCTTCAGCAAACCAAGCCTCCCCCTCTTGGTTTCGATTTGCTGTCCCAAAAGTCTCAATGCCCGCAAAGAGCCAGCTTTTTCTATTTTTTCCTCACATATTGTCTCATTCAATCGAAACCGTCTCGCTTTGAGTACGTAGTGACAACAGAACCGAACAGAAATAGCTAGTTTCTTGTGGATGTTCACGTCCTACATCAGAAGATCAGAATTTCTTAATGTCTTAAAAACTATTCAAATTAATGTACGACAGGACTCTAACGTTTACAGCTCACCCGACGACAAGTTTTGATCAGGAAGATCACTGACTCAGAGAGAAATTTGGTCCGCCATGTTTTTTTTCGACTGACTCATGGATCCCACAATACACTTCGGTATTTTGGTTTTTCTTGGCAATATACCCTGGGTCACCCACGCCCCCTCTCCCCGGGATAAAAAGATCACCAGCCCAGCTCTCTTTGGAGGGGAGCCTATTCTAAGCCCTCGGTTGGTGAAAACGAGTGAGAACGCGGGCACACACAAACCGGCATGGGTTGAACAAAGGAAAATGGTTGAGTTTATTTCCTTTGCAATTGTCATAACCCATTTGCCCCTAGGCCGCTCTCTCGTTCGTCTCCATAGTCTGGGAGATAGTAGATAATATTCACTAGCTAATAAATAACATGAAGTCAATAAATCCTTCAAACCTCTCTTAAGGGTGATAAATCTTTTTTCAAAAGATATAAAAAAATCGATCTCCTTGATTAGCTGCCTCTATACTACGCTGTAGTCTTGTATCCAAATCCGCAGAAGTAATGGAGAAGGATGATTACCAACTCGCAAAAGTATTTGTCCTATCGGTTTATTTTGATGAATCTGTTTCTGATCTCGTTTCTTATTCATTAGCTCTGATGTTGTTTCTGTTATGTCCTTAGGCCTGTTTACGACATAAGAAGTTACGGTGAAGTACAGTGTGTATCAAGGGATATGGAGGGTATCCCCTGAATTCAGACGGAACCGTCCGAAAAAAGACGGAATAATCGGAAATCGGACAGAAGAACCTGATATCAGACGAAACCATGTAACAAGGTCGAAACCGTCTGAAATTGGACAGAATCATCCGCAAGTTCACGGTACCATCGAGACATTTTATGGATTCATTCGGACGGAGCCCATTTCGTTTTAAGAAAAATAGAAAATCATTTAGAAACAAATTATATTTTCATTCGCTTTACGTTGAAATACTCTACAATGAAATTTCGTCAATCATCATTTTCTTCGAGTGTCTTAAAGCACCTTTTATTGAAGCATTTGTCCATTATTATAATTTTTTTCTCTATAAAAGTAATAAAAGTATTTCGCTTGAAGTGCATACTTACATATAAAAGAGCTTTTCCACGATAAACAAACTTTACATCTCAAATAATTTCACATGGAATATTTCCTTCACTATAAGTTTGTTAAAACTTTAAATACGTTCATATTAAAATTTTGAACTGTTTTGAAATATTTAACTCTGAATTAATTGGAATATAGCGATGAGAAGAGATGGTAGATTACTCCAAAATCTTCCTTGGGTAACTAATATAAATAAAAGCAGAGTCAACTCATCATGAGTAAAACTCAGATGGGGAAGGATAGGACAAAGGAAGGAGGATTTTCGAATTTCTCAAGTTGTACCAATACGCAAGTTTGTTCCAATTTTCTACGAAGGGAGTATTTTTCGCAAGGTTTTTAGCAAGCAATTTTCATCCAGAGGACAACGTTTAGAAGAGAATCCAATGATTTTCTCTGGCTAAATATGTTACTTTCTATGGAGGTTTCCACGCAATTTTCCCCTTACATGAATCGTTTTGGGTTTCGTTCAGCATCCTTGACTAACTTAATTATGATTCCTAGTGGTCACACCACACCCCCACCCCTACCATTGACAATACAGTTAGCGTTTCCACAGAAATGTCTTTTTACTCTTCTTGTGGCTGACATTCGTCTTGTGTTACGTCTGAGTTGTCGTCTTTTTCGATAGTTTCCTTTTCTTCCCAGCGAGGTACAACTTCTACCTCCACCCGATCGTCTTTCTCCTCAAATTCTTTCCGCGGTACTTTGTTCCAGTAATTTCGTCGTCTCCCCTGATGTTTTCGGTCAAGAAGACGTTTCTGTCTCGCCAGCTCCGGGAAATAGTCTACCACAAAAGAAGAAAAAAAAAAAACACACACACATCAGGGATCATTTTAGAGAAATATTACCCTGTGCCATCGTTTCCTACGTACACGAGGTGGAATGAGCACTTTGAAGGTGCTCGTTTCTTTTATCCCTGTGTCATGTAGCCATGTTACCTTTAAATTGTTATTACACTATCATCTTTTCATAATCGTCGTAACTTAATCATAGCAACTTTGTACCACGTGATGGTGTTATGGGCGTTATTATTGTATCGTTTTGCCTTCTTACCAGTATCATCATGTCGTCATATCAGAACACTGTCGTGTTATCTCATGACCATTTTATCACGTTACCATATAAATTATTAAAAACCGGATTATTGGATAATGCAATTCAAGAGTTTTCGTTGGCTTAGCCATCAAGGGTTAGGAGTCAAACCTGATTTATATTTGGGGCGTTTTTAATAAAACAATTGTTCCGCTCGCACTTGTTGGACATGAGGTGTCAATAATAGCCAACTCAGCCCTACAGGCCTCATTGGCTATCTATCATCTCATATCCAAAGCGCGCTTGCGGAATAATTGTTTATTATAATGTGAACAGGTCATCTTCATTTTACCACGTTACCATGCTAATTTTCTACAATGCCATCGCCATCATGTTATTACGCTACAATGTTACCATTTCATCAAGTAACAATTTTTATCATCATGTTATCAAATGATGATATTCATTAAAAATACTCACGAGATGTCAAAGCATCTTTTGCTGCCGCCATTTCTGCTTGTTGAATACTAAATGGAGATGAAGAGAGCACGTGTCAGAGTTTACCAAAAATTCGGTAAAATATATGTGAGATTTGAAAAAAGAGCTTATGTGTTGGACTGAAAATTAAGATAAGTTCAACATTCAAGACGTGTAATGATGATTCGTCTCTCAGAAGGAGGAAATTAAATGATGGAACATCCGAAATGGAACACTTCTCTAAGGTGGGGCAAATAAACAATTAAACAAGGGTAAACAAATTCTAAAAAAGGAACGAGACAAGGTTGAAGAGATTTATAGATGTACAGCATAATCGTGTCGGTAACTTAAGCAGATCCGGTTACATTCAGAGTGAAAAAAAGAAAATTCTCTCTAAGCTGTTGATATGTTTTGAAAAAGAAGCGAGAAGTGAAGAATTTACCAAAAGATGTTTCTCAACTGAAAATCCCACGAAACCACTGGAAGACCTATAACACTACTTGTCAACGAAAGCTGTACAGATTGGCTGGAAACAGTTAAATTATACTACGAATACCTCTTGCCTTCGCCAGACCCCATTCTTCTTCCTTTGTAGTAAACAGCAACTGAGGAAGAAGACAAAAAAAATTCCGCTTTTTTAAAGAAAGGTATGCTGTTTGCAAAATTAACACTAGCAATTTTCGCTTAACCAGCAATTAATCACATTATAAGACCTGTTTGATCAATCATCAATAAAGAAAACCTTCTGGTCTACAATCTATTTGAGAAACAATGAGGCGCCACAACGCCGTTGCTTTCATCTACATTATACTGATTCTATTCCATAAGAATTAAGTGTGAATCACTCACTAAACATTACGAATAGATCAGAAATTCCTAAAACAGTATAGCCTTCCGAATTTGCTCGTTCTAGAGGGGTGGAAAATGGGTAATAGCTCTTTCCATTAATCGATAAGCTGACACGTTAGATTTTTCATTCAACGATCAACGCCCAAAATTTTAGTTTTTTTCCCATACAAAGGGGTTTGTTTGAGGTGGTTTTACTGTTAAAAGGTGATTTGTAATTTAGGCTATTCTATTTTTGACCTACCTAAATGATATCATGGCTACGCGGTTGATGCGAATCCTTGTGTTTGTTAGAGTTTGCTGGATTTGATTTCAGTTCAAACATACCTGTATAACGTTTATGATGAGCAGGACCCTTGTTCTGTAAAACTCTTCAAGGAGAAAAGGAAAAATATCAATAATCAAAACATGTTTCAAATTACAAATCTCATTTCCTCGGCTGAAAAACACAAGCTTAATAAAACTCTGTAAGATTACTCTTCCAGCTCTCGGTTAGTTGAGACAAAACAGGCCTACAAAAGAGGTGGTTGTCTGATCTTCTTAGACACCTACTACTTTCATTGACACTATCAATAATTTTCCGCTTGCATCCATCGACTGAAATAATGGTAGAACCTAAGAATGCTCATTCAGCGGTGGTCATGGTTTTAATACTCGGTCACCGATTTCGAGAAAGATCTACCCAAGGAGCCCAAAGAAACGGTGCGACCGTTCTCATATTTAGAGATAGAATTTTATGGAAAAGCTTTATGTTATCGTACTAAATTGCGGCGAAAATTCTCATTCAAAATAAAAATAAACGTACCAAGTATGTTATATATCGTCGGGTTTTTTAGGTTTAAGAGGGCAAATTTTTAGTGGTTCAGTACTTGACACTCATCAGAGAGTATAGAGGAACCCTTCATAACTTCCGTTAAGGAAAAGTCAGTATACAACGTACTTGTGGATTCTATCAAAGAAAATCCTCCATGGGAATGTTTCACTCACTTGTATTGTGGAAGATCAGGTGTTTTTCCTAGCTCGCGAGAAGTCAGACAACACTGCTGCAACTGTGATTTGGCATCCATCCAGTCTTGATTAATGATAGACTCCTAGAGGAACAACAGAATGGATTGGCTGCACAGTTACATTTTTCGAATAAAATACGAGAAACAAAGCGTAAGAACAAGGTTCCATGTTTTTTCTTAATTAAGTTGATTTCTTTAAGCCACACTATAAAGCCACTATATAGCCGCGGTGAACTACAAATCCAACGATAATAAAAGGTTCTGTAGCAAGACACCAAAGGTGGGTTAAAAAAGGGCACTCGAGCCAAGTAGACCACAAGGCGCCGCAGGTTACTCCGGTCTTTGTAGCACGAGGTGACAAGTAACATGACGTTAGGTACTTTCATTTAGCCATTCGTGGATGTCACCAATAGTTGGTTGACACGTTTTTCATCCCTAGAACGAGGCTGTTTACAACGGCCAAGCAGACCAGAGATAAATATCACAAGGAGCCAACTTAAAGTGGAGTAAAACAGGCCATCTACCTTAAATACGGGTTGGTTTAGTTTTGGATTTGATTGGTTGTGAGAGTGTCGCGAGTTTTTCTGGACTAATCACAGAGCAAAGTCGTGTAAAAACCAATGCACTCCCGCGTCAAATTCAATAGCCAATCAGAATCTGCAATAATTTTAACAACTACACCGCTAATTCTAATCCTCAGGAAATCATCAAATACCAGAAAGCGCTATTGATCTCATTTTCAGGGTAGATGTCGTAGGAAAACCTGACCCAAAATGGCTCTCGAGCAAAACAAGACTGGAAAGTTTGTTTACCTCGAGCCGTGGGAAGAGACAGACATAGCAAAACGTTTCCACGTATCTTAAACCTTTATCCACGTACAGGGCAGCAACAAAAGCTATAAAAAAATTTAAAAAAAAAACAAGAAAGTAGTGTAAGAAAAGACTGGAACAATACCTTGTTGAATAAATCTGAAAATAATTTACCTTCCAGTATATCTGCAAGAAGCTTCTCCCGAAAAGACTTCATTCCCTGGTGTTTGAAACACAGTAATAGGACATTAAACAAGACGAGAAACATCCTCGGTTGGAATGTTTTTTACAGCAAGGACAGGTGAAACAAAAACGGATCACCTTAACAGGTAATTTCATGCTCGGAGCTGAAAAGGGGAATTTTAGCAACTTTGAGCCTAAACGCTCAAAGGTACCTCAACTTAAAATCAAAGCCGTAACACAATTATTTTCATGTATAACATAAACATGAGATCCTTGCACGTTAAGAGAGTCTTGAGGAGCAACACATGACCATCATTTTGCTAATTCACTGAAGTGAACATAGTGTGCCACTAATGGAATAAGGAAACACTGTTAGGTCTTATAGACACCTGGTTTCCAAAGTTTATCAGCTTGTCCAGTCCCAGCTCACGCGCGATCGCTGCTTGTATTCGATGATTGACGAGAGAGCTGCGCAGCAACTGAAAAGAAAGAAAGAAACAGCAAATTTTCAACGAAAAAAATAAACTGGAGAGCAGTTAGGTCAAGTTTAACTTGAGATTTTTGACCTTGATGGTATGATCAGAAACATTTTCTCGTGATTTTGCGGATCGACACCTTCGCATGTTCAGTTGTAACGTTTTGGTAAAGAGTAGTCCCAAAGTGCCTCTTCTGTTCAAGCCCTACCGTTAGATGTCCCTCGTGGTGTTCAGGGAAGTGCTTGAAGAGATACACAGACACGACAAACTGCAAAACAGAGTCACCCAAGAATTCCATACGCTGGTTGCTGCCACTGAAAACAAACCATAAATGTGTTACAAAACGATTACAACACTGCCTAAAAACAACGGTGCAAGGTCTCCCAGAGCTGTCACGTTATCGAGTTCCTTTGCTATCAGTCTCAAAGGAAATTATTCTGAGGCAAACCTGGTTTGGGGGCGACGATAAGATCGATCCAGCACAAAGTGTAAGATTTATGATCATTCCGGGCGTAAAAATATTAGAATGATATTGGCGATGTAGATACAACTGAACTGCACGGGCAATTTACGCTACTCTAAGTAGATACAACTGAACTGAACGGGCAATTTACTCTACTCTAAGGTCATATAAACATAACAAGGTACCCTGTTTTTTGGCGTCTAGCTTTGTTTAACTTTCACTTATGCTAGGCGATTAAGGAACTCTTTTCATAAAAAGTCAGGACAAAGCTTATTTCGGGCGAAAAGCAGCGCGATGAAGATTTAAGAGTATGATCTCGGCAGGCTGATTTATGCTCAATTTAGGCTTCTCCTAGTAACGGCTAACTACTCTGGTATCTGACACAGTTTGATACTACTCTGGTTTAAAGATTTAATGAATGTAACCAAGAAATTACAGTTCATAGACTCAACGTTTTGACACTCCTGTCTAGTGCCTTCATCAGGGGTGATCTAAACGCTGTAACAAGAGGTCCTTTTAAACGCTCACTAATTAGCTGCTTTTTTTTCTGACGAGGTGTAAATAGGCGTCAGGGAGTAAGCCGCCATCTTCACGATTAAAAGGAGCGTGCTCTGGTATCTCTTTGGATGCCACTTACAGTGTGAGATTATTGAAACCGACTTGCGGATGGGTAAAGGCACGCGCCAGCAACCGAATGTGGTTAAACTCAATTCCACTTGCTTTCTCAAACTCCTCCAGTTTCTGACAACAAGAAGAAAAACAACGTCAACAACAAGAACCCCCTTTCATACAGCTATACTATGCTGCTGCAATTTCAACTGCAGCTGCTGAACACAATAGAGCCTGAAGGGACACTAAAAAGCGAGCAGAAACATTTCAACCCTTAACCCAAAACAACCCAAACAAAAAAATAAATAAGCAAACAAAAAAAAAAATGGGTAAGTGTCTGCTCACAAAGTTTAATTTCGTTTCTATGGTCTCTCTTTTACCAGCCCCTGGTGCGAGAGACTCTAGGAAGGACTCAGTCAAGAAATAGCACAAAAGCTGTTACACTTCTACAAGGAAACGAAACAAGAACACTAGGAAGGAAATTTGTACTCGGCAAGTCAAAGTAACCGGCGCAGGCTACAATTGGCCGAGCTGCGCGAAATGAACCGCTGTTTTACGACATACGATACTTTAAGCCTATTGTGAATACTTATATAAACATACAAAAAGCTTCTCAGTCAATTTTTACACTAAAAGTATAAGACAATATTCCTTATCCATGAAAAAAGTCACAAAATGGCAAAAAAAAAGGAACGAGATCAACCTGAAGAATCGGGGATGACGCTATCAAGTGTCTATCACCGTCTGGTTGTTGAGCCTGTTTAGAAAACGATATTTGGGTTAGTCCCCTCATTCAATTCCAAGTTAACCTACTGAACACCTAGAACAAACTACGGTGATCAAGATATATATATATATATGCCTTACAACTCTATATTCCTTACTGAAAAGAATCCACTTTTACGCCGCTAGAAAAGATAATTTCCAGCACAAAACGGTAATTAAAAAAAAGGTACATTATAGTGACAGTGGTCATGTCGTTTATTCACCTGTAAAGGATGCTTAGGCAAGTTTGTCCAGACATCTCTGAGTTCCTAAAAATAAAACGTATCAACAATAGGGCAGTGAGAAGATTGAAGACACACACACAAAAATCGAAAAACCGCAAGAATAAAGCAAAGCGAACCTGTTCTTCAAAGGCCACGTTTGTGAACAGAACCTTAGTTGATGTTAAACCACTCTCCAAATACATAGCCCCTACGAAAACAACAGCACGTAAGAAAAATGTTCCATATATTCGATTTTCTTTTTCATTTTATTTACCATGACATATAGAATTGCAGCTGTCAAATATTTGCTCTACTGGTACACTCATAGGTACACCTGCTGTTGAGGAACTGTTGTATAACCCTTACACAACCAAGATTTCATTACCATTTTCCTTGCTATCTGCCGGACATTTCGGATCAATATCAGTATCTGGGCAACTGCCCACCTACCCCTCCCTTAACCCAACATTAACCCTTATTTATTATCAATTGACTGTTGTTGAGTTAGGGGAGGGGTAGGTGGGCAGTTGCCCAGATACTGATATTGATCCGATATTTCTATGTCAGCCTCTCTAATTCCTCAGAGCGAACCACTCAGGACGAGAACACAAGAGACTGGGAGTCGGCAGATGGCCTCCCATTGCTTCACCCCCTGAGTTTCAGTTGGTCCTTTTTTCAATCTCTCTCGCGATTCCTTTCAACATTTCAAATATCGAAAAACAAAACAACAACAACAACAACAAAAAAAAACAACCGGTAACAAAACAACAAGAAGAAAATAAGGGAACAAACGCCTCAGCACTTACCAAGGAGGGCTTCAAAGCAGTTTGCCATGGCATGATTGAGATCTTCTTCCACGCACAAATCAGGACTGAAAAATAAAATTACCAAATGAAAGTGAAATACCAGTTAAAAGTAACTTTCTATTTCAGTAGCGTAGGTGACATACCCGTGCGAAAACTGCATGTAGTCGGACAAACCCAGTTTCTAGGAAATATAAGGATAAGACAAATGAATGTAGATCAGAAGAAAACATACGCTCAAAATAATGATTTTGAAAATACAAATTTCGTCAATGTAAAAAGACAAATTACCAATTCAGAAAATTTCTCATCGAATATCTCTCGGTAAGTTTAAGCTCAAGGTCGTGATAAACCTCCACCAACTTCGTTGCCTTTTCCATTACGTGCTATGATTTACACCTACCTTGGCGAGTTGTGCCAGATGTTTGTTTTGCACTAAAGCTGAGCGGTACATGGCTAAACCTCCTTCAGGCTTTGACGGAAACATAAAATATAGGTGAACACTAGAGAGGAGTAGAAAAGAAAAGAGTCAGAGAGGCTTCTTATGAGACAAAACTATCGCACAGATGAGAGGGCTACCAAATTGTACCAAATTGCTGTGATTTCCCAAATTTACCCACGTCAAATCCAAACCTGACTTCCATATGTTTAGACGTGTTTTACCCAGAGATCTGAAATGAATACGTTCAGTGAAGGCTTTTTATTTTTTCCGGCAAATTTACCAGCATGCCGCGACTTGACGTACTCGACCCAGTTTCCCTGGTTTGCGTCTCTACATCTAACCACGGTGAGCTTCAGCACAGAAATACTCAAAGGAGAAATTCACAAAATTCACCAGAGGATAAAATGGGTTCTTTGAGGAACACAAGTCGAAATGTTTGTGTATTAATTTATCCGAGAGTAAGAGCTTTCCAGTAAATCTCACCTGCTAATCAACTCCAGAACAGCATCTCCAAGGAATTCAAGCCTCTCGTTATGTCGTATCCTGGAGAAAATGGGAAAGAGTACATACAATAAATACTGCTCAAGAGGCCAAAATGGCCCACCTTGTAGTTACCTCATACAACGCTGATACCAGTCGCCTTCTAAGGCTTCAAGTGTGTTCTCCTCAATTAATTAAATTACGCTAAAACTACGGCATATTAAAATTTCGCAAGTCACTCTGTCTGGTGTGTCGATCTATCTGCCTGACTTTCTGCACGGGCGCTGTCAGTTTGTTTCTTCAAGTGTGTCTGTCAGTCAGTTTGTCAGTTTGCCTGCTTGTCGGTTTATGTGCATAGTACGTCTTTCCGTCCGTCTGTCAGTTTGTATGTCTACACGGTCTGTCTGTCAGTTTATCTGTCTGCACGGTCTGTCTATCAGTTAGTCTGTCTGCACGGTCTGTCTGTCTGTCTGTCTACACGGTCTGTCTGTCTCTGTCTGACTCCTAACTGACTCCACCTACTCTACCTGTCTAACCAATGCGTTATCTTGCCTCCGATTATTCTCCTTCTCGCTTTACTGAGGGATTTAGATTTATCGAGAGTGCCACAATCATCAGCAAAACTAGAGAGAGTTTGGAAGCCAAGGTCAGGATTACATAAGGAAGCTGAGAGCATATTAAACCATATTCCGTTCAGAAGGATTTTTGGGGCAACGCGATATTCAATTTAGGTGATTTAGTTTCTATAGAAACTGTTCTGTTGGATCGACGTGCTTGTGAAAGCAATGATCAAAATATTGGAGACCAACGTCATAAGCGTTCTCATCGCCACTTGGAATAATCAGGATATGGGAAATCTCTGATGTCTGTAAGCACCCTGTCCCATTCAAGTCCAGTTTTATAGCGTTCCACCACCGCCTGGGTGGCCGAATGGTTAGTATGCTGAACAACAGATCCAGAGGCCTGGGTTCCATCACTGGCGGTCAATGTACTGTATGTTCTTTCCACTCAAGAGCGTCAGTTGGTATGGACCACTCGAATTACTTACGGACTTTCATATTGATTTTCGTTGCTGTACTTCATTTTTAACAATAGGGCTTTCCATGGACATAATATTTTCTAGTTCTCCACTAGTTAAACCTGTATTAAATGACTGTCTGTCGCTTACAGGTGATACAAGAAAATAGTAGTGCCTAAATTTAACATAGCAGAGCTGTAGATGAGAATGGCGATAGGAACGTTAGTTGCTAGAATTATTTGAGGTGCTTACATAGACTGGTGTTCCTCCATCTTGCCGAGGTTAGACATGACACGTATCAGCTGGGTAATACCTTAACAAAACAGACAATTTTCAACTGAGTAACAACTAAAGTACTATCATGTAGACGAATAAGAATTTGCCGAAAAAAAGAAACTGAAACAAAACCCCAGTTCTTAAAAAACTATCCTCAAATCCAAGGCCAGAAAATATTGTTCTGATTGGCCATTGCAATTACAGTGGTTTTGGTTTAACGACACTCAGTCGAAAAGCGCTATATAGACTCAAGGTATCTTACATCCTGTGAGTAAATGTGACGTGTCTCTAACGAGTTAATTGAAGGTTTTTTAGAGGATGAATAGCTACTCAAGGGATATCCAAGGGTCCGTCACTCGAAAGTCCCGGTACAAATCAGTTCTAAAGAGCTGATTTTGTTGATCATGTATAGCATTAAAATTCAAACGATAAAGATAAAGAACGTATTCGTCGTTAATTTTTATTAGTTAAGACTCGCTCTACTATTCCTTAGATTGAGATATCAAAACATGGCCTCAGGCCCCTTAAGGCATTAGTACCTCAGAGAAATGGGCCTTTGGTGGAAGAAAAAATATCGCGAAGTATCGCGATGAGAGTTCGGTCTCTATACTTGACCATCTCTTGTTATCAATAGGTATTCTCTCTCTCTACCTTTCTTGCGCGTGTGCAGATGTCGGATTTTTCTGTCGCCGTATCTCGGTTGCTTCACTCCACAGTTTGACAATGAGTTACGCGCGTGGTCTGGGTTCATACCAAAGTTGAGGTGATAAGAAGGGTGAGTCAGGGCAAGCTTTGGATCAAAACAAACACGAGAAAGCACGTTAAATTTTAAACAAAACACTCTTAACTAATTGTAAATGCAAATCAACTTGAATTTGCTTCGCGCAATATAAAATACCTGTAATAAAGATCGGTCTTTGAATATGTACCCCATCTTCTCGTCCAGCGTTTTCAGACACATGTGATAGCGTACATGGTGTACGAGTACAGGAAGGAGTAGAGCATGCTGGGAAATAACAAGTATCACCGTCAATGCCTCAGCTAATTGTGAACTCACCCAGGGTCTATGAAGATGTAAATAAAGACTAAACACAAGCCTTTACTGAAGGTTAATGTTAATTACATGGCTATTTCCGCTATTCTAGTTCTTATCTTCACCATGTGAAGAGAATGATTACTTGTAAAAGTTGCATGCTCAACCCTTCATATCCTAGCATCAACATGCATATTCTCCATACTGCTTTCCATACATGGCCTAAGGTGCGGACATGGAGAAATTATCTAACAATCTACAGCTTCTTTAGTTGGTGATCATTTCCTTTATTCTCGTGACCATAATGAGCGATTCAAGGACGATATTGCAAGGAGAGAATAGATGCTAGTTATTCTTAGAGACCAAAGAGTTAACAAACCTGGCAGATATCAGACTTGAGGCCAGTTTTGATCATTCCTTTGCTGCTGACTTCTGCTAATATATCACGGCGCATAGCGCTGAAAAAATAAGCACGAGATAAAGGCAGGTTAACATAAGTTTATTGGATCAATATCAGTATCCGGGCAACTGCCCACGTACCCCTCCCCAAACCCAACATTAACCTTCACTTATTGTCAATTGACTGTTGTTGAGTTAGGGGAGGGGTAGGTGGGCAGTTGCCCAGATACTGATATTGATCAAGTTTATCCTTATGAAATGCACACATGGAAGTGATTTAATCGAGGTTTGAAAGTAATCCAGCATTGTATTGTTTTTTTCTTTACTTTTTTCTGTGACTGGACCACAGACTCACACCACCTTGCGACCGATCGTATGCACAAAGTCAGCCGCTAGATTTTCGCATGTGATCGGTCGCAAGGTGGCGTGAGTCTGTGCCCAAATTACGTTTTCAACTCAGTTGATAATGACAAATTACCCTGTTATACTCCTCCACCGACGCAGCACCACAGTTTCTTGAGAAACTTTCTCCCTTTATTCTTAGTGATAGACTTTCGTTTCAGAGTGTGGCTCAGATTAATTTTAACCTCACCTTTTTACGCGCATATGCTCCAAGTCAGTCTAGAGGGAGAACAAAAGAAATAAAATGGTCGCTGAAAATACTTAACAAACAAAATAAAAAGGTAACACTTTTTCCACAAGCTATCCAATTACCTTGAGTTTGACAAGCTTATCCTGGTCCTTTCGACTCGGAACTGGCCTGGGGAAAAAATGTCTCGATTAGAATGAATGTGAAACATGGAGTGTGTAACACTAATAGAGCGCTTTGCGACTGAGTGTACTGAAACCAAAACCAAAGCAACTACAGCAGCCAATCAGAAGAAAGGGAAATACCTTTAAGAACCAATAAGAATTCAAAGTTAATAAAAGTTTACCGCCTTGAGCGCGGGAAAACGCGGGCCACAAAGTCGTGATCGGTGTTAGCTTTGCAGTTGATTGGTTGAGAGAGTGGCGCGAAGTATTAAGCAAAAACAATGCAATTCTGTATTGCTTTTGACACCCTATTAAAATTTGCTCTGACACTCAGGTTTAACTTAAAATGCTCTTAATGAATGAATCGTAACTACCAATCGTTCCGACGAAGTAGGATAGCAGACATGAAATAATACAATCCATTGCGCTAAATAGAATTGAAAATGTGTCGCAACAAGTAAAGAACGTCCACTTTCAGTTCACATTGCGAAATTTTTGTGTGAAATTTATAAAGGAAACAGTAGGCCTTTTAAAATCCCTCGACTAGAGAGCTAGATATAGATTGAAGGATACCTACACGAGGTTTGAAAAGTGAACTATATTCAAGCAAGTAGCACTCAAATTTAGCAAACTTGCCCACATTAATACGCTTTTTCTAGTGCCTGGGATATTTTCGGTTCAGTTGATTAAAAGAAGGTTAAGAACGTGTTTAAAGTGAAACACTTTCACTTACGTGTTTGATATCAGGGTTCTTAACTTGACGTATGACTTGTATAGCTTTTGATACCTGGAAAACAGAAAAATAGTATGGGTTATGCGTTCCACCTACATTTATATATAAGCGTGCAATGATAAAATGATGTTGGCGTTAACCAACACTCAAGAGAGACAAGTTAACAAAGATATATGTATCCACGCGAGGTAAAATAAGACGAATAGAGACTTAAAATAGCGAATGCACGATATCTATCTTCCCTCCACCTGGGTGTGAACTCTATTATATAAAACAATAGTTACCTAGGATCTCCAGCAAAACTCATCTGCACTGGCCTGATACCGTGGTGCACAATGTAAGGATACATCTGTGTTCCATTTGTACAAGAAAAAGTATAAAGTGATTTTGAATGATAAGTCAGAGAAAAGTCACAATACCCATAAAAGAAAAACAAAACAAGATAATATTCTCCTTTGCTTCCTTTCAGGAAAGTTATTTTCAATGGCTATTGGCCGACAACCACAAAGAAACGTACCTTGCGTTTGGTTAATCGCTTATCATCTGTATGAAATTGTAGGTCGTCAACTCTGATGGCTGCTGGTTTCTAAGACAACAGTGAAAACACTACTGATAAATAATCAAATCTTTGGTTGTTGGCAGAAGATAAATGTTACGTGACATGACTACATGTAAGGTAGTGTGGGAAATAATAGTAATGTTCAAAAAGATCATCACAACTTTTAACTACAGTTCAAAATGACGCTGAAATGCATATCAACTTTCTCTCCCACATACATGTATAGTGCAAAATCTGACAAAACAAAAATTTTTCTTTTTTGCATCTAAACAATATCACATTGTGACTCACCTTGTTTGGGTTCATGACAAGAGAATTGACACATAACTTTGAATATTCCCCCAATTTGTCAGCATTAAGGGCAAAATCACTTGGCTGTTAGAGAAAATCAAAGAAATTATTGTTCTGAAAAACACAAACACAAGTTACACAAGCCTAAACATTACTGCTCTTGACTGCAGATCAAAATTATTAGGTCAAAGCTCTGTTGAGGGAAAATTTTCTTCCAATGCCTCTCCACCTGTGGGTATGACCAGGTACCTGAGAAATTGCTGGAAATAACCTGCAATAACTACTCAGGAAAGATTGGCAATACTAACAATTACTTCAAGCTCGAGAAACCAGGACATGCTGCCATAGATATGATGTCCAATTAGTCTTCCTGTAGATCTATATACAATCAAATAGAACCCAGTGACACTATAGGGAGCAATAAGCAATATGTCCCCAAAGAGGTAATTAATGCTACAATCTCTAAATGGTACGCTCCCTTCGTCAGCATCTATTTTGACCTCAGCTTTTTCAAGGCCACCTACATTAGTTTAGGTCTAGTGTTAAGATACCCAATTTCTTACCTGAACAAGAGGTTCAGCAGAGTCTAAAATATGGGACAACACATGGCTCATTGGAAGAAGTTCATGGTTTGCAGCTGAATTATTCTCATCTAGAGAGAGGAAGAAAGAAATACAGGGTAAAAGGAATTTTCCACCACTTCAGTGACTAAATACCTTATACTGACAAAATCCAAGGTCCATACTATTAATAATGGACCATGTTTTTACTACCAAAGCCACATACACAGACCATAAATTAGAGAGGAAAAAATTAAGCTTCCATAACTTAAAGTAAGGACCAAGAAAAGTTTTTTTAAGATATTTACTATATTATCTATGGGTTCAAAGGGGAAAGATTTTAATTCAAACAAACTTTTGAAATTAGAGGACCAAACAGTGAGCCATGGTCTGCATATTGACCAATCATAGCGCACATACTACAGTAAGGAAGACATGCAATAATTGTTAAGTGTGCTTATAATGATGGAAAATTGAGACACCCATAGTTGATCATTAACCCACTATGAATTTGGAAAGGCAAACTTAAAAGCAGAGGAACTAATGGTAAGAATTGTCAGAAGCTTCACTATACATTGATGATCAACTTATTAAGTATTAAAATTCACTTTAAAAAGTCATGTACATGTAATCAGCCATATCAGATTTCAACACAAATTAAGAAAAAATGATAACTTGGTTGTTGACTAACTTGAAGATCTGTGAACAAATCTTGGCATAAAGTGAAATCTCTGACAGGAATCTTGAATATTTCCTGCAAAAAGCATCATACAAAAGTTTAAATCTAAAGTGCATGATTTAACATGAATGGCAAATGTTTTGCTAATTGCTCTTTGCTGTAAATATTAAGTTTACTTTCACTAGTATTTACCATTTATGTCCCAATCTGCCAGTTCAAGCACTTTGTAGAAGAAAAACTCTGTAAACAAGTCTAGGTCTCTGACACAAAAATTCTGAAATTGAAACAAGCCAGTTGGATGAGAAAATATAATAAATACTCTTGACATGTACTGATGCATCAACCTATTCAAAGCTTCAACCTCCCCCTTGACATTCTAACTTTTGAAGATTGGCTTGTTCAAATTCCCCCCACCCATGGGTTGCCCTTGGGGGAGAAGTTGAAGCTTCAAATTAATAGGCCCATAATCACATAATCATATAAGAATTCTGTACAAGAAGTTAAAATTGGCATTTGTGCCCACTGATTTAAGGGCCCAAGCACAAAGCATCCAGACCGTTAATCAAATAAGAGAAAAGGGGAAGATGAGGAAAATAAGAAGTTAATTATTAGCCAACTGTGTGTGTGTGTGACAAGTTAGAGAATTGATTTCTAGTCATAAAAAGGGATTCAAATAGCTGACCCATGTCCAAAGAAGGCAAAGTCAATTTGAAGTCATTGTTAAGTGTTGTTAAAGCACATTTAAAAAAGTAAAAAAATGACAAAAAAACATGTCAACTTTCCCTTTGTGATGAACATCAAGAGATTGTGGCAACAAAAACAGCTTTAAAGTTTGGTTGACTGACTGTATAACAGAGCATGGTGTGTTTAACTGATCACAGACCATGTAGTTATTAAGGAATACAATTTACAATAACATTGTCATTTTTTACTCCAACAATTTTTATTACCATTTCAGTATCCTGGTTAATAATGTGTAAAAACTTTTTTGTAAAAAATGTAATTCAATTAACTAGGGTTGTCTAAGTTGAAAACTAAAAGAGATTTAAGATAAATAAAATTGAAGCTTGTGACCCAGCACTGGAATAAAGTGATATTGACTCACAGACCTCTGGAACTGGTTGACTGATGAAATGAAGAGTGTATTCAATGTTGAATCTTATCACAGAACAACTTGGTATCTAGGAAATCAATAGACATTTACAGTCATTATCAATAAAGTATACAATTATAACAAGATAAAGGTGTATATAAAAAATTTGTAATAAGCACCCTGGCTCTGTTATGTTAACGCCATACTTTTGTGCTGTTTAACCCTTTAACTCCCAGCAATGATCAATATGCAACTTCTCTCGATAATATCCATACATTATCCAGCAAACAGGTAATGAGAATATTCAAATTTATCAGGTAGAAGTTGTCATCTGCATCTAACACCAAATTCTTGTAACTAATTTAAAAGGAAATGTGTAGCAGCTAGAGAGGAGAATTAACAATCAGATCTTGGGAGTTCAAGGCTTAGGATCAGAACTCAAGAAATCTGCCCTATGCTTGCCTTTGGTAACCTACTGTAAACCTCTTATGTAAGCAATCAACTCTTTTTGTGCTCAACCCAATTATTCTTGGTTCTTACAAGCTGAGTGTGCGTTGACACCCTATATTGCTTTATAAGCAAAAGCCAATCATGCTTTTAATACCTCAGCTATGATTTTTTTTTAACAGTATTGGGAATCTTACCAATAAGAATGTTAAGGACATGGAAAGAATACCAGAATTTGCTAAGGCCTACTGGATCTTCTGAGAATCTTTCCAGGGGCCTTAGACAACTTTAAGAACAATATACAGGATAGTTGAGGACCACTGATGAGTAAGATATCCAATTAAGATCCTCAAACATTGTTACACAAATCTGTGAGTATCATCGACAATCTTGATGGTGAAATTTGTGACAACAGGGAAACTCACATCTTTAAGTGGCTGATGGGAAAACAATGAAAACCCCTCAAATGTGTAATCCTTTCCATCAAACTGGATGACACTTGGATTCTCTGTCTGAAAAGTAGAGATTTGACACAATAAAGCTTAGTTATGGAACAGAACAGCAACAATAACTGAACAGTGACATATAAAATGATTCATCGGATAGGAAATTAAAACAATCACATTGAAAAACGTGACCATGTAGTAAGTGACTCAGACAGCAATGGATTGTAGACTCTATAATTCAGCTATTTCCACTAAATATTTCTATTCATAACTTACACAAGTTAAAGTAGCAACACATAAGTTGGTGGGTTTATAGCATTGTCTAAAAAAGCAGTGGGAACATTAATGGGAAAAACATAAAAACCATAACTCTGTCAATCCTAAGCCATGATGTGCATAACATACCATGAAGTTGGTGTGTGGTGTAACAGTCACCCAATAATGGTCCAACTTGTCTGCATTGTTTGTTAAAGGGTCGCAGGCTGGAATGACCTGTGAAAAATTGTATGGAGTAGAGAATGTGATTGAGCAGCAACAAAATAAAATTCATTGATAATAAATTAGGTGAACATCATTTTATGTAAATATTTAGTGTTGTTTGATTTCATTAATTTCCAACTACAGGTAAATAGTTTCTGTCAATTTTGTAATACTCTCTCAATCAGGTCAATTTTTATGGAGAAGATACTTTTCTTTGACAGGGCCTCTCTTCTCCCATAAGTATAAATGGATAATAACACACTGTTAGGAAAAGTGGAAGAAATGCTGGGGGTTAAGCTATGATGGTTCAGCATCCCATCCAGGAGGGAGTAGCAATACTCCCGGTTATTTCCTGTACAGATACCAGGATCAGCTAAGCCCTAATAGACCATAGGCTCTGTTGTAATAAACAAACAATAATCTAGATTATACTTACAGTTTCACCAGGGTAGATACCATGACGGATTCCATGCTGCCTGTCACTTAAACTACATCGGCAGACTGGACCATCATTTGTCTAAGTAAAGTAAAAGCTGTTCAACAAGGAGCTCATAGAAATTTTAATAAAAATTGAACAATAACTTTTTTTCTAGGACTCAGATTATATTACAAATCAGGGGCAACATTTCTAAATGAAAGCACAAAAAATTGCAAGGGTGGTATGGGCATTTCATCCCTTGATCAGATTAATGGAAAACGTTAAAACAGGTACCAAGATAGAGTGGAAAAGTTTGAGTTAAACTATAATTTACAAACTGTACACTCTCTTGCAGAACTGTTAGGCAAACAACCTGTGATGGTGTGTTACTACAAAGTTCATCCAATTAGGTTAATATGTTTGAGTCAACTCAATTTTAAACTTTGACCCTTAAAGTTAATTTGACCCTCAATTTGACCCCTTATCTACAGTACACTCAACTGTTCCAAAACTCTTTGAAAAAGGAATTCTACTTTAATTATCATTTAGTTGAGCTGACCACTGCTATACACTACTCTCCAAAAGTGTTATCTAACTACACCCACCTCTCCTTTTTCATTGAACCAAAGTTCTGGATGAAGGCGACAAGGATCTTCTATCTTTCTCTTCCTGGTCTCTGCCACAAAAGAACCTTTGGGGTCTTGCTCATGCAAGTTCTTGTCATTATCAAAGCTCCCACTTTCCTCGTCATCCTCATTATCATCACTGTCATCTGATTCAGAGCTGCTGCTCCCCAACCTTTTGCTTCCAATCTCACTATCATCTTCATCAATGTTAGATTCCTCATCACTGAGGAATTCTGTAGAATTACTGACACCTGACCCTAGTCTGATCCATGATTTAGAAGAACTGTCATTGGCTTCACAGTCCATCAGCAACTCTACATCACCAACATCTGTTTCAGTGTGGTTACTTTGCTCACTGTCAACACTCTCCTCATCGTCATCAGCAATCACAGCTGTCATATTAACTATTTCCTTATGAAATTTGTTCTGAAGTTCACTAAGCTTTTCTGTTCCCTGAACAATAGAAATATCACCCTAAGCAAAAAAAAAAACACAAATAAAACTAAAATAAATCTAATAAAGACAAAGAATTATCACATCACCGATCAAATACTACATAGGCTAGAAAACTGAATATATGAATACTGTGGTTAGATTTCTTTTTTTGGTTCAATTAGTTTTTAATAAGCCAGTAGATCTGCAAAGTCACTCACTGTGCTGAACACCTTAAGGTTTTTTTTTATCCAGTTAAGATGGAAATAAAATGAATAACTTTTAGTCATTTTAATCAATGGATGGATCAATACCAAATTCTCCAAAATAACCTCACAAGAACTGAATGGCAGACAGTTAGAAGAATGAATAAGGAGATTTTGGGAGTTAAAGGGTTAATCAATGGATGGATCACGGAAAAGTGCATTGAAGATAGTCCCTGATCATTTACGCCCTATTCTCCATTCACTTCCCTGTACATTTCCTGAAGGTGCTGACAAGGAGAATTTGTATAATAATCAAGAGGATTTTTAGTTGGTGATCATTTCCTTTATTCTTGTGACCTTACTCTTGGATTCAAGGGAGACATTGTAAGGAGAAAGTGGAAGTTAGTCACTTCTAAAGTTCAAAGGGTTAAAATAACCAGTAGCTAGAAACAGGAGTTTTGACAACTTTTGACTCTGAACAAACACTGTCAGCTATTCAGGTTGCCAAGATGACAGTCACCAACAAAGATTTGACTGTAATTTTAAGGACTACTGTCATTTGGATAATCACAGTTCTCCAAAGCATGCAATGGAATGACATACCTCATTACTCTGCTTTTTAATGTAAAAATCTTCTGATACCAGATATGTTATCACTCTCTCAATATCTGGGGGTGGTGGAGAATAACAACGATCAACTCGAGGACTACCTCTGCCACCTGCACCTGGAATATAGCTCCTTAAGAGAAGAAAAAGACCAAAATGACAATTGTTTTAGAGAAGAGCTACAGAAATATTTGTGAACAATTTTTGCATTTAAGTATCTCCAAGACCTACAGGTGTCTGTAGATAAATTTTTGCATCTGGACTTTCAATGCCAATCATTGGAATATCTCTACCAGCAGGATGTTCATTACAAACATGTTAATTGTCCTTTCTAGTTTTTTCTTACCCGATTGGTTCCAAAATTCTTTTAAGTTACAATATCCAGGTCTGGAGTACCTCAGACTTTCTTCATTTAAAAAGTTTTTTCAGTAACTTTTAAATCTTATGCCTGTAATTTCAAATTTTGAAATCACCCATTCAAGAACTTTAGTCAAATTGTACTTTTACTTATATCTCAACCTTCTTTTTCCAGGCTCTCTTCCCCTTTGTCCATCTCTGTAAGAACCTGTCCTTCGATAAAGAGGTCTACCATCAGGACTGAATTCAGAATTTCTCTTTTTGCTAGGAATGGGCTGTTGCATTTCAGAGGACTGGTTCTCATTTTTACTATGAATACTTCTTTTTCCAAAATGAGAAGGAACTGAGTTTTCTCTACCAATAAAGTGTTGAATATTGGGCACTGCATTGCTCCAGTGTGGCTCAGGCAAGTGTCTGTCAAAGCCTGCTGCAAAAGAAAGCCTTGGGTTAAAGCTTGGAACAGATTGAGGATTTCTAGCCTGCCAAGCTGAACTGATCAAAGGTGATGACTGCAGTCCTTGATGTAGAACTCCCTCTGTAGATGGCATCCCTCTGGGCACAGGTGACATCCCCCTGGGCCTAGGCAGCATCCCTCTGGGCACAGCTGACACTGAAGATGTGTATGGTCTAGGGTGTGATGTCAGAACTGGAGGTCTAAAGGTTGGCTGTGGGTGCTTCATCTGCAAAAGTGGACTACTGAATACTGAAGATGGAAGAGCTTGGACCCCTCTCATTATAGGGACTGATGGAGATGTTAATGGCTGATGGATTGGGCCAGCAACTTTGTTAAAAGAAGTTGAAGTAGATGACTGAAGAAATCCCTGCATTGGAGATGGAGGATTTGTTACTGGGGGAGAATAAGCAAAATTCACAGGTAAATGCTGTATTGGAAGTGGGGTGCCTCTTTGAGGAACTGTAGGAGAAGACACAAACACCTGCTGGGTTGAAGGTGTGATTCTGTTGACAGAAGGAGGAGTAGATACTATAAAAGAAGGTGGCTGGTTTAAATTTAGTCCAGTTGGTTGGGGGCTCCTCACTTGCCATGAAGGGCCCTTGAAAGGTGAAGACGGTATGGCTGGAGATGGAACTGTAACAGGTGAGGGCAAAGTCATGGGTCTATGTGGCTGGAGTTGGGTCACAGTCATTCCTCTGGCTGAAATCATCGGAGAGGGCTGCTGTAAAGGTAAGGAAGAGTTTGGAGCAGGTGCTATTGAGGGTTGTATAATACTCCTTGGTGGATTGATACCAGCTATTGCTGGGTGAAATGGACCATGTAATCTAGGAGGAGAACCCAAATGCCGTATAGGTGCTACTACCCCAGGGTTGGTTACTGGACTCTGTCTGATAGCTGGTTGTCGTAAGTGTGTCTGAAATCTGGGATGGATGTATTGCTGATTTGCCTGAAAAATAGAACATTGAAGAGTTGTGGTTAAGAATGACGAAACTCTGCTGGAGTTTGTTCGGTGTGGCAAATAACGATATGTAACAATAGATTAAAATATACATAATAAACAATCGTGAGGGTTAAAATAGTTGATCAAGTACAATGCTTACCGGAGGCGCTGAAGCGAACGTTTGCGCGCTCGGTATGGAAGAAGATGGAGGTCTCCACATATTCAATAGACCTCAGCTGCGCGATCTCAAAGAATCATCTGTGAGATACTCACGTGCATAACACGAAGAGATATGGAAATTATAAAATACCAAAGCTTCATCTAAAAGTAGAGGTAAGATATTTTGAAAGTCTGTCAAGATGCCGCAGCCGCACATTCGCCATCTTTCGTTCAAAGTTGTTTTCTAGTTTCCAGGTCTTGTCATTATAATAGGTTAAGGGCCTGGACACTGGTAAGAAAAAAAAATTATTTCAAGATGGCTTCTGGCGGAGGCGAATGGTGTTTGATTGAGAGCGATCCTGGTGTATTCACTGAATTAATTCGAGGTTTTGGTACGTACTGAGATTATAGTTGACCATGTAGCATTCTCTTGTAATACGAATAATCTCGTTTTCTATTGGGAACAGAGTCGAGATCATCCTGTTATCGTTCGATTTTGACCTTCCAGCGGGGAAAAAATTATCACCATGATGGTATAAGATTACGTTGCAGCCAGTCTTTGATATTTAAGACGTTTCTCAACCTAACAGGCACTATCAATTGCTATGAACTTGGTGATGATTAACCCGATCGCAGTGAGATGGAATCGCTTTTATTGCACGTTTCTGTTCCCTCTCAGAGCTCTTGTATTTTTCTTTGTATTTAATGTATTCCGCTGTCAAATTAAACACGTGTCGTTGTTTCTTATGCAACCATTCACTTGCAAAAGAAATCAGGGAATAGAGAGAGAGGCCCTTAGTCCAGGCTTTGTGATTTCTCAACATTCAAACTTGATATATTTATATGAATTTTATATTTATGCCATTTTCATGGATAGTTTCCCAGAATACAAGTCTTTTCTTTGAGTCGTCCACATGAGGAAGTTAGCGTGGAAGTTAGTTTGTTGATGAAAAAAGTGAGGAAAATATAGGAAATGTAATGTTCATTATAGAGCAACAGCTTTGCAGGATTTTTGCTCTATGACAGGAAATGCCTCACAGCACTTACACCTAATCATCATATGGGGTGCAAAAAAATTGTGCCCAAGTTTTAATACTTTTTTTTTAGTTCCTCTTTTTAAATATAGTATTTGAAAACATGCCTATCATGACCATGGATATCACAGCTACTGCTTGTCACATAGCCTAACTCTCTCAATTCCTCACTTCCTGTCTTTTCTTTATTTTCTCACCAACTTACTGTACATGTAACTCTAAAATACATTGAAACTTTCTTTGGGGTACCCCTCACTTGAGCCTCTTTTCCTGAAAAAAGATCCCCACAGGATTACAGAAGGGCATGCACTGGACCCACTTTGGTCAATATCTAGATTCTATAGAAATGGTACATGTATATCCTTAGTGAAAATGCCCAATGGAACAACTTGTAGTCAATCATTCATTCATTTTCCCTCTTTAGATAAAAGTGTCTCGATTTCCCATTACCAAACTGCTGTTACTGTATAATAATGTTTGCTATTTGATATTTTACTGAAGGATGTTCTGGCATTCAAGTGGAAGAGATTTACAGTCTTGATGAGGCATCTCTCGATGAGTTAAGGTAATACTGAGACAACTGTTCTGCTCTCTTTTCAATTTGATATATGATTTATGAGCAATCTTCACAAGCTTTTTTCACTTGTTGCGTTAGTCTCTTGTGCTTAGAGTCTCAGGGAGAATACACCTATACATTTTGAGTTATTTTAACTGGAAATAAATGTTTTTTTTTCCATTATCAGGGGTTTAAAAAAAAAAACTGGTCTACAGCTATCTGTTAGACCTCTAACCACGGTTTGAGTAGCCTGCAGGCAGGCTCTTGTGTTTAGGTTTTGCCTTATGGCTTTAGGCTTAGCAGCCTATAACACAATCTCCCCTCTACCTGCTACACATTTCCTTATAAATTAATTATGAGAACTTGACTTTAGATCAAGATGACAACTTCTACTCGATTAGTTTGTATATTCTCATTACCTGTTTGCAGGATAATGTAAAGATATTATGGGAGGAAGTTTTATGTTGATCACTTCTGGGAGTTAAAGGGTTAAAAACCCTGCATTTATTTCTGTTCTTTTTAATTTCAGACCAGTTCATGGTTTAATATTTCTTTTCAAATGGAAGCCTGGTGAAGAGCCTGCAGGGCCTATTGTGCATGAAAGTCGATCTCTTGGCATATTCTTTGCAAAGCAAGTAAGTTCACCTTTTTAAACCACATTTCTTAAATTTCCTCACTGTCAGTACTAGATAGAGCTCATGGTGCATATCTACCTTAAATTATGTTTTTAGGTTATCACAAATGCCTGTGCAACACAAGCAATTTTAAGTGTGCTTCTCAACTGCAATCATCCAGACATGGATCTTGGACCAACCCTGTCAAGCTTTAAAGAATTTTCGGCAACATTTGATTCATCAGTAAGTTCAATTTCTAGAGTTATGCATCACACTCTTGTAAACTGAAATGACCAGGGTTCAACTCTCTGTAAAGTAAGATTTACACCAAGAGTCCAGTAAGATAATTTTTTGGTCTTTTTAGGCTTTAAGTCAATTACTGAATGCCCACACATTTATGAATGTCTTGTTCACTGAAATAAAAAATGTGCTCTTATCAATTTTTCTGTTAAATTTTTACAGTTATGTTTTTTTTAAGCTCTAATATTTCATTCATTCATGTAGACTTCTCTTAAATAAGTAATCTCCAAACATTCCTTTCCAACTTTTAGCTAGTCCTGAGATCATGCTGCCATGTCAAATTCCAAAGTATGACCCTAAGCTCAACTCTCTCTAGAGTAAGATTTTCACCCAGAGTACAATACAATTGTGATTTGGCCTTCCTAGGCCTTAAGCCAATTACTGCATGCACACACATCTATAAATGAAATGAATAAAATAATAAATTGTTAATGATCATTTTGATCTTTTATTGATCACAGTTAAAGGGGCTCAGTCTCAGTAACTCTGATGTTATAAGACAAGTTCATAATGGTTTTGCCAGGTTTGTATCAATATTTACAAAGTGTGCAACTTATTCTTAATACTTTGAAGCATCTCAAAATAAGTCACAATAAGTATAAGTTACAAATGAAGGGGATTTATGGTCATGATAGAGATGAGGTGGTAGTAAGAGGCTGGTGAATGTGTTAGAAATCCTAAACTACAAATTGTTTGGTTTCAAGTTCTAATACTGCATTTAACTCATGTACTGAAGGTATTGATTGACTTACTGCTTCACAGACAGATTGACAGATGTACTGAGTTACTAACTGATTGACTGACACTAACAGACACACTGACTGACAAACTGACTTACTGTTGGAGGGCTAACGCTCAGAATGTCAGCTTTAAAACTCCAATTTACATCATCAACTCAATTGATCAAATTGTCTTGAATTACTTACTGATTGATTGACTAACTTACTCTATAACTGACTTACAAAGTGACTGATGCATCAACTAATTCCTGACTGACTAACGTACTGACTACTGTCTTATCAACTGAAGGATTGATTGACTGACTGGCTCACTGACAGACTTACATAGTGTACTGATTGACTGATGCACTCACTGGTTACTGACAGGTGACTTGGTACTTAATGACTATCTGATTGAATGAATGAGTGACTAATTGATTGATTGATGCAATAATTCAAAAGGCTTCTCTGATTACCACAGTAACAATATTCAAAGGAAATGTCCAAGTATCCCTAGCAAGTTTCACAAAATGTCATTCCTCATCCATTTTCTTGTTACTTCAGGCAACAGATGTTTGAATTTGATGCCAAACTTCCTCCAAAAGACGACAATGTATATCACTTTGTTGCATATGTTCCAATTCTTGGTAAACTTTATGAGCTGGATGGCTTAAGAGATGGGCCTATTGACCTTGGTAATGCTCTTATTGAACTGTACTGTCAAATTTAATCCAATTTATAATTGTAATAGGAATGAGTGAAGTCCAGTTTGGTCTGTGATCATACAGCTGTCCGAGTGATTGTCAAAATTGGACAACTGCAAAGCAAGAGTCTAATTTCTTAATCATGACTATGATTACTGAGAGAATTGGACAACGCAAAGTCATCATACCCAGTAATCAAAACCACAACAAAATTTGATAAAGAAACCAGACATCTGTTATACGTTAAAAAAAAAAACCCATCAACTTGGCAAAATGCACGAGAACAGCACACGCACATTAAGCTTACTGTCTATTTACCCAAGCATGACATGTTAACTGTCCTTGTAACTGTTCTACTACACAGTCTAATAGCAAGCCCAATGCACACACTGTCCTATTAGTGCTCTTATTTGGCTGGTGATAACCAATTGCATTCCAGAATAATTTTGTCATGTACATTATGTACAGCTGTTTGCAATACATATTGAAACACAAATCATGTTATCTATAGATATGAGCCTCTCATTCAGTTCTAACATTTTTTGTATCCATCTCACAGAACTGAACATAAGTTGTTCTCAGTCAACTTGTCACACAGTACAACTTCCAAACATTGATTAGTGTTTCAACATCTTCTGAAAGTTAGACATTTCAATCTGTACTAGGCAAACAATTGAGTCAGAGGGAGGTTTAAGTCAGTTGAATTTTTTCTATTAATTTTGTGGGTGCAAATTTAAACACTAACTCATTTATTTGTATCTTGTTAGGGCCATGTACTCCTGAAAACTGGCTTGCCACATGCAAACCAATCATTGAAACAAGAATGCAGAAGTATGTAGTCCTACAAAGCATTTCTTTTCCCGGTTATAGTTCGTTATTTTCAGTAGGTTATTTTTGTTTTTCTGCACAACCAGGTTCTTTAAAAACAACTTTTTACAAAATAGGGTGGGATTTTTCAGGGACAGTAACAAATGAAGCTGTTTGAACATGGAGAAGCTCTAACATGGCTTTGTTTGCTTAACCCTTTAACTCCCGTGAGTGACCAATATCATGCAGACAAGTGGTGAGAATTAAAAAAAATATATCAATTTGGGGATAATTAGTTGATCCAATACTAAATTCTCTGAACTAACATAAAAATTGTCTGGTTGACAGTAAGGAGAATTACAAATTTGATCTGGGAAATAAAGGGTTAACTATCTCATTGTGAATACTGAGCAGAGGTAATGCATTTCAACCTGATGGCGACTGTTTGAGGAAAACTATGCACTAAAACCCAACTTTGTTTTATGATTTTTCTAATCTCAGATACTCAGCAGAGGAAATTCACTTCAATCTCATGGCAATTGTTTCATCAAGGAAAGCTCTTCACCTTAAAGACATTGACAGACTAAACCAGAGGAAGCAACATATTCTGGATCAGGTCTGAGCCCATTTTATTTCTAAGAATTGGTCAGATGAGTATGGATTTTTTCCCCTCAGCTTTTGACTCTTTCAATCCATCATCAAGTGATAACAAGTTAATTATTTTTTCTAATACTAATTTTTCAGCTGGAAGAATTAAAAAGCCGGACTTCAGCTGAGGTGATTTTTCAAAACCATAGCTTTCTGTTCTATTCTGTTAAAACTGATGTAAAGTTTTGTCAAGATAATGAGATTTGTTGAAATACAGCCTTCTACTTTTTTTAATTTTTGCAGGGAGGGGAGGGAATGGAGACGGACCAGATGGCAACATCGGTCAATGATTGTCAGGCTATTTTAAAGAATATCGATGGTGAACTTTCTCGGCTACAGACACTTATTGCTGGAGAAGATGACAAAATGTTGCGATATAAGGTAGGAATTGAATCTTGTTGAAGGCAGATTAAGTAAGAATTTTCAATTGCACATTACAATCAAATGTTAAAAATTCAATTCTACATAGATACTAAAAACTGAAAAAAAATAAAAATAACAAAATTGTTCACTAAGATGTAAAAATACAAATTAGAAACAAAGAATTAAAAAGCTTTTGCCAATAAAAAAGTCTTAATGGCGTTCTTAAACTTGCTTAAAGATTGGGTGTTTCTGATAGAGCCTGGAAGATCGTTCCACAATTTAGGGGCAGCCACATAGAAAGATCGATCACTGAGTGTGGTGAGTGTTTTACCCCTGCAAGGAGCAAGGAGTAAGCTGTCATTGGAACGTAAATCATATCTTCCAGTGTCTCTAACAGAAATCTGGTGTCTCTAACAGAAGTCAGCTCACTGTTTGCATATGTGAGGTCATCACTCAATGATGCATATCATAAACACAATTTTATGCATAACTGACACATTAAAAATGGCTCCTTTTTCCTTTACATTGGTAAGGTGATGTTCCACAATGAGTAAATGTGCCACCCCCCCTCTTTAAGTTCCTTATCTCTCCTGTTTGAACAGGAAAGATTGAACTCTTCTGTTTAAACAGAAATATCCAATTTTTTTAAATCAAAAACTTTCTCTTGAATTCTTGAAAATTTTCAGGTTGAAAACATAAGAAGAAAACACAATTATCTACCACTGATTATGGAACTTCTAAAAGTTCTGGCCAAACAAGGAAACCTGGTGCCATTGGTGGAGAAAGTATGTTAACCTTGTGAGGCATTTTTATGACCTATTTTATCTCACTCTGGCTGCAAAAGGAAATGCAACGTCCTCACAAAGAGATATTAATGCCCTGGAAAAAGAAATCTTTTTACAGAATTTGTGTGCACTGAGTCAGTTTGAGATCCACATTCACTTTACATCTTGCAAGTTGTAGTTGCATTCTTGGTCAAGACAAGTTTTTCATATTAGTTTTTATCCCATACCAAACTTGTATGGCCAGCATACAAAGGAGGCAAAGCATATGAACAGGAGGCAAAGTGTGATTGTTAGGATCTGGGAGGGAATTAGTTAATGAATTAATTCCACTTCATGCTAATTTATTACAACAGTGTTTTGTGTTTCACAAACTGGACAAGTTTTGGTAGTCTTGTTGTTCATTGCCATGTGAAAGCTCCTCAGCATCTTTATAATGACGTGGCTCATTTTTCAAGATTTGAGGGATTGTGGTCATCTTCCTATGGTGATTTTTAGGTAATAAAATGTTGGAAGTCTCTTCACTTGTTCAGATATACTTTGTTTTTCTTTCAGGCAAAAGAGGAAGTACAGGCCAAGAAGGCAGAGCAGGCTAAATAAAGCAATGAGATGTTTCTTTTGTTTCTTAAGCAACAACTGTACAGCAGCAATTTATGGGTTATTAAAAAGTTTCTGTATATGTTTTGTACACACCTATTATTCCAGGGATAATATTAAACTAAATTTCCCTCTTTAATGAAAACACTGTTTCCTTGTTTATTTGTCCAGCAGACAATTCCTTAACAACACCAAGCTTGCAATTCATTGCTATGCTTTCTCAACCGCTAAAACAATATCTACTTATAAAACAAACAGTGAAGACCGGGCGCTGTATGCTGGTTGTCTTTGGATGATTTCACAGCACTCAGCTGCAGAGGCATTTCTCTCGATGGTGAAACCCAGCTCATCGTATATCCTCGCCTAAGAAAAGTGAAAAACGGTCATTTTAAGTAGTAAATGCCAAGAAAAAGTTGAGCAGGGACTAGTCCCCAGAAAGAGCTCCCTGTTCTTTGTCTCCTGTCAATGAGTAAGTTACAAACAATCTGAGGCTCTGGGGCCTTCTTTAGAAGATAGCTAGAATAGAAGACGCCGAGTTAAGTGTAAAAACCTTTTGACGTGGTTTTCATGCGGAAGTAGGAAAGAGACACCCATCTTCGCCATAGCAAACTTCCCTAAAACACCGCGCCGACTAGTACACACATTTTAAATCAAATTCCGTAAGTAACCTGGAATGGCTTTGGTTTTGCCTTTACATGGCCCTGTCGTTGGTCTTCAAGCTCGAGCCGCTCTCTCAACCAATCAGATGCAAAGCTAAACACCATCGCATGGTGGTTGCTCATGTTCCTCTAAGCGCGAGGTCGGTCACGTGTTTTCTTTGTTCTCATTGGTTCCGTATTATCCAAAACTTTTTATGGCTTTAATTTATGACCCTAAATCATCAGACGCGACTCTTGGCTTAATTGTCACCTGAAAGTATAAGACATCTCTGGTTTTGTCGGCAGCCCCTAACTTCCTAAATCCTTTCACGATCCTTTCCAGCGTCGGCAAAGCAGAACGCAAGTCTAATGAATAAAGAAACAACTAAGTAACTTTTCTTTCTGACTTGAGTTGCAATGCGTTTCAAGACACTAGCAACATTTTTAAGGTATCACGGACGTTATCGAGTAAACGAGGACACGACAGCACTCTTACAATAGCGACAGCTGTCTATTGGCTTTACTGTTGCAACAGAGGTAATTAAAAAGCACCCATGGAAGAAGCTACACCAGCCCCACCCCCCCCCCCACCCCCCCATTCTCCTCCTTCTGCTTTTTAAAAGCTGTAAAAGCCCACCAGGATGAAAGCTAAATACGAATACATTACGACACCCAAATACAATTGGTGTGAGAAATGAAAAAAATGTAGAGAATAAACCAAGAAAAATATGGAATACAATATTTAACGTCCTTCAGACATCCTAATTTGCTCGTGTCCCTTAAATTCACCGTAAACAGTCCATTGTTTTTGGTTTCCAGCTTCTTTGTGCGCTGTTTTCCTGCCACCAGTACAAGGGGAATTCGCACCATTTTTAAAGTAAAATGCCCGCGCCATAATTTCACTCGCAAGGTTTCGCGGGAGCCGGTTTCGCGGGTGCAAATTTCTCTTCGATCAACCAAAACTCCTACGTCAATTTTTTTTAAACAAATTCCTTGTTCGAAACCCGGAACTTATTAAAGAGGACTTTGTTAACATCCTTCATCGACACTACCCAGGATAAATTACTACTGCGAGTGCGACATTATGCATTATTCGATAAAATACTATTCTCGTTGCTCTAGTTACCAGTTTCACGGCGGCTCTTATCCTGATTTTGCGATGAGGCAGTCAGCTGACACTTGACCAACAAAAACCGAGCACAGCACTGCACGTACAAAGAACCTGGGGATAAGGAATGACCGACGTAACATTGCTTTGTCATGTGAATGACTGCAATTTGTAAACTGAATCACTTTACAAAGAAAACATAACTTCGTTGGAGATGATTGTGATCCAGTAATTCTTGGGTTGTAATTCGGGTGACATTTTTACGCTGCATGCCTACAATCAGTTATTTTTGAGCTCTTGCAAAAATGACAGAAACCTTTAATCTTTGAATGTTCATTTTTAAGTACCTGACACTGTCATGGTAAAACGTAAGTTAAGTCTGTATTTAAGTTTAGTGGCCCACCCACCACCCAGCCGGAGCTTATTCCGGTTTCCTTTGCATGGAGAGACGAAGAGTATCACTACTCCTCCATGGATGGGATGCAAATCCTTTGCAAGGTTACCCCCAGTAATTGCTTCCCTGGCAATTTGCTAGTACCCATTTATACTCCTGTGTGGAGAGGGGCACTGTGACAGTAACATGCTTAGCTCTAGAACACAACACATTGACCCAGCCAGGTCTCAAACCCAGATCTCTCGACCCGGAGTCCAGCGCACTGACCACTAGGCCACCACGCCTCCTCCTCACATTGACATGCGTGTGGGAATTTACATTTCAAGAGCTCTCAACTCACCATGTGATAAGATCTGAACCATGGTTCTCTTGATCAGAGCCACAGCTTTTTCTGGTAAACCTAAAGATAGCTGAAAGAGACAGTGTGGTGTTTTACGTTACTGCTACAGTTAGAGTGAATGATGACAGTTTATGATGTTCGATAATACCATAAAACTAATTTTTATTGAGTATATAAAGAATTTGTTTGCGCTACTAGATTGTGATTGATCAAGAAATGATTGTACTGTTCTCACAAACAATAGAATGCAAAATTGAAACTAAATTATTCGCGTTTTCCCGTGCTAAAGATCGTCTCTTCACTTTGAGCTCTGTTACTACTCAAGAGTTTGTGGACGTGCAACCGTAAGCGAACTTGTTCCAAAGGAGGTTTTAACCCACCTCAAAACATATATACCTTTAATAGTTGTCTAAGTAACTAATGCAATGCATTACATTCACGAATACAAACGAAAAAAACGCGTATGCCGAACGGATGCATCCAAAATTGAACAAAGCTTTTCTCTTGAACGCTCCTTTGGCGCACTGAAAACTGAATCCGAATTAAACCAAGACTCAACTTGTATCAATATCTAAGTTTAACAACAAGAAAATACCTTGTAATACAATTAATAGTTTTCTCGCCATTGTAAGTCATATACCTGGATTTGTGCAATGTAAAGTGAGGCTAAAGCAGCGGAGTTGTCCATGTAGTGTGAGCATGAGGTGGTCAAGCAGTCAAGAGCGTGAGGCAATGCAGATACTGGGTCACTCAGCAACAAAAAGAGCTGCGTTAGGGCTAAAAGAATTCTGAGGGTAAATGAAAACAATACAGACATGAATGCTCATTACCGGGAACTGGTCAAACTGTGGTAGGTGCGGTTGTTTGGTGATAAGCACACTGTTCATGTATGATTAAGAAGTTTGTAACAGTCTTGAGTACATGAAGAGAGCATGACATTGGAGTGGTTCAAAAACGATATTTCAGTAACAGCTCATTAACAAGTCAAGCATTCCAAATACGTAAATTAAGACACTAATGATCAAGATCAATGTCTAGCTAAAAGTGTAGCAAATAGTTCCAAATTGCACGGAAACGTCCAAAATTGCATGAAACCGTTGGAAACCCGGCGGAACCAGAGAAGGAGGGAGCCGGAGGTTGATTAAAGGGCAAAGTTAAAAAAATGTTTCTGGCTCAATTGACAATTTACATAGACTGCTTCTTTGAGTTTACATTTAAATTCTACCAAGGTCATCATGGCTCTTGAAAAGGAATATCTCACAATACCTTGCTTTGTATTCAGCAGCTGATTTCTTCTCATCATTTAGGAACACCTTGTCTCTGGAATAAGCCAAACATATAAACCATCATTTTGTGAGTCAAAAGGATTTTCAAAAATCAAAGAAGTCGCATTTAAATGTAAAAACTTATACTTAGAATAAAGGGGGTAAGTTCCTAAAGAAACTGTGTTGCTGCATAGTTGGGGTATAACAAGATAATTTGGTTTTATCAACTGAGTTGTTAATAGTTCGTATAGTGTGATCGTCCGGGTGAGTGTAGTTCTGTTGTTGGTGACTCACCCGGACGATCACACTATACGAACTACTGATACTCCTGGGTTCAAACCATTTACTTTACTGAGTTGTTAATATAAAATGCCCACCGCAAAAAGTTTCTAAAGCTGACGTTTCATTGCTTTAAATCAAATGAAGAATGATATGGGTTAAACTTCCCTTAGGATGGCCCGAAAACGGAGATGATCACCAAGTTAACGGCAACATTGCTTTTATGGGTTGTGGATAAAAAATTCTTCTTTTGATTGTGAAATAAATTCTTCTTGTCTATGACATGACCCCTGAAAATTACCAGTAAGTCCCCGCTTAGAGATGTAACACTTTCAACTATCCTCTTTACAGCAGGTTGTGTAAGTTTCATGTATATTGTTACCTTGAGCTTTCAAGTAGCTTCTCTAACCTAGGAAATGCTGTGGTGTAGTCTCCTAAGTGAAGCAAATTCAAAGCGGACCTAAAAGAGAGAAAGATAACTTTTATCATGGCCTAATTCATTTTTCTTCTTTTTACTGGCCAGGGGCTCTCAGGTGATCTGTAAATAACTGCCTACAATACTCAGAAGTTGTACCGTCCGTCACACTGTGTTTTGATTCCAATAATCATGATTCTCCTCAAGCACAGTTTGTGCCCTTGCTCTCCTGCCAAAAATGACAATTCACTTTCCTATGCTGTCAGAAAGTGATTCTCAGTTGTCCCACACGAACGTGACGTGTCAGTGCCGAGCAGTTCAATGATCTACCGAGGCCGCAGGCTTAAAACAGTTTTAGCAAGAAAAAAAATTCAGATTGTTGGGATTTCAGCAAAATGTAAAAGCTCCTAAAATGTCTAATTTCCAGAGGCCCCTTACGCTCGTAAACGGACTCATTCATGTAGCTAAAAGGAAGTTTCTCTTCCACAGGTTTACTATAACTTAAACACGGATGAAACTTAACCATAAATTATCAGTACGTGATCCATCAAAAACTTGAAGATAACAGACAAAAGTTTCAGCCAGAGGAATCATGTTGCAGTGAGAAGGGAGAACAAAAGTAAGTATTCAGATCTTTGGAAGTCAAAAGTGAGAACTTTAACGCGCGATAAGTGAGAGGAAAAAACCGTATTCCCTCAGTGTATGATATACTCCCTAAAAACAGCCCTGTGGCAAGTGCAATAATTAACTAAAACTTATTTACCTATACTCGGCCTCAGGTTCATCTAGCGCTGCTAATTGTTCAACACATGCTTTTGCTCTCTCCATGTTACCTTGAAGTAAAGCTTTATTGTGATCTATGATAGCTCCTGTTGTCATCCATAGCTGTTCACACAATTACAGAGAAAAGACATAAAAGAGGAAGGTGTAGAAATGAAAAGTTTTGCACTCCAATTTCTTGTTGGTCTTGCTGTTAAAATGATATCACTGATGGAAAAAAGACCAAAGATTCTCAATCTTAAATTTTGGGCTTCAAGCGTGAAGTTTCAAAGACTAACAACCATTCTGATCTTTGAGTGCTTTATTGAACAATACGAGCTAATTTTACTATCAGCAATTTGACGAGATTCTGCTCACCTGAGATAACCTAGAATGTTCAGGAAACTTTGTTCTGCAAAATGATAGGATATCTGAGGCCTCTTGAAACATTCCCTGCAACAACAAACAGATGGGTTATGAGGTTAACTAAAATTTCAGTACTTTCTTCATTTTGTTTGAAAAAAAAAGGTAATTGGAAGAGCACATATGGAATATTTTAGCTGCTTTTTACCTGTCAGTGGATGACTTACTATGACATTTTGGTTGTTGTGCAAATAATTGCCTGTTTGTTGGCTGGCTATTTTTCAAGCACTAAACATTCACATAGTTGTATAGAGGACCTTGCTCTATACTAGGAGAGAGCCAAAGGTCAATAGTCCAAAAGCCTTTTCCAGATGTCACAGAGCCCCCATGAAAATTATCTGAAGAAATTATTGGAAGGCCATCTCAACATGAATAAGTTTCCTCTGTAGTAGTAAATGGGTATCAAATATAAATGTTTCCTTATCTTTGGCTCTTTTTTTCCTCGCATGTGCTTTGAGCATGAACTTTCAGCCTTGTTCAGGTTGGCAGCTTTTTCCAGGCAGTTTCCCCCACCCCATCCCTCCCTCTTTCCACTGTTTATTCAGTGTGATGGGTGCTTGTTTCCCTTTCCAGCCATAAGAGCAGTCTCCATCTAGGAGCTGGCTGCTAATGGTGGAAGCTTCTGGATGTCTCAGGTACCCAACCTCCACTTAGCTTGCAGTTGTTGACACAGTTAAAAAGGGAAATTTTATAAAAATCTCTTCAGTATAGCTTACTCTGTCAGCATGTTGTTCTGCAAGACTACACAGTGACAGACATGTAGCCTCTGCACTTTGTATACCAGCTGCACCTCTACTAACAGATGTCATTAAGTCACTGCTGGCTGAAGCATTTTGATGAAGTGCAAACTGGGTGAAGATACTTGCAATACAACTGAAAAAAGAAAATGAGAGTATCAACAAAGAGAATGACAAGACGTGTTTGTTCATGAAGGTTAAGATTATCAATTAAAGTTTAGTTGTCAAGGGTTACTCTCAACTGTAGAGTCAAGGTACTTTCTCAGGTAATGAGGTTGAATGCCTAGGCATTGCTATATGACATATAACATGATAGTTAGCTTCTATTGGTGCATTTTGGCATTCTCTTATTGGTATGTATCATATGACCTTTAGTGCCCCACACCTGCTTTTACTGAAAAACATCAGATGCAAATCCCCACCCCCTATGAGGGCTGTATATGACAGAGCAATAAAACTATCCTAAAGCCAAAAGTGGTCCATGAACAGGTGGCACTCAGTTAAAGAATCTATTCTATAAAAAACTCAAACTAACCCTTCTCTAAACCCAAGGTAAATATTGCAATTTCAAGTAACTTTCCCGTACTGCCAACAGAGTTTTAAAAAGAAGTTAATTAAATGAGTTTTGAAAAGTAGATCCTTGCAAGTAGTGGATGCCAAAACCTCTCAGGGTACATATCCTGTGAGATAGAAACTTTTAATATAACTGAGTAAAACTTACTTTTTACCATAGATCTGCCAAATAGCTGCCTGTTGGACATGTGCTGCAGAGTTCAAGTCACCTAATGCCTTCTGAGAGTTGATGATATTGATTTGGGTAAGGTTTTGTAGAACTCTGATGAAAAAAAAAGTGATGTACATATTAAATACAAAGCTTTGATATTGTATGTCTTGATTTTTTTGTACATGAAATCAAAAATATCAATGAGGTAAAAAATTTTCCAGGTTTTAAAGCAATTTCAGAAAATAGTGCAGATTGCAATTTGAAAGTCCAGATGCTTTAATAGAGAAAGACATATTTTGTCTTGTCACAAGTGTGGGAATCAAACCTCAGACCTTGAGATAAATGCAAAGCTTTGATCTTTCCCTGTTTCTTTACAAGTTCAAAACATACCATCTTTCTTATTTTATTTACAGATGCTTAAAGTATCTCAAGAAAAATCTCCACATCCACAAAAAAAGATAAAATTATTCTTGAAGCTTAAAGCCAAGTTTAAAGTCATTGTCATGCACATCCCAAATTCTAACACCTAAAATTACATAATGCCATATCTTACTTAGGAGGTGGTACTCCAGCCATGGCATCATACTGACAGTGATTCAACATTCCAAGAGAAGTCAAGTACTGAACAATAAAAGTGATAAAACACAAATAAGGTCAAGTATACATTTAAGAAATACAAAGCAAACACAACCAACAATATACCTAAGTGTATAGGAATCTCAAAATGCATTTTTTTTTAACACAAGTCTCAATGCTGGTGTTTCTCAAAGATCTAATTAAAAGTAACTTTGTGTCTCTGAATGCATAAGAGAGACTGGTTCTCCTTTTCTATGACTTTCTGTAAGTTGTATTTCACATAGCATTTCTTCAATATAATTTTATAAACTGGGAGGTATATACCACTTCAAGACAAAGGATGAAACACAAGTCTCAATGCTGGTGTTTCTCAAAGATCTAATTAAAAGTAACTTTGTGTCTCTGAATGCATAAGAGAGACTGGTTCTCCTTTTCTATGACTTTCTGTAAGTTGTATTTCACATAGCATTTCTTCAATATAATTTTATAAACTGGGAGGTATATACCACTTCAAGACAAAGGATGAAACACAAGTCTCAATGCTGGTGTTTCTCAAAGATCTAATTAAAAGTAACTTTGTGTCTCTGAATGCATAAGAAAGACTGGTTCTCCTTTTCTATGACTTTCTGTAAGTTGTATTTCACATAGCATTTCTTCAATATAATTTTATAAACTGGGAGGTATATACCACTTCAAGACAAAGGATGAAAAATAATTCCAAAATACACCCTAATTCTACTTACAGGAATTTTGAGCTCAGCAGCCCTTGCAACAAATCTGTCCAACAAAAGCTTTGCTTGAGAACTGCCATCCATTTCTAACCGATAGAGCCATCCCTGAAGAAGCCAGAAATCATCATATTTCATGAAACAAAAAAAGTATTATAATACTGAAAATCATACTCCTGTCAAAAGTCTAGTATACAACATTGTATGAAAAACTTTCTTTTCTATATAGAAAATTTGAATGTTCCTACAAACCCAAGCTTTGAACCATGATTTTTACTATGTAGTCAGTAGACATTTGGCAAATAAACTGCTTGATTTTTGGCTTTAATAATATTACTGAACAGAACTAAACAATGGTGAAATGTAACTTGCCAAACAATGCTCCAAACAAACATGATCATTGGTTTCCTGTGCAATTTGAATGGCTTCCTTCAAAGCTGCCAGTGCTTCTTCCCTGAAAAACAGTTTGGAATTCCAATTATCTCACTAAATAGTTACAATATTTAACCATCCTTACAGATATAGAAAGTCTAATGTGAACGTTTGTTCCAAGGGTTCTGTTCATTACATTAATTTGTTTAATAGCCTTACATGATAAGTATAAAAACAAGCCTGACTCATGATCACATAGCTACAGACTGAGGCGTATCCCAGTTTCTGTAGCATTGAGTGTCTGGGTGTATCTCCATTCTCTTTCTCTGGATGGGATGCTACTTTATCTCAGGCTGCCCCAAGCATTTTGCTGGAGGTTAACTTATTGATCCTCTCACTCCCAGGAGTGACCAACAATCAATTTCTTCTTACGGTAACCATAATTTTTTAAGCAGAGAGGTCAAGGGAAGAAAGAAAAACACCAACAAGGTGATACTCCTTGATTAAACATCAAGTTCTCAGAACTAAAATCATAAGCAATATATGGAGAGGCTACAAATAATTACTATTTAGATATTTGTGGGAAAAAGGGTTAATACTCCAAGGTGGATAGGCACAATGACAGCAGCATTGCACCCAAGGTCTTGAACTATCTCTTTCTCAATCCAGAGTCCATTGCCCCAATAATTAGTCCTCCCTCTAACCAAATGCTTCTCCTGTACACTCAGTAGGAGACTATATTGTAGGTTCAAAAAGGACTGAAAAGAGTTTTCACAAGAATTGACAGCAGAGGAGGGTTGGCTAAATTATTTCCAGATGCAACATGACCACAGAAAGTCTTCCACATGACTGACACTTACAATATATCAAATCTGTGTTACATGATACCCCAGTCTACATACCTGTGACCAAATTGGCAGTGAAGTGCAGCCAGGTTCAAGGCAGCATATCTGAATCTGTGGCACCTCTCAGGCTCTGTTCCTTCCGAACTTGAGGCTATTTTTATGGCTGACTCCTTGTGCCATTGTTGTTGATCAAAATAATGATAGAGACTGTCAAGTGCTCCCTTAAATTCCTTGGCTCTTAGACAGTTAAGAAAAGTTGCATAGTGCTGTTGATGGAGAAACACATAATTATTTGATTTTACCAACTGTTTTATAATCAGTTCTAAGGATCTTGCTCATGATAAAAAAATATGAGTATGCAAGACACATCTAACAAAATTATGAACCCATCATGAGGACTGGCTCACCAACAAGTAGCTTACCTAGTAAAGGATCTAACTACAACTCCAGAGCTGTAGTTCTGTCTCTATTGTTTCTTTAAAAGGTTTATAGATGAACATGAAAGACTTACAGTCTCAGCAATGTCAGGAGAAGCTGTTAAAATATCTGCTATCCTTAACTGCAATTCAGGGGGTGATAGGGCTTCTTGTTCAGTGGTCTGTATCAGAGACACCTCGAAAAAGAAAAAAATAAATGTGACTTGTGGTGGGTAATAATCCCTTTCCCTATGCTCAAATGCCCCACAAACATCTAGAATCTGAAAAAAACATAACTTTTATTGCAGTTTACTTATTATTATGTATTGTACAGTAGTAAGTGTTGTGATTCAATTTTATCCCTGGTTGAAAGTTTATTTTCAATTGGAGGGCTCAGAGCAAGAACGATCCCTTGATTTTTCGGCCATTTTTGAAAGTGTTCAGAAGTAGTTCTGAACACTTTCAAAAATGGCTGAAAAATAAAGGGATCGTTCTTGCTCTGAGCCTTTCAATTGATTGTACAAGCAAAAAGCCTAAACACTAATAAAAGTCAATAAAATTTAAACCCCCAAAAAATTTTTATAATTAAAAATCCAAATGAGGTTTAACCACAACAAATACACATGAAACCCATGCAGCCCTAATATGGATTCCCTCTTACTAACTGAAAAGACATATTTCATAAACATCTCAAAATTCATCTTTTAACAAACACTTCACTAACAGCTTTGCTAACCTTGCCTTTTTTTTCATATTTGAGATATTGTAAACTCAATTGGTAATTTTGTGACGAATAAATTGTATGTTCCATTGGCCTAACTGCACCAAAGAAATCTATTAATCATTTGAATTTATCACCCCTGAATGTTTCATCAATTTGAGATTTCCAATTTACTAGTTTATATATAATTTACAAAATTCAACTAATGGATCTCCATTTTCCATCAAAGGCTAAGTGACAAAAAATGTATTATGTTACCTGATTAGCCAGAAAAAACTCTGCTTGCCTGTTTGTAACTGGACCATGGAGGACAGGATTTCTAAAAGCATCCAGGAAATTACACATCCTTATTCATTAAGTAAATAGTATACTAGTCTAATAAGCATGGCTAAAGATAAGAAGTTTTAGACATGTCTATTCTGACTTAGGGACTACTCTATCATTTCATCACTGACACAAACTGAACCAGTAAATAAAATATAAATGTGTAATATGCTCTTGTAGTGTGTCATTCCCATTTCTTGTGCAGGTAAATACAACTCCTAGATTATACAAGATGTATATCAGAAACTAGAATCTAAAATGCTAGAAATGTTTTGAAAATGGCAAAATTATTACAGTAACTTCTAAAAACTTTTCTGCACTGCATCAGTTGCAATCTTAAAACAGCTCAGTATCCTCAATGTATCGGTTGACTATCGACTGATAATCAGTAGATAGTCGGTCAATAGTCGACCGATAGTCGACCGATAGTCGACCGATAGTCGACCGATAGTCGACCGATAGTCGACCGATAGTCGACCGATAGTCGACCGATAGTCGACCGATAGTCGACCGATAGTCGACCGATAGTCGACCGATAGTCGACCGATAGTCGACCGATAGTCGACCGATAGTCGACCGATAGTCGACCGATAGTCGACCCATAGTCGACCGATAGTCGACCGATAGTCGACCGATATATCAACCGACTGACGGCCGATGCATTGGCCAGTATGTAGTGATTAACTGCCAGTGAAGTATCGGTCAAGTATGGGTCAAATATCGGTTGACTATCAACCAATAGTCGGTTGACTGTCGACCGATAGTCAGTCGACAAGTACCTTGACAGTCGACCGATATATCCACCGATGTATCAGCTGACATGTCGACCAAGGCCACCTACAGTACACATGATCCGAAACACCAAAACCAGTTAGCTAACCTAGACATGCTGATAACTTTTCCTTCATCTTCAGTTTCTGTACTCTGCATGCTAACATCTAAACTGGTATCCAATGCCTCCTTGTCTGCATTATGTTTAAATGTTTCCATCCCCATATAAACTTTCATCTGATCCACAAAATGACTCACTTGACCAAATGTCATCTTGTTAAATGATAAAGTCATTCGTCTTGTGAAAAGACCTTCAGGTCAAAGTCAAATAGTTATCATAAACTGAAATTATCTTGGATGAATAAAATAGGGAATAAATTTAAAGAAATACAGTGATTCTTAAATTTAATAAGATCACATTTTTTTTTCTCTGTACCAGTTACATTTCTCACTATAGCCTGTGATAGATCTTGACTCTCAAAATTCTATCATTGACATCAAATGTACCAATTTCAATTTTTAAGCACAACACATACCAAACAGGCTCTTCTTATGCAAAGCAGGCTCTTGTCCAGTTAACAGGTCCTCCAGTGACTGAAAGAATTCTGAAAGGCCAGACACTCCAGTCTTCACACAGTTTTGTAAGCTACATGGTATAAAGCAGAGTTGGAATATTGTTAAAAAGGTTAAGTCATCATAGTGAATAAAATTGTAGTATAGTATAAAAATTTTTACTCTTTAAGTCCCACCAATGACTGAAACAGAATTTCTCCCCACACTGTCAGTACAATATCGAGTAGACAAGTAATGAGAATAAAGAAAAATATCAATTAGGGTATTATTGGTTGATCCAATTCCAAATTCTCCAAACTAGCATCATATGAATTGTATGACAGACTAATGAGATCTTGGGAGTTAAGGGGTTAAGTCATGATAAAGTCACTTTCAATATAGACTGAAAAGTACGAAATAAAACCAGTTCCTTGTTCATACACTTGTAAACAACTGGGAGAACTTAAGAAAATGATGAAAACACTTAACTACAACTCAGAAAGGGCTGTGTATAGGAGCCATGAATAAAGAGGGTAGAGGGTAAGTTTCTAAATAAACTGTGGGTGGTGCTGCAAAGCTGGAGGAGTATAGCAAGGCTTTATCACCTCAGTTGATAAATAATTATGTAAAGTGGTCACTATAACAAGTTTCAAAGCTGATTTTTTTTTCAGCATTAGCCCTTCCTCAAAGAAAATGGAGGACTTGTGGGCTGTATGTATGTTTATATGTATCTAAAGGGCAAACTCTTGAAATGTCTGCTTTTGACAGACAGCTTCTTTTCCTCTGTTACCAGGGTGAAACAAGTGAAACTTATATCATCAACTCAGTTGATAAAAATCCTTTTCAATTATCTGTTTGTAAAGGAAGGGTGGGAGGAACAAAAGACCCTCTGCATAGCCTCTGATTGTAACCTGCTTTTACCTTGATTCCTCTGTTACCAGGGTGAAACAAGATTAAAGGAAATGATCCCAAACGGTAGAATCTCTGATTGTTAAACATATTCTCCATGTCAGCACCTTAACCTTTTAGCTCTCAGGAGTGATTGACATGTAACTTCTCCCTATAATATCCATACCTTATCCAGCAAAGAGATAGTGAGAATTGTCAAACTTATCAGGTGCAGGTTGTTGTCTTGATCAAACGCAAAATTCTCATAACTAAGTTACAGGGAAATGTGTAGCAGCTAGAGGGGAGAATTGACAATCAGATCTTGGGAGTTAAAGGGTTAACAAATGTATGGAGAACAGTATGGAGAATCTGCATACTTACGTTTGGGCCATAGAAAGTGAATGCAACATATTTATGCTCTACAAGCTAAAAACAGTCTTAAGGAATAAAATAAGGCCAAGTATCTCACCTTAAAAACGAATCTATAAAACGCAAGCTCACGTCTGCATGAAGCTTTATTAAAAAATAACTAATGTTCGAACTAATGTTCGACTGACTCATTCGACTGACAACAACCTTTCACTTGACTCTGATGATGACTTCCGCTCAGGTTGTCGAAACGTCAGTCACCACTACCGACAACAGTTCTTCCCAGGACTACACTCACCCGGACGATCAAACTACACTATTACATGTTACCCCCGGGTTCAAACCATTTACTGTATTAAATTAATTAAGTCGTCTGACCTTTTCAGAAGCAGATCCTTAAGGCCAACATCCACCGCAGTAAGCCGCTTGCACAACTCGTTTAATTCCAAATCTGGAGTCTGAAAGCGAAAAATAATTGTTGCACAGTATTAACACTTACCACTGCGATAGTTAGATCAAGCAACCTCTCATAACAAAGTTACAAAGGTAGATGAATTACATGCATATACGTGTACTATACCTCAAACAATTCCAATAAAAGCAAGGATAGTTTATATCTGCATCTTTTCATACATTCTAAATCTTCTTCGTCTTCCTCATCGGTGGAGCCCATAAGCTTGATGAAAATCAAAAGAGATACCTTGTGAGGAGAAACCCAGTCTTTTTGTGACTTTGTCGCCATTTTGAAAGTTTCCTATTTGAACATTAGCGCCAACCTCTCGAGCTCAACTATTTAGGGAGGGGTAGGTCAAAAAAAGCCTCTTACATTGCCTAGAGAGGTAAAAGACTGACCCTTTCTCATTCAAACAAATACTTACCCATAAGTTCAATTTTAATTTGGATATTGTAAAGGGAATGGTGAAAAATAAACTTAATTCTATATTTGAATCAAGGTGAGTTTCATTTGAGATAGTTTTCCCTACCTCCCTCCTACTGAGTCAAATATGAAACTACCCAGAAGCCCTGGCGAGTAGCGTTCAAAACGACAATGAAAATGGCGGCTGAATCATGGAAAAGAGTTGGTACATGACATCAAGCACGAATTTGTGGCTTGTCTATCAACGAAAACGATTTTCGTAGAATGATTTTTACGCTCAAAGAAGTCATCAAATGGCTGGGACTATCGATCTTCGAGCTGTGGCTTCATATAGTGGCAATTTTTGTATTTTCAGTTCTGGTTGCCGTGAAATTGGAAGGCGGAACTTTATCATGGTGGACAGTGTTTGTTCCTTTGTTTGCGTGCGATGGATGCGTGGCTTACTTCACAGCTATCGTTTTCATAAGACTCTTTTTGATAGGTGATCGGCGTTTAGCGGGAAAAAGAACGGCGTGGAGCTTATTACTGTTAACTTTGTTGTTAAGTTATAAGATACTTCTCTGTCATCGACTGGAAAACTACATTGTTAGAGATTATGCAGTTATACACGTTCCCCTGTTCCTTCTCTTATTGGTCCTCGCTGTACGAGCTTGTCAAGTCGACTGCTAATGATCGAAGTGAAATACACCAAGTCAGCATGATCATACGTTCGAACTTCATATTACTAGCACAGCCACATCACGTGATGAAAAGCAGAGGGCAACACGGTGATCTATTGACATTCGTAGATGTAGAAGTTGAAGTCAAGGTACCATCCATGCATGCGATCTCAACAAATACAAATAGCTGATTCGCGCATTTAAGTAATTGTGACCACATTACTCTGTACATTGAAAGGCGTTAAACGGAAAATTGTCATTAGAAAACAATGTATAGGTTACCGGGTATGGATTTATTTGACAGCTGTCCATTTAGAAAGCTGATATTGAGGAAATGCGTTGTTTCCATTTAAAGTTAATCGTGTACATTTGCCAAAATAGAGTTAAATTGAATTAATAAAATTTTCAACACAGGAAAGTAACAAATAAAGTTTGTAAATAGATCATTTTGACATGATTGACCTTACATACTCTGATCAGAATTAATTTCTTCTTTCATGAAGAAAAGAAATAGCAGAAGAGACTGGGGTTTCTTTCTGTGGGCAAGCTAGTCATGGCATGGTGATGCAGTGTTAGTTATGTGTCAGCCCAGATTAGTTTTGTCTGTGTGAAGTCCCAGGAAAATACTTTAAACAACTCTGTCTATGGTGAATTGTTCATTGTTATGATCCCTTTTACAAATTGATATCATGTTGCTGTGAGTCTGTTCAGTAACAGATCACAGATTATGTCAAAGTGTGGTAAGAACAAAAGAAGAGGCACACTTGATGCAGAAGAGTGTGTCACTCATGTTCTTACCATATTTTGGTGTCTTTAGTGGTCTATTACTGTATTTGTTCTTTATGATAAGAAAGCAAATTATTGTTAATGGTTAAGTCAATTATTTGTCTGTCCCGTCATAAATCATGAGTAAAGGCCAATCAAAACAAGTATATTATACAGCTTAACATATCAGTTTTTATCACCACTGGCTGCTTTCCACATCATCATTACTATCATTATTGTACCAGAAAGAGAGGCATTGCATCATTATGTCATATATTCTTATTTGCAGAAAAAAAGGACACCTTGACAGGATGAACCATAAACAGTGTATACCAATGGATTTATTGGCAATGTTCACACATATATACAATCTGTGATTTAATTTTTCCATTATTCATTTATGAGGATTATTTCTCCCAGGAAGGCATGGCCAACTTCTTGTTGTTATCATGTACCTGCACAAGGCTATCATATCTCATCTCATATTGTTAATACTTTCTGGGTGTAAAATTTTTTCAGCAGGGTGTATTTTCCAACCTATGCTGAGCTACTGTACTGTGCAGCTTCTTTCCTTAACCCTTTAACTCCCATGCGTGACCAAGACAGAATTTCTCCTTACAATATCAAACAGATAAGTGATGAGAATAAAGAGAAATATCAATTTGGGGATATTTCGCTGATCCAATACTAAACTCTCTGAACTAATATTATAAGAATTGTATGTTGGATAGTAAGGAGAATTACAAATTTGTTCTGGGAGTGAAAGGGTTAACACTGACCCTTGATCAGAAATGGTGTACAGTTAAGTGTGCGCAATGACATTTTTTTCTTTAAGGCTTCCATTTTGGAAAGTTAGAATCACCGGATCTAGTAAGTATGAAGGGCACACTCAGGCCAAGTAAAAATTTTTCTTGATTGGAAGTGATCCCTCCATGAAGGTTATAGGAGCACTTTCCTTGGCTAGGATCAAACCTTTTGCCCCTGAAGGAAGATCCCTCCCTAAAGAGGTAAATTTTAGCTCAAAAGCAGATGGCTCATACAATCAGAGCCAGTTTCAGTGGCATTAGTTGATAGAGTATAACCACTCCTGATAATGTAGGATATCAATCAATCACAGGGTTACCCAATCAATCACAGGCTTCATAGGTTCCCAGACAGATAGCTTGTGCCATTTATAATCCTGAGTAGATAAAGATACCGGTACTGAGAAAATAAATGTCTTGGGGTGGAATACACCAGCAAAATGACCCATGCTGGTCTCAAGACAGAACCTTGTGATCACTAACCTTAAGCACTAACCCATAGGTCTTCATGTCTTCCTGAAACGTAACGGGAAATGAAAAAAATGTATCCTAAATAATAGGTTCGGCTATAACGTGATATTTTACATTCCCTGCAACCTCATTTTGCCACCTGGAAAACTACAAAGGGAGTGTGTAGCCTGGTAACCAAATTCAAGTCACTATAGAAACTCTCCTTTTACACAACGGTGTCATCAATTAAGTACGGTAGGGACGACTGAGCTAACATACAGTACTAGCTTTTTTTTTCTGTTTCAAATTGGTTTAAAGGTAAAGCTAGCTTATGATTTAGAATTAATGTTAGGTCTTGATCCAGGTACGTGATTAACTGAAATGAAATGGCTGATCAGAAATTCCTTTTAAGGCAGATCGTGGAATCTGTTTCCTCGCACCATCGGGGAAGACGCACGACTTCATAGCGTCTCGTTGCGGACAAAAAGGAAATAGAGAGCAAGAAAAAGTTAACTAATCTCAAGTCAAAACATCGAAATTGAAAACTATGTGATCAAAAAAATGACTAAATATAGATGAATGTCTACGAATGATAAAATGTCCCAAGTTTACCGACAAATTAACGGAAGTTGAAATTTGCGCGTTAATTCCTGAGGTTTAAGTTGTCAATTTTTTTTCTTGGAAATGGCAGAAAATTGTCAGTATCCAGCTCTACGAAGTAGTCCATTGTTACTTAGGTCATCACATTCAGAGGATTCCCAGTAAACCGAAAAAACCCTGATATGCCAGCTCCCTTATCCACTCCGAACAATTCAATTTCCCGATGAACACGGAGTTTACACAACGGAAAACCATCATACTCTGGTAATACGAAGCGAAGGTGGTGGTTAAGGTTGGGGAAATTTGTTAGTTTGGCCTCCCATTGGAAGCGCTGCTTTAAAATGAACATGAATAACCTAAACAAAAATGACAGAGATAGTAGGCGGATATGACTCTGTATTTCATGATTTTAGTAGCAATTAGAAGGAGAGCCAGGAACAAACGTAATGCCTGAACGCCACGTACTTAGAGAACATGACACTCGCGAGAGTCACGTGTAGCGCACAGACACGGACTTAAGTCCACATAGAATCCACGCTTCTCAGAGACTAATGAGTGACAGAGTGTCAGTTTCCTTGACCTAGAGAAACAAGAAGGAAAAGGATATGTAATATTTTACAAGTGGCTTACTTATAATTTCCAGGAAACAGAGAACAGTTCCTGGCTAATCGCGTGTTATATGATCATGTCCCTTTTTCTTCGTTAGATGGAACGTAACGATACTTAATGTTAAAAGGGTAAATTTTCCAAAGAAACTGTGGTGCTACGTCGGTTGGCAATCAGTATTATCAACAGCGTTGATAACGCAAGTCGGCCACCATAAAGAGACATTTCGAGCGTTAGCCCTTCGTCGGAGCGTTATACTTAACGTTAGGCTTGGAAAGATCGTTACGTCTGTGATGTCTATATAGCTACTAATGTACATACCGTGTACAATTTTGCATTTTGGACCCTAGAAACCGATTTTGGATAATGGACCCATGTGGCCGATTTTGCATTTTGGACCCTAGTAACCGATTTTGGATTGTGGACCCAAGTGGCCGATTTTGCATCTTGAACACTAGTGTCCGATTTTGCATTGGAGACACCAGTGGCCGATTGTGGATTTTCGACACTAGTGTCCGATTTGGGATTTTTGACCCTTGTGGCCCATTTTGGATTTTAAACACTAGTGGCCGATTTTGAATTTTGGACACTAGTAGCCAATTTTAGATTTTGGACAGTAGTGTCTGATTTGGAATTTGAACACTAGCGGCCGATTTTTGATTTAGTGGCCTATTTTGGATTTCGGACCCCAGTGTCCAATTTCAGATTTTGAACCCCTGTGGCCGATTTTGGATTTGGGCACTAGTGTCCTATTTGGAATTTTGGACCCATGTGTCCCATTTGGAATTTGGACACTAGTGGCCGATTTGGGATTTTGGACCCTAGTGGCCAATTTGGGATTTTGGACACTAGCGTCCAATTTGGAATGTTGGACCCTAGTTTTCATTTAATCGCCAGATTGAGGAGTTATGCAAAAAGTTGGCGAAACATATTGGACTCCTTCGTCACATAGGTCCATATTTAAAACGCAGTCAACGAGACATATACTACTCTAAGATCATTAAACCTATAATGCTTTACAGCAGTATGATTTGGACTTCTCGCAGTAAAGAAAATCTTTTGAAAGTTCTGCGTCTTCAAAAACGCGCGGCTAGAAAAATTCTCGATGGCCAAAGAACAACACCTTCTGTCGGCTTATTTAACTCCCTAAAGTGGATTCCCTTTTATGCTGAATCATATGTAAATCGAAGCGATTTAACCTACAAAAGGCTGAATGGCAATACCCTGAATATATAAATGATTTACACATCAGAAACTCTGACACACATATAATAGATCAACCCGTTTCTGCAATCTTAACTTAGGTTGCCCTCGATATTAGAGAAGTAAGGAAGGTGGTCGAACGTTCGCTGTGAGAGCAACAAAGGAATGGAACAAACTAAGTGTGGACCTCAAACGGAGTACTAGTGTCAAAAACTTAAAGCGTTTCCTTTTTAAAATAGTTTCAAATAATCAAATTCTTACGCAATTATTCATTTAAATTTTAAAATCTGTATATAACCACATTTTATAATCTTATTATGCGATGTACAAAGGCTTATATACTATTTTAATTACAATTTATATTAAAGTAAATGGTTTGAACCCAGGAGTATTAGTAGTTCGTGTAGTGTGATCGTCCGGGTGAGTGTAGTTCTGAAAAGAACTGTTGTTGGTGACTGACGTTTCGACTACCTGTGCGATAGTCATCTTCAGATAGTCATCTTCGACTTGACTCTGAAGATGACTATCGCACAGGTAGTCGAAACGTCAGTCACCAACAACAGTTCTTTTCAGAACTACACTCACCCGGACGATCACACTACACGAACTACAATTTATATTGTTACAACTATTGCTATCAGTTTGTTTTGTTTTTTTGAGGGCCATTAGGTTATCAGTTTTATTACTGTCAAATGTTACCCTCAAGGGGGACGCATAAGGGACGCAAGTGGCGATTTTGGATTTGGCACACTAGTGGCCGATTTTGAATTTTGGAGACTAGTGGCCGATTATGAATTTTGGACACTAGTGGCCGACTTTGGACTTTGGATTTTGGATTTTGGACCTAAGTGTCCGATTTTGGATTTTGTTCACTAGTGCACCATTTTTAGATTTTGGACACTAGTGTCTAATTTTGGATTGTGGACCAAAATTTTGGACACTGGCGCCCCATTTTGCGTTTCGGACACAAGTGGTCAATTTTATATTTCGGACGCAAATGTCCGATTTTAGATTTAACACACTAGTGGCCGATTTTGATTTTGGACACTAATGGCCGATTTTAGATTTTAGCCACCAGTGGCAGATTTTGTATTTTGGCCACCAGTGGCCGATTTTGCATTTTGGCCACTAGTGGTCGATTTTGCATTTTGAACGTTAGTGGCTGATTTCCTATTTCGGCCACTAATGACCGATTTTGTATTTTGGCCACTAGTGGCTGGTTTTGTATTTTGGCCACTAGTGGCTGGTTTTGTATTTTGGCCACTAGTGGCTGGTTTTGCATTTTGGTCCTTAATGGCCGATTTCCCATTTTGGCCACTAGTGGCCGATTTGGTATTTTTGCCACTAGTGGCCGATTTGGTATTTTGGCCAACAGTGGCCGAATTTCCATTTTGGCCACTAGTGGTCGACTTCGTATTTTTGCTAACAGTGGCCGATTTGGTCTTTTGGCCACTAGCGGCCGATTTTGCATGTTAGCCACTAGTTGCCAATTTGGTATTTTGGCCACTAGTGGCCGATTTTGTATCATGGCCAGTAGTGGCCGATTTTTTATTTTGGCCACTATTGGCTGATTTTGTATTTTCGCCTTTAGTGGCCGATTTGGTATTTTGGCCACTAGTGGCCGATTTGGTATTTTGGCCACTAGTGGCCGATTTTGTATCTTGGCCACTAGTGGCCGATTTTTTATTTTGGCCACTATTGGCTGTTTTGTACTTTCGCCTTAAGTGGCCGATATGGTATTTTGGCCACTAGTGGCCGATTTTGTATCTTGGCCACTAATGTCTGATTTTGTATTTTGGCCACTAGTGGCCGATTTTGTATTTTGGCCACTAGTGGCCGATTTTGTATTTTGGCCACTAGTGGCCGATTTTGTATTTTGGCCACTAGTGGCCGATTTTGTATTTTGGCCACTAGTGGCCGATTTTGTATTTTGGCCACTAGTGGCCGATTTTGTATTTTGGCCATTAGTGTCTGATTTTGTATTTTGGCCACTAGTGGCCGTTTTTGCATTTTGGCCACTAGTGGCCGATTTGGTATTTTGGCCACTACTGGCTGATTTTGTATTTTGACAGGCAGGGCCCCATGGGGTTCTTTCTATATTTGTCATAAGTTTACCACTATTCTGGATTGAAACGAGTCGATATTCTTTAGCGCAGTTCTTCCTTATATTTTTTTTTTAAATACACGCTATTGGAGAGCACGTTTTCCTTTTCTAGATAGGCCTCTCCGATACTTGGCCTGGGTTTGTAAAAGTAGCATATTAGGCTACAAGCATGATTGCACGATTTTTTCCAAGTTATACTGAAAATAATTTTGACTATAACACCAATTTTCTTAAAGTACGCTTTTCAAGAAACAAACACAAAACATATCCAAATTGTATATATTTATTTTTGATAAGGCGTTTCCTCTCCTTGTCCCTAATAAAACACAACTAACTACTGCTATTTTGTTGCCTGTGAAATTGAGAACCGGGGCGTACCGACACAATCCACACTTCCGCTGTACGCAGCCCTCTGGACGACGGCGACCGACCCTAAGACATTGCAAAATTGAAAATAAACTAAACAATGGACTAAACTTGAAAATAATCAACCTTAGAGACCAAGCAAATCATGAATCTAGTAAAATTTCCATTTGAAAAAATTTGCTGATTATCCTAGCAGTGCTAGTCTTATACATGTTATAAGAAGAGCCAAAATTATGCTCAATGTCTCAAATTATGCCAAATATTATACCAGCACAAGCTATAAGGGCCTGCTCACATTCCATCTGGGAAGATTATGGAATCTGATTGCTTGCTCGGTAGTTTGTGACAGCCATCCCGCCAGTGACTGACTTCTATTTGCGTCATTTTGCCTTGACTCGTTCACATGCAGTGACCCAAATTTCCTTTCCTTCTTGGGTGAAGTTTTATTGTTTTGACTTTGCATTTTTTATTAGGTTGGCTGTATTCCTTGACATGGACCCAGTGATCAAAAGATTGTAAATTTCGTCTTCAAATATACTTGTTGGTTTGGTTCGACGTCCATTTTATTTCTATTATTATTATTATTATCTTTTTTTCATTTTTTGATCAGATGATTTCTTTTATTTTTTAACTTTTTACTCATGACCTGAGATCAGTTTTTTTTTTTTTTACCTCATTCCTTTGTCCGATGATAGAAATTTAAAACTGTGGTCTGACAGGACAATTAACTCAATTACTTAGAGACATTTTTGAGATTGATTTATTGAAATACTATATCACATCTTTAAGAATATATTAAGAACTTTTTCAGGCTCAAATAGTAATAAAAAATTAGGAACGTTCGGCCCCAGCCCCAAAATTAGACATCCTGACAAAAAAATGTTTTTTTTTTCATACCATGAAAGACCACCGTCATGGTTTTCATACCATGACGATTATTTTTTAAACCATGATTGTCGAAGTTTTTTTCTTGGTACCAAATGCAACTGTTTAAATCTTCCATTTTCTTTTTGTCCAGAACGAACGCCACTCAAAAGAAAAAGTTGGCTGATCTGGCAAATTCTATAGTGCTTTCGTTTTTCGTTGGATTAAATCCTAATCCACCCCAGCCCGTACCGAACTCTATTGGTCCACGCAAACTCTACCCCTGTCTCGTTTGGGATTACTCACGCTTCTAGGATGTCGCAAAAATATTTTAAGAATAAATCAGGCAACACGACAGCTCACATCTTGGGTGCAGGAGTGCTCTCTGGAACATTCTAAAGGCCCCTCATCACATTCTACTTAAAACGTGATCGTTCTCACTTTCCTCACTTGACGTGGTCAGTCAAGTAGAACGTCACTTCGTTTTCTCAAATAACATTTCGAGGAAATCTCGCGTAAAATCTCGCTTGCTTTCGTAGCTGTCGCTCATCAATGACAATGTTCGTTCAAAAATTTTTTCTTTTGTTTTAAAAATGCTTTTTTTCCGCAACAGAATCGTTCGGGAAAATTATTGTTAGCAACGCGGCTTAAGTACGTGACGTAGGCTATCTTTGTTAATGTCAACAGTTGTGAAATTGACATTTCGTGATGATACCTATTGTCTGTGAAAACCAATGGTAAGCGGTAACGAGTTCCCAGGTTCTTCGGGCTTCGGGAATTGCACCACGTGAAATGTAAGGAAGTTTTGCGTTGAGTTGTAATTGTGTGAATGCTGACGAATGGTGAGTTCTGGGTGCCGAAGATTTCTCACATGCAGAGATCTGCTTCTCCTAGAGGTGTTCGTGTTGGGAAATCGTTTTTCGAACTGTGGGCTGTCTTTTTGAGGAGGAACAGCGAACGAAACGTTTCTTGCAGATATTGTAATGAAATCAGCACAGACGAAGGTAAATTTCTTGAATTAGTTAATGTCTCTAATTCTGTTTTATTAGTTTGGTCCTTGTATTCGACCAGCAATTATACAAAAAACGTTGGAAAACGTGAGTCTCTTACGGAAAGGGTTTTCAACTAGTTTCCTCTATGGTGGTATACCCTAATAGTTTTAATGTCTACTTTCGAAAGTATTACTGTTGCTGTTGTAATGATAAAAAACGTTCAAGCTGTTCTTTCTGAGACTTATATGACAAGCGATGTCTGACACGATCGTTCAGATTTGCTTTCCTTCCCCAGTGTAAAACGTGGAGAAAAAGGAAAAGAACGTTTAAGTTTTAATTTATCTGTCTGCTTACATGTAGTTTCGTTTCCCGTTTGCCAATTCATGGCCAGCGCGTACGCGCGCTTTCCCGTAAATCTTCAAAAACCTCTATAAAATTTTGGCAAAAGCGTGGGCCTAACTGTAGTTGTTAATTGTATCGATTTTGTGAAATTAGGGCTCCACTCGCTCTAGACCGAGAATTTCATTGAGAAACAAATTGAAGCCATATTTCTTCACGACTTTTTTCTACTACAGCTTAGATTGCGAAACCCTATTTGTTTGTTATTAGTATTTGTCTTTTCATTTTCCGAGCGAAATTACATTTGAAGTCTGGTTTTTATTTCTCAGATCACCGATGAAAAGGAGGAGAATCAGAACATCACGGTCGATGGAAAGTTTTCATTCGAAAACGATAGCCATCTTCGAACAGTCTTCGATGCTCTAAACGAACAACGAAACAGCACGCGCTTTTGTGATGCAGTGTTGAAGGTTGGCGAACGAGAGATTAGGGGCCACCGATCTATTTTGGTCGCAGCCGTACCTAAAATCCTCGATAGACAAGTCAAGAAAGGTGATACCGAGTTTATAGTCGATTTGGAAGGGTTAGATCCTAACGCTGTGGAAGTTTTGGTGGAATTTGTGTACACGGGCAAGCTCTTTGTCACTTCAGACGGCGTTCTGAACTTATTCCAAGCCGCCAAAATTCTTGGCATGAAACAAGTTCAGGACTCATCGGAGAAGTTTATTCTCGAGAAAATTCTTCCGCTGAATTGGATTGCTCTGAGATCGTTCGCAGAGGGAAACGACTGCCCTAATTTGATGACGGCAATCGACGAATTTATAGCGCACAACGTGGAGGACATCTTCCATAAGAAGGACTTTTTCCAGTTACCTCGGCTGCAGATCGAACTTGCAACTACAAATAACAGACCAGAAGAAAACATTGATCCGGTAAATCTTTGCCAAATGGCCTTAACGTGGGCACAGAAGCAGCTAGAGGTGAGGAATAAATCTTGTAGGCGTTTCTATATTTACTTGTGACCACTTCCTTCACCTGCCGCTTTTTGACAGCAACGTTCATTCTTGTTATGGACGTTTATTGACAATTTGAATTCTGCCTTGTAGTTTAATCTGGGCAAAAATAAAAAATGAAAATAAAGGAACGATCAGTCAGTTGTTGTAAAAGTGTTGAAAGCCCTTACACTCAAAATTCCACAACGAAAGCAGAACTTAGGAGAGTTTTGGCGCTTTTTGCTCGCTACGCGCCAACTTTCATGTTTCGCGGGAAGATAAATTAAGCGCCAGGTCTTGAAATCCAATATCTTGACTAATCAAGGATTAGGGTAAAATGTTTCAGCAGCTTTCGTGCCTGCCCCTTTGATCTTACAGTGACCTCTTAAAATCTGTTCTTTGTTAAATTTACTTTTTACCTGGATTTTTGTCATTATTGCCATGCCCAAATCGGAAACTACTCTAGCTATTTTATGATATTTTTATGCAAAGTTAGCATAAACTACTTTACATCAGAACTTGTCAAAATGAAACCCTTTGGAGTAGAATTTTCGCTAACCCCACAAAAATCTCTATAAAGTCAATATATTATAGCAAATTTTTCCCTTGAAAATACTTTCCTTGAAAATTGTTGTTCCAAAATTTGTACATCATTTTTGGATATGGGACAAGCCTCTTCTTTCCAGACACTGGCATAGACTGATTGTAAATTACTGATGATCTGTTTTAGCGAATTAGTATCCTAGGCAATGTATCAGGAAAGAAGGGATCCCAGCCAGGAAAAAAAAAGAATAATGATGGAAATGGAGTAAATTTAGTGAAGCAAAATAATATGAAAAACCCCCAAATAGTCAAATACCCTAATTGTTATCCAGAGATCTTTCAACCAGATTTTTTTTTTGATGAGCTGCAGTAGGACACTCGAAAGAGAAAGACATTGTGTTAATGATTTACATCTGTCAAAGGTTTTATCTTTCTTGCAATTTGCATAACATCAACTATCAAGGTCTCCAGCAGACTTGGTCTTATTTGGAAGAAGCTGCAGCACTTCCTGATTTGTTTTTGTAGGGATCAGTGAACCTGTATGTGTAGCACAAGTTCATGTTTTATGTTTTTGTGGCTTTAAATTGTGGGACATTTCATTAACTTTAAACTCAACAATAATATTATTGAATGACTCCCTTTAAAAACTATATGAAGTTGTTAAATTATTCATGGCATCCTAATTCCTTGATTAAGAAAAACTTTCCTCAAGGCAGTGACATTTTGTGGTATTAGTGTATGTGTGATTAAGCCCTTGCAGTTTTCTTCTAGAGATTAAGAGTTATTTCAGTGATTTTTTATGCTGTTTGAAATGACCAATAGAAAAATTTTAGTATAAGCTGACATCCTCTTAATGCCATTTTCTATCAACTCATCTGAGGAAAATGTAAATTTCTTTCCTATGTCAAACATCACTTTTCCTCTCTGATGATGGGTCATAAAGTGTACCATGAGATCCATATATTTGACTAACTTTTCCCTATGTAAATGCCTTGGTCAAATTACAAAATTGGATCATTGTGAGAGACAAAATCCTCACTCCTTCTTGTTTTGTGAGAGTGCAATGTTTATTTTTCTTTTAAAGTAGTGAAGTCTTCTTTTATTACCATAAATGTTACTCTTTTTATAGAGCTGGAGTACATTTTCTGCACAGTAGACAATACCAAATGAGAAAGTGGATGTGATAATAACTAAATATGTGAGACTAGACTTTCAGACTTATTTTTGTTTTGTTTTTATTGTCTTATTAAGCATATTGTTTTAGTCTCTCTAAAATAAAGCTTTCTGTTTTGGTTAAGTACTTTTTCACATAATAGTTGGGTTATTTTACTATTTGCTCTCTTAAACAGGGCACATATGTGCCTAAATAACCATCTTTCGATCTTTTGCTGCTGCTGCTCCTCAACTATGGAATTCATTGCCCTATGCAATTAGGAGTAGCCCTTCAGTAGCATCTTTTAAAAAGACACTCAAGACATTTTTATTTCAGAAAGCTTTTTTGTGATTTTATGTGCTTTTTAATCTTGTTTTTGGTAGGTTTATGCAGTTTTTTTTTTCGATTTAAGTAGTTGAGGTAATTTTGAAATATTTTTAAGTGCTGATGAAAATAGCAATATTGATATCGGCACTATATAAGTATTATTTTATTATTATTATCATATCTGACCCTCCTGAACTGATTGATATGTAATAACATACAAAACCTGTACTGTGTTTTTTATTTGTTTATTTTGTTGTGCCAAAAATGAGACATTAGTTTATTAATTGCTATGATGTCTTTGTTTGGCAGCAAGGAAATATCAGCTTGAGAGAACTATTGGAGAAAACCCACATTATGTTCCTGACAGCCAATGAGGAATTAAAAGAGTGCACTATGGAAGATCTTGACTCTGGAGATGAAAAATCCAAGCTCATCATCACTGAGGCTCAACGAGAATACATCCGCTACACGTCACTTGAGCAGCTGGCTAAAGCTGAGGCAAGCACCAGTGAAGATGAAGAGGAATTGATTGTTTTGATGGAAAACAACAACAACAAAAGAAACAGAAACACTCATATGATTCAGGATTTCAATGTGATTGGTGCCACTCAAACCAGTGACAGTGGCTGTGTGGGTGTTGCTCATGTCGAAGGGATGCTGGTAGCCATATCCATTCATAGTCAAGCCTCAACATGTGCCAACATGTCAGACTCTGGTGACTCCTGCTGCTCTGGAGAAGAATGGGTGCTCATTGCCCCAATGAGTAGAGGTGTGTAACAGTGTAAATTCTCTTGTCCAATTAACAAGGATGTATTGAGTAGTGGAAGGGAGAGTTGTTTATTTAATCATGGGAGTGATGGTAAATGATCTAGAATTTGATATGAGAGCATAAAAATTTGTCCCATCCACATTAAAACATTTTTTTTTTCAATAAAATTCAGCTATTTTCTGCTTTTTAATTAGTAACCATGCTAAATGAATGTAACTGGCTTTCATGAACAGTAACATAATCTGTTGTTGGATTAGTTTCTGCTAGGAACTCACAAAACTCTTTTTAATTGAATTTACAGGAATAAAGCATTCAGATTGGCTCAGCTACTGGTAGTGCTTAAAATGAAAGTCAAATAAAAACTACGGCCACATTGAAGAAAATCTAGTTACAAACAACAAAACTTATTTGTTATCTGGAACAATTCGAAACCTGGATCTAAGTGTTGGTTTGTACCCTGTTAAATTTTTAATGAATATGTGAAGTACATGAAGGTTAACCATAAGTAGTTTTTTTTTTTTTTTAAGAAGCTGTTGTGCTGCGTTGGTAGGTAATTGGAACAAAAGGAAAGTGGGAAGAAGACCGATGACAGGTTTAAATGTTTTTTTTTTATCAGGTCGCTGTAGTGTGGGAGCAGTCGAACTAAATGGAAAGCTGTATGCCATTGGTGGTTACGATAGGGGTGACTGTCTAAACACAGTGGAACAGTATGATTGTGAGACAAACGAGTGGATGCCTGTCACAAGCATGAACTCGCATAGGGGACGGCTGGAGTCAGAAGTGGTGAATGGGAAGATATTTGCCATAGGAGGCTCCAATGGAAACACTGAACTCAACACCATGGAAACTTACGATGAATCTACCAACATTTGGAGCTTTGGACCCCCCATGATACAAAGCCGATGCAGTTTTGGAACAGGAGTCATTGATGGACGCATTTATGCAGTTGGGGGCTACCAAGGTCCCAGAAACCTGAAAAGCGTTGAAGTTTATAGTCCAGAGAAAGGGGAGTGGGCCAGGGTGTCCCCAATGAACACAGAGAGAAACAACCTGTGTGTGGAAGCCTTGAATGGGAAGCTGTATGCAATTGGGGGGTACAATGGATGGACTTGTTTCAATACTGTGGAGTGCTATGACCCTGAAGAAGATCGATGGTATTTGGTTCCACCCATGAAGACAGCCCGTCGGGGGGCTGGTGCAGCAGCACTTCATGGTAAATTGTTTGTGATTGGTGGATCTGATGGCACGAATTTCCTCAACAGCGTAGAGTGCTATGATCCCTCAACTGATGAGTGGAAAACAGTGGCTAGTTTGAACATTCCCCGCCATAATGTTGGAACTGTGGTCATTAAAGACCACATCTACACCGTGGGAGGTTTTGGTGGCACGTCATTTCTGAAGAGCATTGAATGTTATGACGCAAAAAATGACAAATGGAACTGTTTTGTTAGTTCCGATTGAGAGATTAGTTCATTCAGAAACTGCAGCATCGGCATCTATCTTGATTACAAAACAATTATAAAGGAGTGAACTTCATTTTAATCCTGGAAAGGATATTGATTTAGTTTTTCATTGTATTTGTATTTGAGCTTCCTGGATAGGTTTTGGAAGTATATTAGTTTTAATATTAATTTATTAGAGGTAGATTTTATAAGATTTTGTATTTTAGAGTCGATGAACATAGTTTAGTCCACCACTTTTCCAAAAAAAGTACAAACCATGAGTGATGCAACTCTCCTTCATTAACATCAGTGATTTTTCAGCCTTTGTATTTTCAACCATACCTATAATACATTAATTTTATCCTTGCAGATTTGGTGCTTGCTCCTGACAATATTTTATTTTAAAGTGACTCATTTTCAGTCACATTAAAATTGAGTCTTTAGTGGAACTGAACTGAGTTTTTCACATTTAGCCTGGAAAAGATTACAGAAATTTGAAACCTGTACTTAATATATAAATACTGTTAGAAAAAGGCAAACAAGCTCAGCACAACTTAAAACATGAGCTGTTAGTTGTTGATTTGTACCTTTGTGGTGATGCAGAATGTTACAGTAGATTCCATAATTTAACCTCTGTTATGTCTGGTTATCAGAGTTTTTGTTGGAAAACACATATTGGAGTTTGGAACTCATGAAAGTTAACATAATTTATTTAAATTGGCAGAATTTTAGCAGTAATCTGGGATCTGTCAGTGAACCCAAAGACAAATTTGTGATTTGATTTTAGAGTTACATTAAGGTTTTAAGTTATTTGATGTTAGTTGTTGATTAGTTGACTGCTTAAAATTTTCTTGCCAATCAAAAACAATTTACAGAGTGTTTCTAATTTAAGTCATGTTTTGAAATGAGAAAGAAAGAGAAGAGAAAGTTATTTAGAGTTAATGACTGGTCAAAAGTCAACAAATATTGAATGGCATGGGCTTGATTTAATTTTTTCTCGCAGTTTCTTCTTACTATTATGCTTAACTTAAAAACCTTAAAAACATTGGCATGTTAGGGAGCAGCTGAATTGTGTAATTTTTAGTAAACAATGTGACGTGAAGTTTATTTAGCTTGCTTTAGCTTAATCACGTCATCTTGAAGGGAGAGGAATAAATGTTCCCTCTAGTGTGCAACTACTAATATTTATTAACACATTGGTTGAAATGCTCTGTGTTTTGGGGACGAAGTGTTGAAGAGCCAGAGTGACTGCTGAAAAATGATATTAGAAGACTTTCACAGTAAATGTAAAACTATTTAAATAAGCATTGAGTAAATTCATCTATGTGGTTGCAAAAACTTTTTTAAACATAATTATTAACATGTAAGGACTTGTTTAAGATACTATGTCTTTGCATGAGTGTGAATAAAATATGATTAGTGAAATGCAGCATAATTTTTTTCAATATTGTCCTGTTGGATGTTCTTGGAAAACGTCATTACTCATTAGTAAGTTTGCTGAGTAAGTTATGCAAAACAGGATTCCACCAGAAACAATACTTTTATTAAATAGCATTTTATACAAGAGTCTGCAAATGAGTTCCCAAAACAACATATCTAACAGGCAATTGAAGATGGATGTATCACTAATATCATTCTGTTCAAAGCCTCCAACTTTACAAACTCATATCTAGTTTACTGTAAAGTCATCATGAAAACAGAGCATAAATTAGCTGTCATTTTTCCCAAAAGATATTTGTGAGAATTTATAACTTGTGTTACCTTCAATGGGCTTATGGATAAAAGCTTGTTAGAGTTTGCTTACTAGTAGCTTTTCATGCACAAGATCAATTGTTAAGATTACATTGCCTTTCAGAAACGTGTAAACTCTGAGACTGTTACTCACACTTACAATTTCCTTTGAAAGGAATCATTACTGTAAGAGTCATTGAAAGGCAGAAACAAACAAAATGGATCTAACTCCTTTCATACCCTTTTGAAACATTGCACCAGCTTGCTGCAAGGTCCATAATGTGATTGAAGGCTGTTAAAAAAATGTCACTGATGTCATCCCAATTTCAGGAGTTTACATGCTACTGAAAAGCACCGCAGTACGTTTCACAACAAATAAAGGCATAGCTAGTGAAAGGTTCTGGAACTACTTTCCATAATATCTTATTCCCAGATGTTGACATTCTCTTACTACTCTGATGCCATCTATTGAGACAGCTGGTGTTTAAGCACGTCTGAAACAACAGACATTTTCTGTTTTAAAGTTTTTTTTTTTCAACAAATATTAAAGAAGTCCTTTGGACACAATTTCCTCCAACTTCATACACCTATCATGGTTTTACATGAAGTTTTCATCATAATGTACAAGGTTTCTTCTCATTATATATTTTTCTAATAACTAAATAATTTTATTTTGCAAGTCTCTCATTGAGAAATTCTTCCACACTGTCAGTGTTCCACTTCTCAATGCTGAAAAAAAAAAAAGAAAGAAAAAAAAAAAGGAATCAGGACTACTTTTAGGCTTCCTAAATTTGATTCATCAAAATAAAATGATTAGTTATTTACTGAAGTTATTTACTGTGCAGAGCAAGATTATTATTTTTTTTACTTTGTTAGATTCAACATCAAAGGGAAAAAGAAAATCTTTCAGAGCCAGAAGTTGCACCTTTCATCCCTGAAAAATGTTATCAGTATCTGAACCATCTGGTCAGAGTATAACATGATTTGGTATAATACGATTTGGCTTAACCCTTGTTCACTTGATTTAATACCAAATTCTCATCACTAATTTACAAGGAAATGTCCAGCAGCTAGAAGGGAGAATTAACAATCAGAACTTAGGAGTTAAAGGGTTTGCCCCAAGGTCCCAATCATGGTACTTCTCTCAACTATCTGCCATTTCCTTCCTATAACCTTGGTTCAGAGAATCTGGTGCTGAGTCAAGCATGAATTTGTAAGTTAACGGTTCCCAATATTCTCATCACCTGTCTGCATGATATTGTATCGATATTGTGAGGAGAAATTACATCTTGAACACCCCTGGAAATGAAAGGGTTAAGACCCTTGGATGCAATAAGCTTAGCAACTTTTCAATAACACTTAAGTACTTCTACAACCTTCTTCCTATTGTTGGTATATAACTAATCTAAAAATTAATCACAAATATCATTTACTCACCTTAGAACTTCTTTCACCTCGTTACTCTCATCATGAAGCTTTAGAACAGGGTCGGCTCCTCGTACGAACTACAGTTTAGAAAAATTCTATATCAAAACCATCCAATTTTTTATGGACTAATGAACTAAGTTCAATAAAGATGGGACAGTAAGTTCATTTGTACATTAGTGTGGAATATTCTAAAAAAAGCTACCTAATTGGGCACATGCTTTAAATCTAAATGAACATTGATCAATACAGTAAAATTGTGTTTCTCTTGATTTTCAATATTTCCTTTCCTTTGTTTTTTCCTCTCTTTATAACTCAACATATTCTCTCTGAGTTTGCTTTTTACAAAATTTAAGAGCTATTCAACTCACGTTTATCCTAAGATTAGGGAACTTCTCAGGCCTGTCACTACGGACAAAGGCTGTAAAAACAAACATACAATAATGATACTGAGGCAGAGATATAAAGCAATTTAAAACAATGTTAATACTGGTGAGTGAATTTCACCTTCAAGAGAAGAGATATCTTATAATTTCATGTTGAAATGTAATACAAACTAGTGGTTGACACAGTGCAAAAAAAAGGTATATTAAAAACAGAACTTAAAATTAAAAAAAAACAAACAAACAAACATAGATTTGAAAAATCACAAACTTATTACTTTCTTAGATTCTTTGGGATTATCAAATAATATTTAGTAATATTTTAAAAAAAATACGAGTTGACATTAATAAATTGTTTTCCTGTTAAATAATTGTAATAGAGTCTCAATAATAGAAATTTACAGTTTTAAATTGAATATTGGATGTGTTTTTCTCACCCTGAATCTGAGGGAACCTCCCCAGCTTTCAGTTGCACACTTCAAGAGTACCAAAAGCGTATCTCTACAAATAATAACACAAACTGTCGAATTCTGTTATACCAATGACCTGTCTTTTACCAAGACAGCTTACTTCATTTAAAATAGGAAAGTGTTCAGTTTGTAACCATAATAATCCAACATATATTCAATGCAATGCATAAAAATGTGAAACACATTTAAATACAAAAGGACTTGAACCCTTCAACTCCCAGAAGTGATTTATATGTAACTTCTCCTTACAATATCCATACACTATCCAACAGACAGGTAATGAGATTAGTCAAACCTATCAGTTAGAGGTTGTTATCATAATATAACACCAAATTCGCGTTACTTTTTTACAAGGAAATGTATAGCAGCCAGATGAGAGAGTGAGCAATCAGATCTTGGGAGTTAAATGGTTAAAAAAAAAAGTATCATTTTCTGGATGCAAATTGGTTGGTTCTTAACTCTTACACTTTTATGAGTAACCAAGACAGAATTTTCTCCTTACATTATCAAATCAATATCAGGCAGGCAAGTGATGACAAAATACAAATGTCAATTAGGGGATTCTTAGTTGATCCTCTACCAAATTCTCTTTGCACTAACACCATAAGAATTGTATGGCAAACAGTAAGGGGGAATTACTAATGATATCTTAGAAGTGAAAGGGTTAACTTAAATGATTTAAGCAATAAACTGCACTTTCCATTTACCAGTATTATACCAAATGCAGTGGAGGCACAGTGGCCTCATGGTTAGTGCACTGGACTCTGGATCGGGTGGTCCAGGTTCGAGCCCTGACCAGTGCTTCTCTTCACCCAGGTGTACAAATGGGTATCAGCAAATGTGCTGGGGTAACCCTGCGATGGACTAGCATCCCATCCAGGGAGGAGTAGCAATACTCCTAGCCACTTCATGCTAAGGAAAATGGAGTTAAGCACCAGCCCCATGGGCCCCTTAAGCCCATATAAAGGCTTTACTTATACCAAATGCAGGATGTTGGGATAACAAGAGAATAGTTTGTACATCATGAGCCACAGGTGAATGATTTACAAACTTCTGCAAACCTTCAAGCTGGAGGAATGATGGTTTTTTGGCCAGAGATTGGTTGCAAGTGACTTGTCAAATGACATCACCTGTTTAGTCCTGTTTGTTAATTTTTATACCATAGATGCACAGTGTGCTAGACCACAAGGGTTATTGATTTGCTGATTTTCAGCACTGTAACAGTAGTAACACCTTGACATCGATAAAAACCCATCGTTGCCTTTGATTGATGGATCATCATCGACTGTCGATTGAATCAATTAAAACTGCAAGACCCCACGACCATGTGAAAATCGTTATGAGGCTTTCGGTCGGTAAAAATCTATCTTAGACAAACCTTCGTGGCTTCTTCCTGGCCATCAGCTTGACAACATTTTCGACAATTCTGCTCTAACGAAGGTTCGGATGTGAGATTGAAAGGTTTTAGCTCGTCACATGAGCTACAGATGAGATTCACTGAAAATCCTAAGTCTCTGCATTCTTCTGGTGTTAATTCTGCAATAGTTATCTGAATTAAGGTCAAGAAAATGGAGAGGAAAGGCGAAATATATATCTTCCAATCCATTTCTAACAGCTCACCAAACCATATGTAGTGGGGTCACTTCACATCTCCCTAAACAGCAGAGAACACAATAGTTAATTCAATCATCAGTCTCAATTAAGAAATAAAAATTGAAGGATCAAGACTTATCTGGCAAAGAGAAATACAAGTCAAACTGGTTTGAAGACATTTTAACCCGAAATTCGTTTTCAAATATGACAGAAATACTTTAGTTCACATTCTAAAGAAAGAGAGTTCCAGCCCCTTGATAATTATTCATTTATTGTATCGCTCACCTCATGTTTTAAGAACCAGAAAGTTTAATTTTAATCTGCGAGTTTTATAGTACACTCGACTCAAAATTCATTTCGTATGGCAGAAGTATTCTACTGAAATAAACAAGACAGAATGAAGCTGACGCCATCCGTTTCGAATAACACATGAACATGAAGAAAACGGCACCAGTTTAAACTCATGAGACAAAGCCCACGGATTTTTTTTGAGGTAAATGAACTGGTTAGACCGAAGGCTAAATAAATAAACAATGAACTGACAGTGGTGAGAGATTTGGGGGCCATGTGATAAAACAAGTTCTACCGAAGTTTATCCTCTAGTTAGCCCTTCAAGCCCAAAAGGGCAATCAGAAAAATTCTCACCAAAACACAGCAAAAAATCGTCTTATTTGATCGAGGTTGGCCAAAGACAGTTGTGAAAAAAATCCAACAAAAACGAATTCGCCGAAGGTGATCTCGAGGGACCAAAATAATGATTATTTTATTTCAAAGTAAAAACTGTAACGAATATCTCACGATCGCCTCCACACATCACTTCGTGATTTATAGAAGTAAGAAATCTTGAACGAAACTAGCATAATTTTTTCGGTTTTGTTCGCACATTGTTGAAAATATCCTCATCCGAAGAGCCTTCCACAAGTATCCACAGAGTTAGAAATGGTAGTAAACTTGTCATACTCTTCCATCCCTCTCCAAAAAATATCACAGAAAGGTGTCGATCGCTTGGGAACGAAATGGCGCCGAACGCGCCGAACAAACTATGCGGCCCTCTGCTCGATTATCGTTAAAATTGGCCCTGAAATAACGAATCATAATTTCGGTGCATGTTTAATAACTTTTCAGTTTTAATATTTTAGCGTGAAAAGGCTTGGGTGTTGTGACCTGGTTCTCATTCTCAAGTAAAAAAAAGTCACGGTCTGCAATGGCCCTACCACCTTTTGAACAACAAGAAAACATTGAAACGGTGGTAAAAAGCAGTAAGTTTCGAGGTCTAAACGAAAGATGGGTAAGCTGAGTTTCAGTCAAATATCATGACATTTGGGATGTAATTTCGATACCGAATAAATAGTTCTACATGGTTATACACGCATAGGATTCTGTTGTGTTCACGTGAAGGCCATTTCAGCCATTCCTGCCACTTATAAGTGGTAGGAAATAAAAGATATGCATACTTGTTTCGTATTGAAGCCCTGTGAAATCACAAATTTGATTTATTTCTTCTTTGTTTTAGGTGGTCATTATCCATTATTTTTGGAAGTCGATGCTGATGAGAAAGAAAAAATGTTTACGATTATTTCTTCTCTCGAACATTTTACTATTTAGGTACCAAATAATCTTGATACTGAAGACCATTGCATCCTATTATGAAAAATTTACCCCTGATTGCTTTGTCAACATGTATGATGTAATATACCTTGTGATTTGTGGGATTTTCACATGTAAACTAGAAATACCTGTAGAGGGTAATGATGTACTTGATGCAAAATGTTTTGGTACAAAGTCTGTTTTGTTGTAATCTACCTGAAGGTGCTTTTTATATGCTAGTAACACTTGCACAGCCCAGTCAAAATGTTCTTTAGTAGTAGACAAGCTGGCTGTTGTAATTATAGGCAGCAGAGGCCAAACCTCATCCTGAAAAGCAGTCTGAAAGGTGTGAAGTCAGTGGAAGATACTTCATCGTAGGCAGCCAAATTGCAGGCTGTCAGCCCATTTTGAGTGAGTAGTTAAACTCAAGATCGGCTATTTTAACTAATTTTATTGAGAGCCAAATCCTGCAAGGCTTATATTCTGTATTAATTTGTATTGTTACTTTTATGTTTCTTATTTTGCAGTAAGTGGGCTTGTCGTGGCCATTTTTCTCTCAAACATTTTTTTCAGCCTAGTCAAAATGTTTTTTAGAAGTAGGCAAGCTGGCTATAATAATAGAAGGTAGAGGCCAAACCTTGTCCAGACTAGATGCCTAACAAATGTTCTGTGTGGACAGCCAAATCCCTGGTTACCGGCACATTTTGACTAGGCTATTTGTTATTTAGCTACTAAGTAATCTTATTATTAAAGATTACTGCATTCCTTTTTAATAATTTGCTGCCAATTGTATGCTGTATATAGCTTATGATTTGTGTGATTTTCAAGAGTAAATTAGAAATACCTGAAGATGGTAATGATGTACTAGATAACGTACTTGATGCAAAGCAATTTTGGCACAAAGTGTATGCCTTGTCCTCAGGTGATTTTAACATGCTAATAAGATTTGTTATTCAAATAATATACATCAACTGGAATGGGAATATTGAAAGAAAAATAATAATATTTAACCATAACAAGTTTTGGTTTTATGTCCAAATTAAGCACTTAGTTGAAGATCACTGCACTGATCAGGCCCCGAAGGCCAAAAAAGTGCTGTCTGCTGTTAGTTTAATTTTTGTCATTTCTATTGATTTATTTCATATATCAATGTTTCTTTGAGTTATAATTCATTGACCTCTTTCAATAGTGCAGGTTCGCTCATGTAACCTAATCCCACATGTATGTATGTACAATCTCAGTTGAAATTTTGAGTGGCAGGCAAGGTGGCAATAGTAATAGGCAGCTATTTCATTGTAGGTGGCCAAATTGTTGGCTGCAGCACGTCTTGACCTGGCTGATTGTGTGTGTTATGTATGTGTTCTTCTTTTTAGGTGTTAAACAGGTCAAAGTACCGAAAAAAACCTCTGTGATAACTTGGTGGTCTAAGATGTAAAAATTTTTAATAATAAGGTAAAGCTTGATCATTCTTAAGAGTTTGCATCTGTTCTAAAAGTTTTGGGGAGAGTTAGGGGAGCATTATTTATACAAATGTATTTAAAAAGTAACAAAAAAATAAAAAGAACTAGGGCAAAATCCCAATTTGCTTTAAAAGTTTATTTTATTAAGAGCATAATTCTGGATATAGCTTGGGATTTGTGTGATTTTCACAAATTGTTAGGTTGTTATGTAAACTTAATTTACAGGAACCTTGTTAATTTTCAGCTTCAAGAACAAGTACATAATTGCAGGAAAAGCTTGAAGCTTGAAAAATTGATTGATGAAACTGGAATAGATGTCATGAGATTTGTACAATAGGTTGGCCTGGGAGGGACCAAGAATTAAAGAATTCATTGATTCTCTTACACCTTTTGTCTGCATAGTGTGCTTCTGTAGAGCTTAGTTATTGCTGTAGAAAACTTTTTTGGAGGGCCCCTGAGATCACTCACTTTTGAGCTAGTTGCCCCTAGGGAAGAGGATATCTGTACTTATTATCTCCCTTAGAGGGGGGGGGGAAGGGTTAAAGACTGATTCTTCTCCAGTAGCCACAATTACCCCTGCATATGGAAATTTTGAACACTATTAAAGGGCTAGTACCCTCATTTCATACTTGAATTTCTAATTTAGTGTAAGTTATGACAAATAATGAATGTAAATTCATCTTGGTTGTACAGGTTATATCCAGCAGTCCTTAAAAAAAAATAAAAAGGTATTTTTCTGAATTAAAAAAAAAGTGTTCTTGCTTCAAAGTAAGTGCATGATATGTCATTCAATTAATGCTCTAGCAGAGTTTTTGTTTGAAATGCCAAAAAAGGCAATAAGCAAATGTTCTTCTGTATCCTTTATGTCAATTTGGGCTGAAAAACACGTTTTTGTTCCTTTTGCAAAAATTAGCTTATTTCACGACCAAAAACGATGCAAACAAGCTTAAACGTTATGTTTTCAGCAAAACAGCGATAGAATCTGCGAAAAAGCAATGGAGACAAGCTAACACACAGTGTTCTCAGTAAAATTTGGGCAAAAAACCCTTAAAAACCAAAAAAAAAATTGCGCTGACTTACCCATTTTTTGCCAAGATAACTGCCAAAACACTGAAAACTAGCTTGAAACTACATGTTTTTCACAAGATCGCGACGAAATCTGTCTAAAAACTCCAAAATACGGCAGAAATGTACGATTTTTGCAAAATTTTTCGCTAAAGTTCACAAAAACACTCAATTCGACTGAAAAACACGTTTGTTTTTTTTTGCAAAAATAAGCTTATTTCAGTTTTAAAAACGCTGCAAAAAAGCTAAAACACAATGTTCTCAGCAAAATAGTGCAAGAGTCTGTGGGAAAACACAAAAACCAAGCTTAAACCCAGTGTAAATTGATAAAAAGGCCCGAATTGCGCATTTTGGCAGTTATTTTGGCAAAAAATGGTATATTTTGATTTCAAGCAAACTTTCAAGTAGTTGTTAAAGTTTAGAGCCAAACACAATACCAAAAAAAAATTGGATGTTTTCAGAAAAAATTGTAACCCTCAGCCTATTCATAATCCCACCCTACCCAAGCCCTAACTCTAACTCTAGCTGCGAGCTATCCTAACCCTAACCCTAGCCCCGGGTTAGGGTTAGGGTTAGGGCTAGGGTTAAGAACGGAACTTTTCACTCCAGTCAAAATGATACAACTGGTTAACATGGTCCAACCAGCCAAAACAAGATAAAATGGTTTAAACGGTGAAAAGAATTTAATTACGTGACATGGTCCAATTGGAAGAAACGATCTCACTTAGTAAAATGGTGCAACTGGTTAACATGATCCAACTTGTTAAAATGATGCCAATATCTAAAATGTACAAACTGGTTTAAATGATCCAACCAGTTGAAATGGTCTAACTGGATAATGCATGTGTAACCAGTGAAATTGGTTCAAATAATTCAAGTAATCAACCTGGTAAGGATGGTAACATAAGTTAAAAAGATCCAGCATATTACAGTGGTTCAACTGGTAAAAATGATCATCCAACTACTAAAAGTTATTGAACACCAATCAAAATTAATCCAACCGCTTCAAATAATCCAACTGGTCAAAATTCTTCAAGTGGTTATTTAAGTGAAAAATGTGACAAAATCTTCTTAAAAATATTTTTGAAGAGGCTTAAACCCTTACCCTAAACACTAACCCTACCCCCAAACCTTAACCCCAAACCTTCACCCTAGCCCTAACCTCAACCGCAGACCCTCTAACCCTAACACTAAGCCCAAACCCTAACCCTAACCCTATCCTCAACCCTGACTTAAACCCTTTACCATAGCTTAGGATTGGTTTGCTTTATAAATATAAACTTTTACCATCAAGTAAAACACATATATATAAAGTGCTGTACAGTTCTTACACCACGTTACCATGAAGACGTGATCGTTCGAGGACAACAAAGGCAAATTGACGTGCATTAGGTGTGTACGTTCGTAGGAATCATAAGAAGTCCTAGAAGCTTCGATGTTTTACACTGAGCTATGTGCATGTTAATTTTGGAACTGTTTCGAAACCTTACAAAATTGAATCTTTTAAACTCACTCTGTGCTTAGATTTTTAAGCAGCTGGATCATTTGAGCCAGTTTAGTCTCTCAAACCAGCAATACAATACTTGGTTTACTGGATAGTTTTAGGGTTAGGGTTAGGATTTTCAAGTAGGCACACGCAGTTGTGTGGATATTGTGGTACATGGAGTTTAGTAGAGTGCAGATTTTAGCAGTATTTGCCAGTGTTGACATATTTGTAAAATTATGGTTCCAAAGTGCGTGTCACTGTTGAGAACCCAAGAAAATCACGAGAAAGTCGCCGATGGATTAGCCATAAAAATAAGCCCAACTCTGAGTCAATGCCAAACCACAAGAAAGTTGTGAAACTCGCGCCAATGTAAAAAAAAAAAAACAACTGAGGTTCGAAGTATGGGTCGATGCTGACATCCTATGAAAATCATGGGAAAGTCGAGGAGATTGGTCATGGTACCAACCAATGCCACTTTCCCATGAAAATCAAGAAAGCTGTGGAAACTAGCCAACATATGCTAGAATGACAATCTTCAATAAAGGATGTGTAAAATGGCCAATATCGCTCTTGGCTGAGATACTGGTTTGCCGTGTTTTGGCAGTTATTTTGGCGAATATGGTTAAAATCAAATCTGTGTAAAAACAGTAAAATCAACGAATTATTGAGGTTCGTCAACATAGGGAGGATCCTCTTAGTCTAGAGAAAAACTTCTACCCACGGCTAAAGGCGTTAAATTAATAAATTGATATATCTGGGCGGCATATCAAACAGCAACACTAAACTTCTCCTTTCTCACAGCTTTTTCCCCTTTAACATCTTTGTTCATTCCATTTTTTTTTTAAGTAAAAACTCGTTTTGGAGGCATAAAGGGCTCTAAAGCAACGTTTCAAGATTTTATGGCGATCTTGTGAAAAACATGTAGTTCCAGCTAGTTTTGAGGGTTTTGGCAGCTATTTACACAAAAAGTGGGTAAAATCAGCCCAATTTGTTGTGTTTCTGACGGTTTTTACGCGTTTTTTCCCCAAATTCTACTGAGAACACTGCGTTTTAGCTGGAATAAGTGTTTTCACATGGATTGTATCCCTATTTTGTTAGAGACATCGTGTTTTTGAATGTAAAATAGGCTGATTTTTGCAAAAAAAAAACACCTGTTTTTCAGTTCGAATTGAGCGCTTTTGTCAACTTTTGCGTAAAATTTGGCAAAAACTCGTGCGTTCTGCTGGATTTTGGTGTTTTTAGATAGATTTCATTGCAATTTTACGAAATACATGTAGTTTCAGCTAGTTTGCAGCGTTTTGGGCTCTAGACCGGCAAGAGTGATGGTAGACACTCTTAGCAGAAATAATTGTGCTAGCAGATATTAAGATTTCACCTGTAAAGTCAATAAATTAATTGAACACAAGAAAAAGGAAACTTGATAAAAAAAATTAGAATAATGGCGGGGAGAAAAGAGGGCTGCACTAAAGATTATGTACTTGTGTTCTTGAAGCTGAAAATTAACAAGGTTCCTGTAAATTAAGTTTACATGATAACCTAACAATTTGTGAAAATCACACAAATCCCAAGCTATATCCAGGGTTTTCGCTTAATAAAATCAACTCTTAAAACAAATTGGGATTTTACCTTGGTCCTTTTTTTTTACTTTTTATGTACATTATTAATGTATAAATAATGCTCCCCTGACTCTCCCCCAAATTTCCAGAACAAATGGAAACTCTTAAGAATGATCAAGCTTTACCTTATTATTAAAAATTTTTACATCTTGAATTATCAAGTTATCACAGAGGATTTCTTAGTACTTTAACCTGTTTAACACCCTAAAAGAAGTGCACATATATACTACACACAATCAGCCCAGTAAAAATGTGCCACAGCCGATAATTTGGCTGCCTGCTACAGTGTAGCTGCCGCTAACTTCACACTTTTCACACTTCCATTCAAGACAAGGTTCAGCCTCTGCTGCCCATTACTATCACCAGCTTGCCTTCCACTCAAAAACATTTCAACTGAGCTCATACATACATACATACATACATATGTGGGAGATTAGGTTACATGAGCGAACCTGCACTATTGAAAGAGATCAATGAATTATAATTCAAAGAAACATTGATAAATAAAATAAATCAATAGAAATGACAAAAATCAAACTAACAGCAGACAGTACTCTTTCAGCCTTCTGGACCTGAGCAGTGCAGTGATCTTTGATTAAGTGCTTAATTTGGACATAAAACCATGATTTTTGTCATTTCTATTGATTTATTTTATTTATCAATGTTTCTTTCTGTATTTTTCTTTTAATATTCCCACTCCAGCTGATGTATATTATTTGAATTACAAGTCTTATTAGCATGCAAAATCACCTACGGACAAGGCACACACTTTGTACCAAAATAGCTTTGCATCAAGTACATTATCTAGTACATCATTACCATCTTCAGGTATTTCTAATTTACTTGTGAAAATCACAAAAATCATAAGCTATATACAGCATACAATCAGCAGCAAATTATTAGAAAGGAATGCAGTAAATTTTAATAAGAATATTATTAAGTAGTTAAATAACAAATAGCCCAGTAAAAATATGCCCGTTGCTGGGAATTTGGTTCTCAATAAAATTAGCTAAAATAGCCAATCTTGAGTTTTACTGCTCACTCGAAATGGGCTGGCAGCTTACAATTTGGCTGCCTACAATGAAGTACCTTCCGCTAACTTCACACTTTTCAGACTGCTTTTCAGGAAGAGGTTTGGCCTCTGCTGCCTATAATTACTACAGCCAGCTTGTCTGCTACTCAAAAACATTTTGACTGGGCTGTGCAAGTCTTACTAGCATATAAAAAGCACCTTCAGGTAGATTACAGCAAAGCAGACTTTGTACCAAATGCTCTGCATTAAGTACATCATTACCCTCTTCAAGTATTTCTAGTTTACTTGTGAAAATCCCACAAATCACAAGGTATATTACATTATTCATTCCAGTTGACAAAGCAATCAAGGGTAATTTTTTCATAATAGGATGCAATGATCTTCAGTATCAAGATTATTTGGTACCTAAATAGTAAAATGTTCGAGAGAAGAAATAATCGTAAACATTTTTTCTTTCTCATCAGCATCGACTTCCAAAAATAATGGGTAATGACCACCTAAAACAAAGAAGAAATAAATCAAATTTGTGATTTCACAGGGCTAAAATACGAAACAAGTATGCATATATTTTATTTCCTACCACTTTCAAGTGGCAGGAATGGCTGAAATGGCCTTCACGTGAACACAACAGAATCCTATGCGTGTATAACCATGTAGAACTATTTATTCGGTATCGAAATTACATCCCAAATGTCATGATATTTGACTGAAACTCAGCTTACCCATCTTTCGTTTAGACTTCGAAACTTGCTGCTTTTTACCACCGTTTCAATGTTTTCTTGTTGTTCAAAAGGTGGTAGGGCCATTGCAGACCGTGATTTTTTTTTACTTGAGAACCAGATCGTTATTTCAGGGTCAATTTAGAAATAACGATAATCGTTATTTTGGTGTCGAGATCATTTGAAATTACTATATCCATAAATTTGGTGCCAATTTAGAAATAACGATAATCGTTATTTCGGTCTCGAGATCATGTTGCGCCCGTCGGTCAAAAATAAGAAGAGGGGTAGGGTGGGGAATCGAACTGTCCACCCTAACTCCACATCAAACATGACCGGTCCGGATGAACAATCGCGAGGTTACAACGTTAGCTCGCACTAATAAGACGCTTACGCTGCAGGCTATCTCAGACTGAATTAATTTTCGAAATATCCCACTACCATTGTATGAGTTCCCAAACTCTATCCACCCGCTCTACCCAAAGAAGTTTCAGTCTTTCTAAGAAACTGGGAACTAATCAAATGCTACGAAAGACAACAGTAATCCCTAACTTTCATTTTCGTCATCCTATTTTTGGTTTTTGATGAATTGTCTTCGCACTACGATGGGAAAGTGCTGATGTTATTGACCGTAAAGATGACCAAAGATTCATCACGTAAACAGAGTGTTTCATCTCTCGCTGATCTGTGTTTTCAGTCTTCTTTAAAATACCTTGAATCGTCCAGGAAATGGGATGAACGAACGAATACCTTTATACCTGAAGATCTTTGTACAGCACTTATAAATAAAAAGCTGAAGTCCGGACATTGTGACGATGACTTTGTGTCGACATATTTGGCCGACGTTCAGACAAGCAGGATTACAAAGTTGCACATGAGTGGGGCACGTATAACAGACATCGCACTGGAATTTATTTCTCGTCATCCTCTGCGAGAGGTGGACGTATCACATTGTGAGGTCTCAGAAAAAGCCCTCGTCTCTTTGGCTAAATGCAAAAGCACTCTGACATCTTTAAAGATGGTTCATTGCCGTCAAATTACTGAGTTCAAGGAACTCCGTCATTTGACTGGTCTTAAGAGTTTAGACGTTTCAGACACTTGGCTAGACGATGGAAATGGAATTCGGTTTTTTGTAAATCTGGTCAATCTCCGAATGTTGAACTTGAGTGGAACAGAAATTGTTTCACTGGATCCATTAAATACTCTGGCGATGCTCACAAATCTCGACTTGTCATGTTGTAGGGAGATCGAAAGCATTAAACCTTTGGAAACCATCCGTAGGTATGATTTACATAGTAATTATAATAAATACGAAAAAGTCTTTAAGAGGGTGTTCAGTTCCACGTTAACTGTCTTTATCAGATTGTCTTTCTGGACAGGAACCCTTGGTAAAATTTCCACACAGCCCCATACCATTGTAAAACAAATCTGTTTTCCCAATGTATTGTTTTTTCATTGTTTTCTCTATCCAAGAACTGAATGCATAAAGTAGTATGGGGCTGTACGGAAATTTTACCAAACCCTTTATCAGAGAGCAAACTTTGTGGTCCACAGTCTACATTGAAGGAGTGACATTGGTTAAGATCCCATCTGAGAGGAAAAACAACTCTCCTGGCTGCTTCATTAAAAAACTCTCATAAACTCTTCTAGTGTGGACAATGTGCTCCAGTAGCACTAGTAGCTGGCATTTTCAGCAACTCCTTTTTTTTATGAACTGCCAGCTACTTTAATAAGCAAAAACAGAAAGTTCTTTCTCAATCTCTCATAAGTGTTCATCTAGCAAAGACTGTTTTTCAGTTTACCCACTTGGCTTTTTTTCATCAAACTAATTTTTAGAACTTGATAGAACTTATGTGTATGCATTGAAGTGTAGCAGAGCAAAATTTTCTATATTCAACATTCAAACTTCTGCAATGAAAATGTTGTAAAACAATTGATTCGCAAATCATCTGGGCATACATTGAGATATAAAACACTTAGAAATTTGACGAGCACCCAAGAATCTCAAGTTGCCCCTAGTTACTGCATTAAAAACCTCCAGAGTGCATGATATCTCAATGAACAAATGCTGATCCATTGACCAAATGTTAACTTAAAAATTACACTTCGTCTCTTGTCCTTTTTTCGTTGTTAGGTCCCTACAGTGGTTGTCTCTATACAATTGTAGAAAACTGTTTTCGTCAAATCAGATGTTACTAGAAAGTTTAAAGAATTTGACCCAACTGCAACATCTGGACTTGTCAAAACACGATCCAGATGAAGTAGTGGAAATGGATAGATTTCTAAGTTGCAGTGCAGTCTTGGTGAACAGACAATTTTTGGAACGATTGCTGCCATCTCTTCCAAATTTAGATTGGCTGGACCTTTCAGGTTTGACTTTTGATTCTTCATTACATTCACATGTCAGTTGCACTTATCTCTAACTTCCTATTATATTGAGCTCAGTTGGTATCCTAGGATGGACTTGTTTTAGCTGATATTTTGAATCTGTGATGTTATGAACCATTGCTACTTGTTTAGGGTTGTCAAAATAAGCCAGAAACAGGGGCATTCTGTAGTCTACTCTGAAAAACACCCAGCTATTCCAGATGCTTGTGGCTCAATTTTCAGCATAGAAGCATGACATTATGCATTAAGCCTATTTTGTAACACTGTCTAGTTACTGAAAATCCATTTTTTTATTTATGGCAGGTAATGCTAAGTTCAGCAACAGGGACTTTGATCTCTTTAATCAATACCGTTCAAAGATGCTGAAATTCTTGGGATTGTTTATGACAGATATGTGCCATTTTCATGAAATTCCTGCAGATGAGGCAAGTGTAAATATGTTACTGGTCAGACTAACATTTGAAGTTGCAAGATTTTATTTGATACAAGCAGAAGATGACAAGAGAGTGGGGAAGAAGAGAGGGGGGCTTCTGGTCTATTCTTGGGACTGCACTAGTCTTTGACTCTTGATGCAGGCATTTCACTAAAATAACCTGGTCATGTAAACAAACCCATGACACTTAGTTTAAGAGCAGATTTTGCTCTGAATATGACATAAAAATGAAGTCATAACCTGTATTGAATGCTGAAAGCCACCTTCAGTTTACTATAAGTTTGCCTTTTTGACTTAAAATATTCATCGTCTAAGTGCAAAAGAATTCAATTCAAGTCTTAATGACAACAGATTTTGGTGTGAAAGCTCCTCAATCCCTAACTTAGGTCTTGACACAAGGATGTACAATTGATAACATGGAATTACTTTTATTTTAATTTGTGATGATAGGTGTCTGGAAGGAGGAATATGAAACAGGTCACATTTGCTGTGTCCATTTATCACAACAGACCTGAATTTCTGGTCAAGGCTCTGCAAGAATTGTTTAATTTCCTCAATACAGATAGAGCTGATGGTTTCACCCCAAAGTTTGTTTGTGATGTAAGTGCCAGTCTCTGTCATTTTCTAGTAAGGGGAAATACTGAGGTTCTGAACACTTGGTGAGCCTTTAATAATTTGAGACAATTTAACATATTTCTCAATGTAGCTTGAAAATTTTTTGCTCATTCAACCATTTCCCTTACAACAGTTCTCTCTCTACAAGACTCTACAACAGTAGAAAATTCTGACCAGCCTGTTGATTATTGTTATTTACTGTACTTTAAGGTTTCTTGTTCCGATTCAGTGTCATGAACTTTCATTCAAGCTTATTTGCCCTTTGATGTTTATGTTCCCTTCCCCCTCCTAAAAAAATGAAGGGTTTGGTGGCAACCCCCCCTCCCCCCCCCCGGCTGGAGAGATTATTAATGGTAGAGAAATAAGTTTACATGACAAAAATCCAAGTAAATGAACGGAAAGTCAAGGATTAGAGGATGAAAATGGGATCCTAATGCTTAACAAGACTTCTACTGGGGGAATGTATAAACTGTGCTGTGCAGGTACATGTGAAGTAGATCCATTATTAGACATGAAATTTGGACTGTGCTGGTGAACTGTCTCAGAATTTTTAGGTGAACTGTCTTTTAATTCCTTTTTGAACCATCATATCTTTTATATCTTTGCATTTGTACAGGTTGTGTTGGGTGCCATGGAGAGTCACCCAAAAGATAAACTTGTTCAACTTGCTGGGAGGTAATAAGCAAGCCAGATACATATAGTCATGTAATTTTTTTGCAATCCTTTTGTATGATGGGATCCAAAGTTAGTGTAAAACTTGTGGAAATATTTTTTGCACCAAACAATTAATTGTTTAGTTAGGTGAAGAAAATCTTAATTTTATTAAAAAAAAATTTTCATATTGGTCATTAATTGACTCTTTTGTTTGATCCTTTCATTGTTTGTAGTGCATCTTTGTATCATCTGTCCAGAGATGATGATGGAAACATGAATCTGTCTGAGGAGTTAAAGAGGTGACTGCATTCTTCACTATTGTAGCATAGATGCATCTGATTTCATTCATCTTGTAAGAATTAAAATAGACTTGCTTAATGGGATAGATTGTTAGGTGTCTGTATGTTTTATAATCAAAAAGTTCCCATTACCGTGAATTGTAGCAAATGGTTTAACTGATATACACTCTTCAACTATCTTAATTTCAGCCTTTTTTCTTTGTTTTTTTCTGCATGATTGTAACCTTTTTTATAACAAATAAGACTATATTTATTATGTATTGACTATTTTTCTCAGCCGTACCATTGAGGTGATTATTGGCGCAATGGATTATCATGTCAAGGAGGAGCAGGTATTATTTACAAACACAATCTGAGTGTGACAATTACAGTGTAACCTGTGTTGAAATATGCTTTTATCAATGTCCAGAGATTCATGAGTGTGAAATTTTTTTTCAGTTGCAGAAAAACTGTTGTCTCACTCTTTGCAACTTCAGAATTCCAAATGATCTGGTGAGTATATATGGTATTATCCAAACAAACATTTGTGCTCTAGATGAATTTCATATTGATGCTCTAGTTTTCTTGCTTTGCAAATTGTACCCAGTATTGAGATGCATTGGCATGTTTACCCTTAAAGAAGTTAACATGGATAGGTCAGTGGTTAGCATACTTGACCCCAGATTGAGAGGTCCTGTCTCAAGCCTTAGCAGGGTCTGTACTGTTTTCTTGGTACCTTTTGGAAAGTTTTCCTCACTTAATTTTGTAGAAAAGGTTGTGGTTATTCATTGCGGTGAATAACAATAAAAGCTAAGTTTTTTCGTTTTGTCTCACGATGTAGTCACGTGTGATTAGATCGCGACGTTTCAACTGCATACTGCTAGTCTTCTTCAGGCGATGAGGTGGACTTGTCATGTGTGATCTTATAAAGCTTGATGCTCTGCTGTGATTCGTTGTTATTCAACAGCTCTGATAGGTGCATTTCGATCTTTGCTGATCGGGGATTTGCTCCCTCAGCAGTCCACTGTTGCACGGCTCTCCTGTTGTTGTGTTTTTTGATCATGGGCATCCACGCTTCTGGAATTTCTATTCCACTATCCCTGTTGATGTTGTTAGGGTGAAGTCTTAAGTGAATTGCCTCTTTGACCCTTTATTTTCCTCACTTATGGAAGCCCCTTAGAAGTAAGCCAACCCCTATTTGAGTACCAAAAACTGCCTATGAGGTTTCATTTGTGCAAAGACTAATCAAAATTGTCATGTTCTTTGATCGTGGGCATCCACGCTTCTGGAATTTCTATTCCACTATCCCTGTAAATGTTGTTAGGGTGAAGTCTTAAGTGAATTGCCTCTTTGACCCTTTATTTTCCTCACTTATGGAAGCCCCTTAGAAGTAAGCCAACCCCAGTTTGAGTACCAAAAACTGCCTATGAGGTTTCATTTGTGCAAAGACTCTAATCAAAATTGTCATGTTTTTTGATCGTGGGCATCCACACTTCTGTAAATTTCTATTCCACTATCCCTGTTGATGTTGTTAGGGTGAAGTCTTAGGTGAATTGCCTGTTTGACCCTTTATTTTCCTCACTTATGGAAGCCACTTAGAAGTAAGCCAACCCCTGTTTGAGTACCAAAAACTGCTTATGGGGTTTCATTTGTGCAAAGACTCTAATCAAAATTTTATGTTTCCTATATTCTACAAAGTTTTGCTGATTTTGCAGTGTGATTCATTACCTGTCAAACAAACCAACCAACAAATGAGTATTACTCAGGTATTTCACAGGAAATTTTTTTTACCCTCATTTATATTTCAAAATTAACTTTGCTTACTTGCAGCCTTCTGACTACAGAAAAATGGTGGAAGTTTTATTGAGGACTGCCACGATACATAGGCGTGACCTCATTCAGAGGATTGCCATTGGAATTTGTAATATGGTGGTGTGTCAGGTAATGGTTATTTGATATCTATGACTGTGCAATCATTGCAGCAATCTGGATACAGAGTGCAATCTAAACAAACTCTATTTTTTTATTTTTAAAGACAGCATCAGAAGTAGGGATGGGGAAGGTAAGATTAACATGATTGAGAACAGAATATCCCAACAAATCTATAAAAGATTGTTGACTTTAGTTAGTAATTATGATGATTATTGCATTCTTGGTAAAAAAAAAATAAAACACAAAAAATACTGGAACATCAACTTATCATCACAGAGGCAGGATAGCATTAAAAGTAGAAATATTTTTTTCAATCTTTTTCCCTCTTGTTTTATAATTTCCTAATTCGTTTTGAGATCTTTGGAGTGGAAGGGTTGAAGATTGTAGAAAAAGTTGGCAATATCCCATGAGTCTTCTCATGTAGTCTGGCTGTCTCTCAGGCCTTATGACCTGATGAGTGGTTATATCTTACATGAAGATGGTAATGTTTTTTGTTTTACTGCAATTTATTTAGATTCAAGATTCACCAAAAATTGTTGTGGGCAGAGAATTGAAGGGTGTGGAGGTAACTTCATGATACTAAAAGCGAAATATTATTTCAGTCATATTTAGAGCAGGCTCGGATTTAAGTCAACGTCCTTTATTCGAGCTTGCCTGACTATGTTATGATATTAAGATTTTTTAAAATCCAATCTGCATATGTAAGATACAGTTCCACTCGGGTCACCTTTAAGAGTGCTTTTCAATTTGGTGTAGTCACTAACTATTAACTGTGAAACCAACCCAAAATAATTGAGCCATTCTTCACAACGGTACACAGGACTCACGGATTCTTCATCGTTTTCTTGTTTATTTTCCGGAAAATAACTCAGACGACTTATAATTCTTTGAAAACTTGCTATTTTCGTCGCATCCGGTTGTCTGAATTTGCTCGCCTGTGTTCATTACCTTATTTGGTAGTACTCGCAAGCGTCACAAACTAAGAGGGGAGGGTGTCGGTCATAACTCTTGTACATAATCATGCAACGGCCAATCACGACGAGAGATTCATAGCGAAAAAAAAACAAATCTAAAAAATAGTGTCTTTTGAAGTCTCGTATCATCTTATAAATTTAGGATTTTCTCATTAAACAAACGTATGTTTTTCTTGCAGAAAATTCTTCAAATTATACGATGCAAGATGGGAAACAACCCGGTAGTTATTTCCTGCTCTATAATTCCGCTTTACTTATATCTATTGCTAACAATTGGCAACTTGTGGAGAGTCTTCTTTCATTTAATTTTATCAGACAGGGTGTAATTCTGCGTAGTGGTTGCCTCGCAATTTCATGAGCATACAGCTTCAGCTGGTGTGACTAATAAACTAAACAACTCTTGTGTAGGAACACGGTGGCGTTATGGAAGGCTGTTGGAGTGCTTTGTGGAACATGACGGGTAAATTAATTATTGAAAATTGTATTTCCTTTATAATAAACAACTCGTAGAGTGAGTTTAGAAAAAATCCTGTAATTCCCAGATTCAGCTCCACTGCCGCTCACATTAATATCTACCTACTCTGGTGAGAGGTGATGTAGTCATCTTAGAAACAAACGCTGGTCATGAGTAGGAACTCTGGCGTTCGATATTGACGTAGTAGTAGTTACATAACAAGTTAATAAAATGAAGTTCTGTTGTCCTTTACTTAGATGAAACGCCTGAAAACTGCGCACTGTTTATAGCTCAAGGAGGACTAGAACTATTCACGAGATGTCACGAGGTAGGATTTTCGTATCTTAGAATTCCTTTAAAACTAGAGAAAATGGCGTTAGGATTCCCTGGCCTTAGATCCAAGGCGATGTGCCACGAAATGGTGTCCTTGACGGTGTGTGCAGCTTGGTGGAAGTGCACCGGGGGGAAGTCCTTTGTTTTTCTGTTCTCTGAAAGTTCCTATAAAAAGTGATCTTCTGTAGCTCTCGTATTTTGATAATCTCGATGTTTATTTTTATCATCATTGTCACTATCATCATCATCATCATCAATAAGATATTTTTTCCTCATTTTGTTCCTTTTTTGATAGAGAATGAGCGAACGACGAGATCTGGTTCGGAACATGTTAGGACTGATGGTGAGTTACACAACTTTTCCACTGTCCTCTTAGAAGTGATCGGCATCAACTTCTCATGCCAATGTCAGCGCATTATCCATCGAACAGGCGACAAGAGAAACAAACTTATCAGTTAGAGGGTGTCTTCTCGATATAACACTAAACTCTCCCACGTTACTTAAAATGAAATTAATAGGAGCTGGAAAATTGGGATTGATGTTGGATTATTTTGCGTCTCGTAGATGTTGCAAGATGCAGTCCACCCGTCTTTGGAATCGCAGTATCAGAAGTTTTCTTTAGGGTAATTCTTATCCACTGGGCCCTGTAGGACTTTTTTATGACTATTACGTGTTGGGTGTAAAGAAAACTAGTTAGACCGCTGTTATTTCCAGTCACATTTGGAACCTCTTTCTTTCTGTGATTTTGTCCTTGTCAGGGTAACGTGGCAGAGGTGGCTGAACTACGACCAGAACTGATGCCAATTGCTCATGTTTTCTTGTAAGTTTAGCTTATCGCTACATTTCCTTAGAGTTGAAGCATACATAGTGTCAACTTATGCCAAAGAATTCTGCTAATATGATTGCAGTAAAAGTGAAGTGTCAGCGGATTAAAAAACCCTTAGTTGGTTATTACTTAAAGTAATCTGCGATTAATTTTGGTTTTCTCCTCTCCTTAGTGTTATAAATCCAGTCGCGCAAATCGCGACTTGGTTATTCGCGCCGGAATTTCTGTGCTATGAACAGCTGGCTTGTTTTCTTGAGTTCACTTCGCTTGCCCGGAATATTTTCCGTTGTTCGAATTGTCCTTCGTGATTACTATGGTTTTGCGCAAATCCTTCGAAAAGCACTCTAAAAATGTACTTCTCAAGTGATAACTTAAGACTAAGACCTTGAGAGTATTAATTCTCTTAGCTTGATCGTATCGCGCCGAGCCTCGCACACAGAGAATCTTTTTAATTTTTTTAATGAACTTGTTCCTGTTAGCGAATTGTTGCTCACTGAGGGTGAACTGGAGGTGACATACAATGCTGGAGGGATAGTAAGTCACCTGGCTTTTGATGGAGTAAACATGTGGACGAATCAAATTGTGTCTCGTACACAAGCGCTGCGAAGATTGGTATGTTGATGTTGAGGTCTACTTAATGGTTTCTGGAATTGTTTTCACACGTTAGTAACCGCTTTCTTGGCTACGATCGCTCTTTCTTCAGGTGGAGACGGTGGATAAATGGGATATTGAAACACAACGACAAATGAGCTATCGGTAAGATGATTAACATATGAGTTAGCGTGCGGGATAGAAGACATTTTTTGCGCTTATCTGGCGCGCGGAGTGCGAGGCGAGTGAAAAGGACGAGTTTCACGTGAGAGAAAGGGTGTAAGAAAACTAAATGTCGATGTTTTCTATTTGGCGTTCTTCAGTTAAGTACGCGTGTTTCCCTTTGCACAATTTCCGCGCCCGTCTCCGCACGCCTGATCCACAGGCTACCCAACAGATGTACTCGATCGTGTAATGTGACCGTTCGGGCATGAGTAGTCATAAAAGTCAAGTGAATAGTTGTTTTTCAGTCTGGTCCGTAAAAACGGATTGTTTAGCTTTGCTTTAATGGTATTGGCTGGAATACTGTAGTGACGTTGGTCAGTTTCAATCTTGGTGAGATGGTGAGATAGATCGCTTTGTTCACAAACCAGACTTACAGCTGTCAAACAATTTCTTACTTGACACTGATGATGCCTTCAGTTCAGGTTGTCAAAGCGTCTGTCACTGTCTAGGAGACAGCACAACAGTCTTTTTCAGAACTACTCTCATCCGGACGATTGACTGCACGATCTCCATAGGAGACTTGTTGGGGCGCTCACCAGAAATACCCGAGCGGATCTTGATTTTTTTTTGTTTTTTTCTTTCATTCTTCAGTTCCTTTGCTCCAATATTAAAGTTAATATCAGGCTGTGATACACCTGAGATACATTACTGGGCCACATGGGCGCTGGCTAACCTCTGCAATGTTGACCGTAAGTTAAAAGCGTTGTGTCACTCTACAGATTGTGTAAATAACTGTGCATTAAACTTCTGTGTGACAATCTTCTTACTTTCCAAGTATAGTTTAGTAAAAGTGAATTAGGCTGAAAGAAAGAGCAATATAGAGACGCCTACGAATAAAGTCTTTATTCGGGATTCTGTTTTTTCACTTTTTTTACCTTGTCTTGTATTTGTTAAATCTGTATAAATTGATCCTATTTCAGCTGTGAAATACTGTAAACTGGTCATCGACGAAGGTGGTGTCGAGTTATTGCAAGATCTGCACAGTAACCTCAGAACGTCTCAGAGGGTCCGAGAACTCGCCGACCTGACTCTTCGTCGGTGCCGATTACATGCCGAAAACGTCTAACACGTGGACGTTGGCTGTCCACCTAAAGGATACAAACAGAAAGACTCACAAATTCGTAGGCAAATTATTCGACTAATAGTGGACTTCCTCATTAAGAGAGAACGAACAAGGTACCTGTAATGTAGGAAGAATGCTTCCAGTCCGTGATCTCTTGCGGCCTTATTGGTCGGTCTGTTGGTTATAAGTATGTGTTACCATAGCAGACAAATCGTGATCAACGATTTAGACTGACCATATATCTTAGTAAGTTTTAAATCAAAATTTTCTAAATGCAGGTATGCTGTTATGATTTATTTGTAAGGTACGTTTGGCTAATTTCTTCAGAACGGAAGCGTGGAGATATGTACAAAAATAAAATTATTTGTGAAAGTTAGTGGCGGATAGTTAAGCTTTCTATGACATGTGGGAAATCCTGCTAACAAGCTACTCACCCGTCCTCAAGGACTGAGAGATATTCTTTTTATGTATGGAAACATGAAAAAAATGCTTTTACCATCAAAAGTCTTATAAGTTAATCGGTTTGAGAGTTAATAACACCATTTTTGTCACTAGATACGCTGCAAAAAAATGAATAAATGGTAATATATTAGGACAGATCGAATTTTGTTTTGTTTTTTTGGTTTCTTTTTATTGTTATTGTTGCTGCTGTTAACCTTCTCCAGACAAAGTTATTTCCAAGAACTACTCTGGGACGACAGTGATTTCCATAGAAGCTCTGAATGAATTGAATCGTAAGCGCAGTTCAGTAGTATCTCAACATCACTTCCTCTAACTGTCTACAGCACGTCCTATCATGAGGGAGGTAAAGAAGAGGTCCTTACACCCTAACATTAGTATTATATTCTCCATACTGTTCTCTAAACGTTCCTAAGATGCCAACATGGAGAATTTGTCTAACAATCGAGAGCTTCTTTAGTCGGTGATCAGCTCCTTAATTCTTTATTTATTATTGTTCAGCGGTGATATGGTAAGGAGAAATTAGATGCCAGTCACTCCAAGGGGTTTAAGGTTAAGGTTTGCGTATCACGAAAAGCAGAAAATTTACAGTTTACGGGGTTTAAATTTTGCGTTTTCACTGGTCTTGAAAATAACAACAAACTTGATCTCGTATCACGCAATAACCCCTTTTCCCCCTACATCATGTCAGTTCTGAGTCGTAAGCGTTTGAAATGTTGAACGATATTCCCCAGTGGAATATTTATTTGCCTCATTGCTGTTTTGCTCTGAAAGTACATCGATATTATGAAAAGGAATTCTTCCATGGTTGCCCCAAAGAGTGAGAGAGTCAAAAGGACCGTTAACAAGTATTTAAGTTGAACTCTTATTGGCTATTCAAGAATAAACGTTGCGGTTACTTTGGTTTCACTGAAGAAACTCAATCGAAAAGCTTTTTCAGCTGCTATTTCCGGTTAGCAGAGCACGTACTAAGTTGATTTTCCGCATGAGGGACACCACGCCTGGGATAAAGACACCAACGAAAGCTCAGAATTGACAGTTTTTGAAATGAAAACTATTCGTTTTCATTCAAAATATTGCATTCGCTAAAGTTCGGTTGAATTCGGTAATATGCTTGAAAATTTTCCGTCGTCTAGAATCAGCAAAATCACAGAATAAACGGAAGTCCTTATTTCCTCGGAATTTGGAGGTGTTTTAGAAACTGAAAGGTTATGCGGATTTTCTTGGAATTAGCGAGGGTACTTGATCTTACCGATATCGATGGGAAAGATTTCTCGCAAAGAAAAGAATCTCCAAAAAGTGAAAGCTGTTTTACATTTCGAGAAAAACAGCAGGTTCATGTGAGAGCGTGTGCTTCGAAGAAGTTCGTGGTAAACCTGAAATTGGAAGCTTTACGCACTGTAGGAAACTTCAACCCAGGTAACTCAAACAGTTCTTGAACAAATAATCAGAGCTGAGACGTACGTAATCTTTAAAGCGTGTTTTGAACAGTTCATAGATGCTTTGAATTAAAGGGTGTAAACATTTGTGCAGTTCATTCAAGACTTGGATAGACGATTTGTACTCTTTCAATCGCGAGAAAATTCGATTGCAACACAAATGTAGTTCAAGTTTCCACGAACCAAGCATATTTCCTTGCCCTTTTGCGCCTCAGTTTCGTAAGTTAATCCGGATCGCCGGAAAGAGTTCAATGAAGACGGTTATTTGGTCTTCAAGGTGTTTATTTCAATGTGTTTCGCTGACAGATGATAGGAAGCGATTCCACCTGAAAGCTTTTTAAAATAAGGAGTCAGAATTAGTGAAGCAGTAGGGAGATATGACTCTCTCTTCTTAATTACCAATTCAAATAGATCCATCTGAAAAGGGGTCTCTATAACTGATAATATACTTGAAACTTTGGCGGAATGTTGAGTGGTGACCAGACTCCATTCAGTGTATCTAGAGAAATTATTAAAAATGAAAGTAATTTACAACAAGCTATAGGGCATCTTCAGGAGATACAATTCTTTGAAGTGAAAAATGAGGCGTAGTTGATTATCGTTTCGTTTTTGTTATCTTAATTCAGTTGCCTGGTGGTAGAGAATCATTACTTGTCCTACATATGTACTGATGAATGTTTCATAAAACTTTGAAAGGCCTGTCACATGCGTACAGCGCCGCCCTCACAGAACAGTTTAAAAAACTCACTCGACAAAATTTCTTAACCGTGTAAAATGAGAGCAGGTCGACCGCATCGTTAAATGCTCTCAAGAGACATTTTTGCGAGCGTCACTGAAATACCCGGTAACGCTTAGATTCTCTTGAAACGCAAGTTTATCTGATCGTTACTTTTTAATTTCCTGCAAACATTTGATGGAGACTGACATTTTGTTAGAAAACGTAGCAATCTGTAGCGCAGTTAATGTGGCTGTAAGATTTCACTTTGAACGAACAGTGGAGGATGAACAAACTATATAAAGCGAGTAAAAAAATGCAGGTATACAGGCACCGTGCATACCAAGTAATAAGGAAATACTAACCCTATATTGGACAAGCTATATGACTGTGCGGGTCAAAACACGGATCGCATAGTCTCTCAGCAGCCTTAATCCCATGATCCTACTCCATATCAAATAGCTGTTGCGTTTTGCTACATATCTGGGTAAATCGCTGATTTGTTTTACCTATCAGTATGAAATCAACTTCCAACTCACTGCGTGCGTCAACGCGGAAACTCGGGTAAGGCATTTTACATATTTCTTTTTCCTGTTGTTTGGTTCATAAAGGCACGTATGCCACATTTAATGCATCTTGCTCTTTCAAAATCTTAAATCTTTGGTTTCGTCTCAGCTCTTACAATGTCCGTGTACCAATAATTGTCCTATTGTTTCCTTACAATAAAGGGAATTTCGTTGACCCAGAAGAGAAAAAAAAACTAAATGATTAAAATAGCGAGAAGTAACTTCCTCACGTAGTTGAACTTAGAAAAAACGCTGGTAAAATTTCCGCACAGCCCCATACTACATTATGCATTCAGTTCTTGAATAGAGAAAACAATGACAAAAACAATACATTTCCATTGGGAAAACAGATTTGTTTTACAATAGTATGGGGCTGTACGGAAACTTTACCAAAACGCTAATAAAAAGCTATCTAGCTCGAAATAAAAAAAAAAACAACAACAACAACAACAACATTTGTATGTTCTGCCAAAGAATCTTCACGACTTACACAATATACTTCTGATAACTAAGAGGTGGTTTACTCTTGGGATTATATTCTAAGCCGAAAATGAGACAAAAAGCTTTCTTATCCGGCTTTCAAAAATACTCAAGATAAGTGTAGGAATGTAGACCACAGGGGATTGTAGTAATTATAATTTGTTATCCCCATGGTTTATCACGAAGTAGATTTGTTTTAGAAGGGTTTCAGGATTCCAGCGCTACGTGCTTTCCGCACCAGTCAACTTCCGGGATGTTTGCTTCCGTTTCGAACCGGAAACCACACTGGAGTATGACGTGTTCCAAAGATTAGCGCGACTACGTTAAAGTTCTATAAGCTTTTTGGCATTATCGCTTCTTGATTAAGGCTTTATGAAGAAAATTAAGACTGAAAAACACGGGTTGGGTGACGTATATTAAAACAAACTTATGTCACTCTCATTAATCCCTTAAACCCTGAGAGTGACGAACATCTTATTTCTCCTTACAGTGATCATGCTGAATCATTCAGTGAGGTCAGGGAAATAAAAGGAATGATCACTAACCCAAGAAACTTTAGTTGATAACCAAACACTCCTTGTCAGCACCGAAGCAAATGTGTAGAGGAGAGTGTGGAGAATATAGATACTGATGTTGACATGTCAAGGGTTAAACGAATAACGTCAAAATTTTTTCCCTTAACCGTCACGTCTCAATTTGCAAAACTTTGAAGCTGAGTGGTATGTATATCAGCGGAAGAAAACCCATGATAATCACCTTTTTTACCCTGTTTATCAGCTGTAATCTAAATTATGCTTGTCACCACGCTGTGCCTGTCTATTCAACACTAGGGGCAATTGGCAAATCCTTATTCTAAGAAACAGAATCGCTCATTCAAAAGTTCGTTTAACGTGGACAGGAATTAAAAAAAGTAATTAGAGTTAGAAATTCATGCGAAAAACACTTTAAAATTTTCCAGAGGTAAATAACCGAGTTTTCTAGCAGGGACTCGAGAAATAATGATCAAAATTTAAATCCATAAGTAACGTTTTCATGAGGGTTGCAGTGTAATTGTCTAATTTGGGAACTGTCAGTTTCATTATCCAATTGATAATTTTGTAGAGCTGTTTGCAAGCGATCATTCTGAAGATGTTACGTTAAGCAAAACTCGCTCTAAAGGACTCTGAGTGGTTGAACTCGTGAAACAACATATCTAAGTGGTAAGTCAAAAATCATTGTATGAGTTGTTCAGTAGGTCCATAAACGACATTTTGGAAGAGGGAGCATTTGTAATCAACTTAGTAAAAGCGCCATTAATTATAGTGATTACCGATCATTCCGAAACAAGTCTTAAAAAAAAAAAAAACGTTTGCGATGGTAAATTAGATTCATAACAAAATTTCATCTATTTTGCATTGATATCATAAAGTTCTTCGGATGATATACTAGAGAATCTTGCTATTTCCTTTAAATATCGAAACTGCAATCAACAAGGTAGACAATAATGAAGTTTCAGTGAAAACTGATACAAATTTAACGCAGTTAAGGTGCAGTTTCGGATCGGCGTATGAAACTTTTAACCACGCTGAGAGTACAAAGCCATGAACCTGACGAAGGTCATGAAACGTAACCTTTCAGTGACGAAGCACGATCGTAAAAAAAGAGGGATGGTATTTTTTTTGTGCCGGATCGTCGTCTCAGACCTTTTGGGGCTTTTTTCCCTTTCCTCTTTTTTGTACTTTGGTTGAGAGCATCTGTCTTAGTCTATTTACGCACAGGGGGCTTTTGACATTTCTGATTCTGTCTGTATTACGGATGCTGTCATTTTATAAAGCTGGCATATACCCTAACTCAATTGCGAGCTGTTTGTGGCCGGGGTGGCGGATTGTTCGAACGCAAAAATAAGAAGGTTTGGGGCTAGAAGTATTTTCATTGACTTTTTCCCACGCTGGTGACAAATC